GAAAGCCTTTACTAAAGCCTTAATACTCTACTACTTTAACTTTAAACTACTAATACTTGTAGAAGCTAATGCCTTAGACTACATAGTAGCAGGAGTTCTCTTCTAGACTAAGCTAGATAGGACTATTAAGCTTATTATATACTTTTTAAAAAGAATAAGTCCTGTAGAAAGTAATTATAAGATCTATAATAAGAAATTACTTACTATAGTATGCTACTTTAAACAATAGCAACCTAAACTAGAAGGTGCAGCGCATCTAATATAGGTTCTATCTAACTATAAGAACTTATAGTACTTTATAACTATAAAATAACTTAGCTACTAATAAGCTTATTAGTTTAAATACTTATTTTATTTTAATTTTAAGATTACTTATTATTCTAGTTAAAATAGAGGGAAACTAGATGCCTTTATAAGGTAATTCTAAGACATCTTTACTTAGAAAGAAGTGTAAAAGGCTTAACACTAAACTTTACTTTAACTTAAGCTATTTTTAAACTTTAACTTAAATAAAATAAATTAGATAATTAATTAAATTATTACTAATAAGTATTTAAATAATAAATTTATTTAAAAAACCTTAGACCTACTCTAAAATAGCGCTAGTTAGTTAAAAAAGGTAACACTAGCTAACTATAAAAACTAAAATAGTAAGCTATATTACTATAACTAACTTATAATTCTTAATTTGTCTGTACGCAGCAGCAGCGTCGCGGCCTGGATACGAGCGATCGCGCACAAGCAGGATCACGTATCTATGTCACATAATGCTCGTGCGCGAACCTCTGTGCGCGAACATCTAGATATCCCCCTTTTCCTCTGTACAGAGAAAAGACAAGAGCAATAGAACTAGAAACATGTTGCCCTCACCTTACCTACCTTGTACGCTGTGCACACCGTACACCACTCTTACTCTTGCTACTTAAGTGCTTATACTATAAGCAGCTAGCTGTTAGAGCCTATTTAACATAATTCTAATAAACTAAGAATTAAACTACTCTAAATTATACATAACTTGCCTATTAAAGGACACTTAGGCAGAGGAAAGACTCTTAACCTACTACAGAGAGAGTACTACTAGCCCTGCATGTTCTATACTGTACGCTAATATGTATTATGTTACTATACTTGCTGTAAAGCAAAGGCCTTTTAAAAAAGGTATAATAGCCTACTTAAACTACTTCTAATTTTTAAATAAGCTTAAAAAAATATATTAATTAATTTTATTATAAACTTACCTTTATCTAAAGAGTATATAAATATTATAGTAGTTATTAATTACTTAACTAAGTATTAACACTTAATACTATGTTCCTTTATAACTGCTTCTAATATAGCCTAGTTATTCTACTAATACATATAAGTTTACTATAGCCTGCCTAACATAATTATATTAGATAGAGGTACGTAGTTTGTCTTAGCCTTCTAAAATAAACTCTATAAATAGCTCTAAATTATCTCTTATCTATTTATAGCTTTTTACCTAGAGACTAATAGCTAGACTAAGAACATAAACACTATAATAGAATAAGTTTTATAAGTGTATATAAACTACTAGTAAGATAACTAGGTAAAATAGTTAGCTATAGCATAGTTTAAAGCTAATAACATAACATCTAAATTAACATAAGTATCTTTATTTTTAGTAAACTATAGATACTACTTTTAAATAAGATTTAAACTACTTTTAAATACCCCCTAACTAACTTATTAATTTATATAAGTAATAGATGTAAATAGACTTATTAATAAAATCTAAAATATATCTAAATATATTTATAAAAAGCTTATATAGGCTTAAGCTTTTTAATAAGAGTATGTAAACTAATCTTAAACTTCTACATCTGCGTATGCAGCTAGTAAGAAGGTCTAGCTAAATGCTAGAAATATTTAAATAAACTAATAATTAAAGAAACTTAATTAAAAAAACTTTAGCCCCTTTATAGTAGCTTATATAGTTTTATTATATGCTTACTAATTAATCTTACCTAACAGCATAAAGATACACCCTATGTTCTACATATTATTGCTGCGCTAAGTAGCCCCTAAATCTAACTATCTACTTAAATAGCTAAACTTACTACCTAAACTTATTATTATAAATAATAAACTAGAATATATTATAAAAGATGTTAAATAAATCTAGTTTAATAAGAAAAAATGTATTTATAAATACTTTATAAAATAGACTAGATATAATAAACTATTATAAAAACTTATAAAAGCTTTATAAAAAAACTTTATAGTAACTTAATTCTATACCTAATACTTATCTAAACTAAACCTGTACCTTAATAAAGACAACTTAATGCTAGAACTACTAATGTAAAGGATTCCCTTTTTAATAAAAGGGGGGGTACTGTTACAGTATCCTCTCTAGATCCTAGACATAACTGTATTAGACATGTACTAAAGTATTATTAGTGCATATCTAACATAAATATAACATAACATAGACATAAACTTAAGCATAAACTGCCTTAACACTAACTAAACCTAGAATAAGCTTAATTTATACTTAAAGCGCTTAGACTTTTAAGCTAAGTATTTAATTACTAATTTTCTTCTAAACTTTCCTATTCCTCACACAACGTCTTGTACCTACTATAATACCTCACATAGTAATTAAACTAGACCTCTGTGAAGCTCTATAACCTTACTCGTGCACAATTGTGACAAGGCGCTAGGTTAAAATTTTTATATATAACTAAATTACTTCTAACTTTATTTTAATGCTAAAGTTTCTACTATGCTTTAAATATACTTTTAATGCTATAATTACTTTTAGTAATATTTAAGAAGAAGTTTAAAGTGCTAGATTAGTTCTATTTAACTTAAAATAAGTTATAATAAGCTTTGTGTAACGATTTGCTCGAATCGTTCCATCTCGGGTTGCCCAACGAACCTACATCCGAAGGTTCGCCGTATCGGCTCCGCCCCCCTGTCCTGGCCCCTGCTGTACCCCTATTCCCCCAAGTATTTAGTCGCACCTCTCCCCTTAGCTAGCTCAGTAGTTTTCTGATATCCTCTCGTACAAGGCCTATAGGTGTCAATGGAATTCCCAGGTTTCTGAGTCCCCACGCACTCCCATATGCCTCTGAGAGGATTCACACCGCATTCAGACTTGTTGTCTTGCCTGCGCCGTTACATTATATCAGAAAACCCGCTTTTGCTGGTAACAGCCTCTTTAACAATATCGCATCAATTGTTTATTTAATTACGTCCAAGCCCGAGACGCGTCCGATTTAGTTCAGGTCGTGCTACTCACACACCGTTACATCGAATTATTCAGTTATCCAGACAGGATCTAGTTATCCAGACAGGAGGTCTCTGAGATCCTGTCTGGATAACTGGATAATTCGATGTAACGGTGTGTGAGTAGCACGACCTGAACTGAATCAGACGCGTCTCGGGCTTGGACGTAATTGAATAAACAATTAATGCGATATTGTTAACAAGGCTGTCACTAGCAAAAGCAAGTTTTCTGATATAATGTAACGGCGCAGGCAAGACAACAGGTCCGAATGCAGTGTGAATCCACTCAAAGGCATATGGAAGTGCGTGAGGACTCAGAAACCTGGGAATTCCATTGACACCTATAGGCCTTGTACGAGAGGATATCAGAAAACTACTGAGCTAGCTAAGGGGAGAGGTGCGACTAAATACTTGGGGGAATAGGGGTACAGCAGGGGCCAGGACAGGGGGGCGGAGCCGATACGGCGAACCTTCGGATGTAGGTTCGTTGGGCAACCCGAGATGGAACGATTCGAGCACATCGTTACAGTTCTTGTAGCGTCCGTAATAAACCTGCTGAGAAAGATTCTCCCGCTGTAATAGAGGTAGCTGGCAAGCGCAATATTCTGGGAACCTTTGACTATACTGAGGATAGCAGAGGGGAGAGGGAGAGGGAGATGTAGCGCTATCTAAGATTGTTGCTTGGCGTGCAAAGCCGTACTTGGAAGGGCTGCGAAGTAGAGAATCCTCATAAATAACTTTTCTATTTCAGCATCAGTTAGAAAAATCCACATAGTGATATATAGGCTCGTTACTAGAATTATGGCAGTGTAGAATAGAAGTGTATACCCCCGAAGTAAACAGCATTCTTCCTCATGATCTAGGCTATAGGTTTGTTGTTTCAATTACACCCTCACTAACAATGATCGAACCAAGCAATCCAATAACTTTGGCGGTATGGATTGGAACCATGAGATAGCCAAGATGCCAGTGGGTTCATAGTCTATTATGGCGTAAAAGCCTGCAACAATACCGATTACATTGGTCTTTGAATTTGGAAACTCGGTGAACAACACTGCATATACGGTTGCAAGGAAGAAAATTATGAGCGTGTTTAGGAAGAGTGGCTATGGAAGCCGAAGATGTCTGTTGTGTTATGGAGTGAAAGTATTGCTGTGACAAGATGCTGGAGGCAAAACGCGATTGACGAATAATGCCCAGCACAGTAGCCGATAGTTCTGTCGTGTGCCAGTAAAAATATGGCTTGTCATAAAAAAGTGGAACATGGCTAGGTTATGATTATTTGGAAGAAGGTGTAGTCGTAATTAAGGAGGATGTCAACAGAATGGAAGGCTCTGTCTTAAATTACCTCACCATTCCATGGTGGGTGACAGGACGTTGAAAAAAATCGTGTTGACGTGAGCTTCGGGGTGATCTCACTTAGTGTGGGCAATGTTCTTCAGCCGGTTGAAATTATAGTCCGCCAGTGCAAATCCTGCGAAGGTGCAAAAGCGGACAACTTCGTATATCCTTTCCCACACAGTGCCAGAAGCAAATTTGACATCGAGAGTGAGTACCTGGAACTAAAAAATCTAAAGATCACGGAAAAGGCTAGATAGAAGCCGGGATTGTCTCGGTTCGTGATGTGATGATAAAGGATGATTGTTGAATAGGTCGAAGAAGAGTTCGGTGGTGGAAGTCTCATAGCGTGGGGAGAACGAGTGCTTCTTGCGTTTTCGCACACTATATCTAGACAAGATTATTGATTATTCCGTAGGTATTGTAGGTGAGTCTATCCCTCGTTTGGATGCTGTTCGAGCTTCTTGATCGAGTAATGTGAATTGGGTGAAGACATCTTCAGGTACTATAATCTCGAAGTTTGCATTGGGGCCGCTACCCCAATCGCATGAGTCCCAAGAACTGAAGGCCATCAAATCTTCCTGTTTGGGGGATTGGGATCTATTCGAACCATGGTGGCATACCGAACCGCGGTCTTTTATACAACATCATGGAGACCCGCCTTTAAGTCACCCCAAGCACGATATATCTCAAGAAACCTCATATTTGCTGTTCTAAGGCACAATCAGCAATTAGCAATTAGCGAACTCCAAAGCGCCCAAATCTTCTGTGGGACGACCAAACGCGGTGCACCGTGGGGAAGCTTTGTGCGTGCGCCAAGCCTCGCAGGGATGCGGTGGTTAAGATTGTGTAACCCAAAAGCCAAGTTCACTGTGAAGTAGATCCCCAATGCTAGGTTTTGAGGCTGGGTTGGGTTATTGTATTTGGTGGCTTCGGGCGATGTTGCTTGCTGTGACGAAGACAAGGCTTATGGTGTTTAATCGAACGTAACTGTTACTGTCAGTACTAAGTAGTGTTTTTAAGGCGTTACTGGCAGCAATAGAGTTTTGTTCTTACAGAGAGAGTGAATTAAAACAGCCTTATAGGCAGCAATAGTTACTGCTAAGTTAATTAATTGTGAAGCTACTATTTAGTATAGTTACTGTAGTAACTAGTGTTTCTAGAGGCTCTAGGGGGCTAGTAGCGGAGATTGTTTAACTCTAAGTGAACAAGTCCTCTGGCAACCTAGTTGCGTTGTAGCTTTAGAGCCTTAATTAAAGCACCTCTCGCACTTAGAGTTTGTAGCAGGGATAGATAGGTAGTTATGAGCTATCTTATACAGTGTTGGATAGTGCTTACGCCCAATTTAATCCTACTAAGTGAGTGGATCTCTATAGACTATATCGTCTTTGGCCGCAACAAGGAGATCAGATTGAGCATTATTAATGTACTGCTGCAGCTCATTTGCCAGGCGTGCCTCCTGTTCCAGAGCAGCCCTCACATTACTAAGCGCGAAAACGTCCTCCGCGAACGCGTTACCAAAACACTAAGAAATTAATTAGTATAGGTACTTACTGCAGCAACTATAGCCTTATTAACATTACAGTAACAGAAGGCAATTTACTTTTTTCTAACTGCTAAGAGATTGCTACTATTAGTAACAGTAGGAACAGTGCTATGTTCTATTAAACACCATGACAAGGCCCCCGGAGCGCTGATCATTGGCCAATCGAAAGACAACAGATTTCAGGCGAGCCATACTACGAGAAGGCACTTTTTTGGAAAGGCTTGGGCGAAAAAATTAAAGAGGAATTATATTCAGGCCGAGAAATGATGTAAAGTTTCAATAATCGTACTCGCATTTGAAATGACTCCAGGATCCCGTGCTTCATCCTGACCAAGGAATAATCAAGACGGGGTTAATCGTCATCGAACAAAGGACTGTGGGGCTAGAGAAGTAGTCTTTGCAGTTAGTTTCTCTAGATCCTTGACATTCTCAAAAAATTGAGGGCGTTTCGACTTCGTTCGTTGCACGAGACTGGGCACTATCTTGAAGTCATACGGATTAGAGATAAGCGAACAGTTGCAACACCACTTACCGAATTCGAGTTAGTCTAGGACGCCTATTTTGGCCAGATTTTGGTCCTAGAGAACGTGATTATGTCCTAAACATCGCTTTAGTCTATATATATAATCATGAGAGTTTCTTTCCGGGTTGCAGGATGTTTTGGAGTCGATAGGGCGCTGTTTTAGGAGCTTTCAAGACTGGCTTGACCAAAACATGCATGGGTGCAACTATCGAAGCAGTTGAACAACGTGCAGGGCAAGGTAGAATTCAGGCCGTCTCTCTGGGTGAGGTACGAGTCAACCAGTATTCATAGCTTCATGAACGACCACATCGTGTAAAGTGCTTGATCAATCGAATCTTTTGGAGGTGATAATTGGTGAGAAAGAGAAGGCAGGAAGAAGGAGTAAGTTGGGGACACGAAGAGATGAGCTGGAGAACCTCATTTGATCAATCATAGAGACTTAAGCTCACGCCATGCATATCAAAGGAGGGGAGAGGCTCTTATCTCAGCTAGCTCAGACGTGAGGAGAGAACCGAAGACGCACAAACCACCATGCATATTGCTACTCCAAATAGAGTATGGCCTGGGGGTTAGCGGTTTCTGACCCCTGTCGGTAGCGTTTCTCTCCTCAGCCGTCTGAGGGACTTTTGTAATTTTTTCTATGAATAGGCCTATTTCAAAAGCATCACAATAGAATTAGATTTACAATATCTCTACTACTATATGTCTAAATAGGCTTAGAATTTAATAGAATGTAGAGACAAGCTGTAGCTATAAAATAGTATATTTTTTTACTAAATTCTAACTATTATTAGCAGAGAAAAATCTAAACGCGCGCAGAACTTTAACCTATCTATACCTTAATTTTAGATTTATAGTATCGCCCTCCTGACTAGAACTTGACAACTAGTAGACCAAATTCCCTAGGATTTTGCAGAATCCCTAACAGAGCTAGTCTGAGACAGCTCCTAGATCCTCAGAGTCCTCAGACAACAGCTGGTTGAGCTGCAGACATGAGGGCGATCGCGATGTCCCTAGCCTACTATCCAGCTTGACAACCAGTGGCCTAGATCTCCTAAAACTTTGCAGGCTCCCTAATAGAGCTAGTCTAAGACAGCTCCTAGATCCCTAGAGTCCTCAGACAACAGCTAGTTAAGCTGTAGACATGAGAGCAATCGCGATGTCCCTAGCCTACTATCCAGCTTGACAACCAGTGGCCTAGATCTCCTAAAATTTTGCAGGCTCCCTAATAGAGCTAGTATAAGACAGCTCCTAGATCCCTAGAGTCCTCAGACAACAGCTAGTTGAGCTGCAGACATAAGAGCGATCGCGATGTCCCTAGCCTACTATCCAGCTTAACAACCAGCGGCCTAGATCTCCTAAAATTTTGCAGGCTCTCTAATAGAGCCTGTCTTAGACAGGTCTTAAATTCTAAAGATAATATATTGTGTGGTTAGGGAGTCGCATTAAGGTGTAGTTGTGGGGTTATTAAAATGTCCTGCGCAGGACTTAATAGCGCAATACTCTGCTAAATCTTGTTAGAATTAGGTTACAAAAATGTTAGAATATAGCTAGAGACTGTCTCTATTACCTATTAAAATCTAACCTGGTTTGGACAAAAAGTAGTAGAGCTACAGTAATTCTTAGTTAAGCTGGTGCATAGTAGAGGAGGTTTAGAACCACAATATCACCTAAAAAATCACAAAAGTCCCTTAGACAGCTAGGGAGAGAAAGCCTTTCTTACACCCTTATTAGCTAGAGAGATGGGGCTTGCGCCACTAAGGCTACTAGCAGGGGCTTGCCCCTGTCGAGGCTCTCTCCCCATCTCGTCTGAGCTTGCTGAGATAAAGAGGCTCCACTAAAGTGTGTAGAGCCTAACCGATTGTGGACTAGATTCCCTCCCGTGAAGATAGAATTTCACCACAACTTAAATCGCACCTCAAATTAACTTGTTCGGGAAGTATACTTCACCCAGAGTTTTACACAGAGTCAAGTAGTAACGAAAGTACCGTTCTGGGAACAGTTTCTGCGGCAGCAACGAGCTGTATCTGCTCTTCTAAACGGATCAACCCATGTTGCCTCTGATGGAGAGCTCAGCCCTGAGAAAACCAACTGTGCTGAGAAGGTCTCCCTTAAAGCTCCGCGAGTAGTTGGCGCACACTTTTGCTCGTGCTCACCCATTTGACTAATCCTTCTGTTCTAAAGTCGTGCTATCACGTGACCCGTTTTTCCTGTCTTATCTTGGCAGGTGAATGGTAGAACTGCATGACATGCAACAATATCGAACATTGGCAAATTACACAGCACATGCGAATGCGCTAAGGTTGATATCTAGACGTCGCATAATTTGCTCCCTCAAATTTATGGTCCTGCAGTATCTCCTGTATCTTGTGACTTAATCAGGACAATGGTAGAGATAGTTTGGGACAAAAATTTGCATCTTTTTCACGTTCTTCCTAATTCCAGTACGAGGTCAAACAAATAAACTCTACTCAAATCATGTCTCACATTGGGTGTGAAGCTGCAGAAGCTGCAACGTGGAGTAAACTCCGGCCCACATTAAAGTGCCGAAAATAACCCAGGGCCTGCCTCCACCTCCCATCCATTACCTTCTGAGCTTCGGAGTTATCCCGCGACCGACCTCTGAAAACGTTTCCTGACATGAAATAGTCGCTGCAACCCGTCAGACGCAATCAATTTGAGTTTCGTTAGTCTTTAAGAATAACACAACACTAGTCGTTCACCCTGGGGCTTAAGGAAGGTTGGACATGGGGCCTGCATTGCGCAAATTTCACAGGAATGAATGAAGGAGTCAAACGGCCCGAACCGATTCTTGACGCTGAGGTGTGCAGTTTTGCCATGCAATTGCCCATCGCGCGTGGAGGCGCTCGTTACTGGCATGGCTGATCTCTCCCGCGTCGCCGTGGCTGGAGGCGTTCTTGCAGAAAGAGGCGCTCCATTCAAGCACAGCTCTTTGGCTGTTCCTGTTCCATGTGCCGTCGCCCTCGAACAGCTTCAATTTTTCGTTGAACAGTGGAGGAGGCTCTTTCTTTTCGCGCTGAGCGTTGCATGAACAAACGCACTGCCATCAGGCGCCCAAGTGCTTCACTGATGCCGAGCAGGGATACCCCCGCCTGCCAGAAAGACTTCGTTGACGACAGTGCAGCCGGGCTCGGGGTCGCGGAACATGCCATCCATTTCCCAGGTCGTCGAAGTGAGATGGTAGGACAAACGAGCTCGACAGGATTCAATTTCGGCGCAATTCCTTTGGCGCAATTCCTCGAGCGCAGCTGTGCGTCTTTCAGAGACTGATGAGGATTCACATTGCGTATCGTATGATTCCCGAGACGGCCCAATCCGCCCCCAGTAATGCCAGCAATGGGACCGGGGGCCACAGGCTTGAAGAGGAGCTGAGGCCGCCAAACCCTGGTGTCGCAATAATCGTGCATGCAGTTAGCAGGGCTCTTTCTTTTCAAGCACCTGCCAATCAACCCACAAATCAAACCACCAATATCAGTCGCGGGAAAATACCATTTACCTCCATCTGCCCTTCTCCACACACTTCACTACCGCCCTGAACGCACTGTCCTGCAGACGATTTGTCCGCGATAAGAGGAGGCCTTAGCTTCGACCTGAGTTCTCCACCTACGTTGCCTCCCTCCATTGAGTTTCGGTAAATATGTGAGAAGGGCTGCTAGTTTTCAGCCTCCTCCACGCCACTTACAACACTCGATTTCGTTTGTGGACCACATCTCACGTCGATGAGCCATGTCGGCGTTCACGCCAGAACAACTGGCGTACCTAGAAGCGCACAAAGACGACTCTAGAGTGCATGAGATATACTGGGTATACTCCATTCCTATCGCTGCAAGTATCATTAGCACGTCTTTGCGACTGTGGGCAAAACGAGCGGGAAGAAACGGAATCACACTTGACGACTACCTCATCGTTTTCGCGACCGTATGCTCACCATCTTCTATCCTCTACTTCAAACACTAATCACTAAGGTAGATATGCCTGATCGGCCAGTGCGCAAGTGGACTTGGATATGGTACATCCCCCATGTGCAAAACTGTTTGATATTGCTAAAGGCTAACAACGACGATCAGGCCCGCCCCATGGAATGGGCAGACATGTTATTGCTGTCGCTCCCTACGATTTGACTCAGGTTCGAAAGGTGCGTAACACCTGGCCAGAGTATTGATCATCGGTTATTGACATGAAGTTTAGGGTGACTACGTCTTCAGTCATTTCTACGACATCGCGCTTGTCACGGTCAAACTCGGTATTCTTGCTCTTTACCACCGTGTCTTTGTCGTTCCTCTATTTCGAAGGGTTGTTCTTGCGACTGCAGCATTCGTACTGGCGTGGGGGGTCGGCATTACCGTAACCCTTGCTCTCCTCTGCCGGCCCATAGAGGCATACTGGGACCCCAAAGTTACGGGAAAATGCCTCGACCTCACAAAATTCACCTACTTCACCAACATCTCGAATCTCATTACGGATATTTGGATCTTCCTCATTCCAGTCCCAGTCATTTGGCATTTGCAGCTCCAGACGAAGAAGAAACTACTTCTTTGCTTCATCTTCTCTATTGGCTTAGCGTATGTACTACCTCTTTGTCTAACTAAATGTTCTCTTACAAGCACGGAGTTACTGACATAAGTCGTGTGTAGAACATGCATCGTCTCCTCTATCCGTCTGACGGTTGTGCTCGGGCACACCAACCCCGACTTTACTTGGTATTACGTTCCACTCGGAGCTTACTCCGCCTTCGAACCTCTTGGAGGCATTCTCTGCACAAACCTCCCGATCATTTGGCATATGTGGCGCAAGAGGCGACCGCTACTTCCCGGCTCCTCGGCATTTAAGTCACACCCTTCGACGACTGCGACCCCTGGATCTAGCGGCTCTCGACGAAGCCGCTTTGCCCGCGGTTTACAATCGCTCGGCCTGAGCACCGTCAGCGAGGCTGGTACGGATAGTCAATCACGAACGATACTTGGTACGGAAGAGGATGGGGAGAATAGGTGGATGGCAGTAGCCAATCCGCAGTCCTCGGAAGCTGATTTAAACAAGGAAGGAACCAATGTGACAGTCACGCAGCCACGGCCTGCGCAGTTCTGGAATAAAGTTGAAAGAGGTCGTGCCCCTCAGCCTGAAATGGAAGTGGCAGGTAGTGCAAGTGGCGGAATAAAAGCTGAAAGGGAAGTTTTGCAAGACTCAAAGAGGCAGAGTTGGCGCGGACCAAAGAGCCCGCAAGGGTTGAAGAAGAATGTGTGGGAGGTGCGCAAGAAGTGACGAATCCATTATCAAGCGAAACCACACGCAGTCTCGCATCACATATTTTAGCCTTCGGGCCGCTTGAGCAGGTTTGCATTCACATTCACACCACCGTCGAAATACCCGGCCGCGATGGCGCACAGAAGTTCCTAGTTCCCTTCTCTTTTTGCTTGGATTTTGGTTCTCGGTTCGGACACGACACGGCTATTTGCGTATACCTATAATGGGCATAAATATGGTTATTTGGGATGGGACATCACGACCACGGACGCATTCGGTTTTGAACTGAATTAGTGATGGAAATACGGCTAGTGCCTCTATATAGGTTCTTGGGTCTTTGCATTTATAGCGACGGTGTCTATGGGTTTGTTCGGATTTCATTATTGGATTTGAGTGTCCGCGGGAGGGCTTAAACTCGACTTTGGCGTCCATTTCAGAACGGACTGAGATCATTTGTGTACGATGTGGACTGTGGAGCATAAATACAGCCTTCAACTGTCTACCAAACATTACAGATACAAACAATCTGTCTTCAATTGCGACATTCGCTAGGCGATAGCTCACCGCACGCATCCGTCGTTCCCGCTAATTACCAACACCTACGATTGCGCGCTCGATCCCTTCCGCGCAGCCCTACGGAATCTCACCGCAGGAACACTATCAATCCTCCTTCCTCCACCAAAATCCTTCAAAATCCTCTTCTTCTTCTCCCGTATCTCCATCTCCATCCCCACCCACTCAAAAACCCTCGTACCTATCCTCAGCCCCTGCGTCCGTCTCAAACTCACGCATCACTTCAGCACCACTTCACCAATCCCCTTGGCCCGTCCCTCGCTGACGCGGCTGAACCCGCAAAAAAGCAAAGTGTGGCCGACCGATGCAGACCAGCCAGACAAACATCGCATTTTAGCCTGGATGTTCTTTTAGCGAGGGATGTTTTGCTTTTTTGATGTGTGATCTCTCAATGCCTGCGGGTGGGCTGGCGTGATTTGAGAGTGCCTGGGGGTTTGAGACAGGGGTAGGCGAGGAAATACGAGGGGAGTGGGTCTGGAGTTGAGGAACTTGGTTTGATTTGCGAGGTATTACTGCATTGGGAAGAACGAGCGAAGCTAAGAGGCTCCTGTCAAAGCGAGTGAAGCGCACGTGGGAGTCTCGTGACTAGGCTCATTGCACATGTGGAGTGTGTACACGACAGTGCGCGCGTATCGCAACCAATGGAGAATCCGGTATTCAAGAATGTTGTATCAGCCTGGTGGATGGGCAGCCGTCTGAAGATGTGGAGATTTAGATGTTTTAGTATTCCAGGAAGTACCTTATCGGGGGAAATATAGACAAGAATTAAGCAAAGGCTGCCCTAGCTGCTATCACATTACCACCCACTTTGCTGCATCTGAACATAGAAACAAAAATCTTGTAGTGCCGTTAATATGGCACTATTGATGAAACACTCTGCCACCAGTCACATCTTGCCCCTCTCCCACCCTCCCAGGTCTCTCCATTGACAAGCTTGAAACTGTTCGTCACCCCAGGCTCTAGATACACATAGTAGTGCAAATCTGGGGTAGGGTCTTTGAGAAGCGGCGTTCCTCCCGTGGTGTTTAGACTCATCATGTACTTCTTTGAACCCGTCCACTGGGGCCAGTTAATGTTCCCTCCATATCCGACTGGAACGGTGGCATTTGGCATGTTGCCCTTCGCGTCGACTACAGAGATGACGGGGGTGTTGGCCGTGATGAAGGTGCCCCATATCTTCTGGAAAGCATGTATAAATCCCTTGCCGGGGACAACTTGGCCCTTTGACCAGTAGGCACTGAGATCAAAACCGTGATATGCTGGGGGAACGCTGTACTGGTATTTCCAAGCTTGAGGGAAGGCAGACGCAGCCCAATATGATGGGCAGTCGAACGCATATTCCGCGAAAACGTCAAAGAGGCGCTGCTGTTGACCCGTGGCGAATCCGGACTGATTTACTGCTGTGGGACCGGAGGATCCGTAGGTTTCGTAAAGTGGGTTTGAGGGGTTGGTATCCTGGTCGTCACCATCGTAAGAATATTCATTCTCCAATGCAGCCTTGTTGGCGCTCGAGAAGCCGGGGAAGGTGGTGTCGATGTAGTCACGGAATCCTTGGAGAGTATTCCGTGTGTTGGGACTTAGGGGAATACCCTCGTTAGCCATGTTGCCGGAGAGAATGCGCTTTCCTTGGATAGTTTTAGCTATAAGAGCCTGGGTAACGCGTTGCTTGACGAATGACCCATCGGTAACAGGAGTAAACGCAAAAGTTCCCCATGGGCCTGCCTCAGAGACTTTGAAACTTGCATTCTGAACCACTACTGTATCGGCATCACGCAGGCATTTGAGAGTATCAGCAGCCCCGCCACAGCCTGCAGCCTCGGCAAAATCGTCATAGGCCTTAGTTGGAACCGGATCGTCGAAATTATACTGATTTGGAATCCACGGGCTCGCTGTAATGATCTGGCAAACGCGTTAACACGTGATCTCATAAATCCGGGTCAAAGTTTACCTACGTTGTTGAATAAACTCTTGTTCTGCTTTCCGCCATATGCCACTGCTTGATACAGCACTGCTGCACCACCTGCTGATTCGCCAGCAATGGTGACACGACTAGGATCACCGCCAAATTTCGAGATATATTTCTGAACCCACTGCAAGGCGAAGTTCATGTCGAGTAAGCCGGCGTTGAGCGCACCGTCGGCCTTGACATCGCTTCCCGAGAGGAATCCGAACGCGCCTAGCCTGTACTGAATGACGACTGAAACGAAATTATTGCCATTCGTAGTCATCATTTCAGTGGGATCTAATCCACTAGCTGAAAATAGACCATACCCTCCGCCATCTGAAACTTGTCAGTCGTAACCCTGCCACAGGAGCTCTTGAAACAACTTACGGATCCAAAAGAAAACTGGCAGATTTTTTGCGTTGGCAGGGGCAAAAACATTCAGGAACAAGCAATCCTCATCTCCAATCCCAGAGATAAAGCCATATGCGGTAGGAGTTTCAGACGATGCACCAGTCTGCGGGCAATTTTTCGGATCGCTTGTGGCTGGGAATGTCTCGCTCCTGTTTGTTGCGGGAGCTTGAGGAGCTCTCCATCTGAGATTTCCAAGAGGCGGGGCGGCATATCGAATCCTGAGGGGGGCGGTTATTTCAAAGACCCAATGGCACTGTATATGATGAATACATACCCTTTGAAGCTGTTCGTTTTGCTCGCGGAGTCGTAGGCGCCTTGGTAGATGGCGTATCCTAAGTCAACTTTGGGTGCCGCCCTTGCAGCGAGAGGGATGGGTTCAGCAGAGACGTATGTCTCGCAGTTCTGCGACGAGAACAGCGCAATTGCGCTTAATAAGAGGGACGAGAAGCGCTTCATGATTCCAAGACGTACCCAAAACACTGCCGTTTGGCGGTGAAGGCCTCAGTTGAAGGTCCCAAAAGGCAGGGAACTGCAGGATGATGGAGCAGACCAGTAATCCCAGGTCCGTGGGATTGTGTTACAACATATTGCGCTCGACAGCGTTTGCCTGGACAGCGGTGGGACTGCTCAAGAGAAAAGAGATGGTTCCACTCCTGCAGGCGTGTCCGACAATTAACTCCAAGTCGGAAAGCGCAAATTTGATGGCGTTCGCTGGACCGACAGCGCGCTGCACAGCACTGGCTGGAACTCGTGCTTACGACCGGCGGCGCGGCCAGCACGAGCACGATTCATCTGGCATATCGCCACGCATGGGGCTGACCGACCGGGGGGGCGCCAGGAACTCTCCTCTTCCGCACGGGATCGAATGATGGACTTTTCGGTTGTGGGTTAAACTTGGGTCTGCGCAGGGCATGGCACAGTCAACATCGAGATTAGTCATGCAATATCGCAACATGTCATTGGATTCCCCTTTTAGCCCTTTGTTTCTTTTGACCCGTTTGGCCCGTCCCTCCCGCGTCCGAGGCTTTAAGCGACGAACCTCAACGGTGAAAGGCGCTGCAAAAAGAAAACATCCGCTATCGAATTGGCGCATAATGCGCCTGATATACGACGCTTCGCGACTCGAATTCCTCCTGGAAGGCATGGACAGGCGCAGACGAGAGAGCGGGCAGCTTCTCGTACGTAGAGATTGACCTCGTTCTGAAGGCTCCTCGTCCATGACTTTGGGCTCTCTTCATACATATAATTCGATATTTACGGGAGAAGCTATTCGGGATCAGAACAAGTCGTCCCAACGCGGGAGGACTGAGCCCAAAGTCCAGGAACGCGGAACAATTCATTCAGCTCATCCGGGGTTCCGGGCCAATGACCTCGATGCTGATGCAAAAGAATGACTCAATTCTTGGCCCGGCAAATCCAAAACATTCGCCTTGCGGGCGTGATGCCTGTTGGCGTGTGAGGAAACGCGCTGGCAGCCGAGCAAACACGGAAGCACGAGGAAGAGACGTTGCGGCTTGCGCAAGTGCCGGTCAGACATGCAGAAACGAGGACCTAGTGGCGCAACTAACTTCGCGAGAAGTGGGTGCGGATGGCATTTAATGTCTTCTGCAACAAGCTACTTTAGGACAGAAGATTAATTTACTAAAATTCTGTTTCCTGCTGAATATATCACCTCTTTTCTAACCGTGCTCCGTGATATAGAAGAGTATCCTACTGGCCATAGTGTTTCATAATGATACAGACAACAGACGTTAGAATCATGATGACATTGGTCTCCTATTCTAGCAAGAGGCTGAGCATATCAACTCTGCTCCAATTGCGTTCCCTGAGATGCGAGAGCATGCTGTAGGAATGGGCCTTCCGTCGCTTCCGTCACTACTGTAAACCACCCATTGTTCTATCACCAATTACTTCTTGTTTGCAAACTTCATGACCCTCGCAAATTGCTCGAAGGCCATGTCGAGGCCCTCCTCTTGTAGTTTCACTCAGCATACTACTTGACCTGATTGATCTCTCCATTGAAGGAAGTGACGGCGAGCCCAATATCTTGAACACCAGTGTGGGTGTAGTGGACACAGGCGAAGAACTCGATAGTAAGCTCAACTACCTCCTCGGCAAGCCCTTCGGCTACCTCCCTGACTTTCTGTAGGGCTTGGGAAACCCGGGAACTCGGGAACTCCATGTGGTGACTTCAACTCAACCTTAACCCTAGATGAAGCCTTGACTGTAGCGGTTTGTGATATCACAACGGGTGGAGCAGCGACTCGTAGCTGCACGCTCTCCTCCGCAACAGGTAGCCGGTGGAGTTGCTTGGACTTTTTCATGTGACATGGGCGGCTTCGGTATGTGCCTTTTACTTCTTTGCAGGGGGTAGGCGATTTGCGGGAAAGGAAACTACCCTCCCTGCACGCATTGAGGAAACGGTCGGCGGTACGACGATTTGACCCTCGACATGAGGTCCGATCGGTTCGTAAAAGGAATTTTCTTGATCTATTGGGGCATGGTTTTATCATCTTCTTTTTGGCTAGTGTCGAGAACTGTTACGAACTGGACCGACAAGTCGGGCTAGGACGTGCACCACTTTGAGCTGTAGAGCAAGCGGTAACGTCAAGTTGGTTCAACAGAGGAGCTGAGGCTGGGGCGGGAGCCATGGAAGTGTCCATAATTTAAGTTGTTGGGAAATAACATTGTAGTGAGAAGTTTGTGTTCGATATAGTATGGGTTGGTGGGTCAACAGACTCTGATAGTAGAGCGAAGGAATGCGTGAGAGATCTATAGTTTTCCTATTGGTATTGTTCTGCGTTTGGTATTACCGCCGCGCTCTCATACTCGGGGCTGAAAATACGTAAGTCGGGTGCGTCGATACAGGCGGGGCGAGCGAAGAGACACGCAGAGTATGGAGGGCTGACGGTGAGAGGAAGATGAAGCGGCTTGAGGGTGAAGATAAGTCTAAGGTTAGCAGAGGAGGAACCTGAGGAACACTTGTTCAAGATGAAAACTTAGGTCAAGTGAGAGAGAGGTTATACAACAATGCACAAGGACCTACTCACAGAAGTCACGGTTGTGCATTTTTGGAACCCATGTTCGATTGATAATGATTTGCATAGTTCAAACATGATTTCAGTCTAACCTGTACGTTTTCGAAGAGGTTCAGAAGGCAGTGAGTATACCACCTGCTCATACTCCATCATTAAATTCATAGTCTTTGTCCCATCGCTTATCCCACGGCTTACTTGAGTCGACAAAGCGTAGGTCAGTTCCGACCCGGATAACATTGCGCGGGTCGTAGTTTATTGTTGAAGCGTGGATCTGGAAGTGGTCAGCTAGCGTCCATCAAGTCAACATTGTTCAGAATCATCCCCTACCGCAAATGGGTTATGCAACACAACATCCCCCGCCTCATAAGAGGTTACTAACCACCTTCGACCAAAAGTATCTGAGTATTCTAGCGGACCATCTGCTAGCAACCCTGTTGACAGCATGTTTTGGTTGAAGGCATTCTTTGCTTCTTCGTCGGAAAAGCCACACTCATTCGCCTTTCTTGTGAACTCTGCTTCAACATCTCGGCCGAGGGTATGCCCTGCTGGAGGTCAACACTTAATCCAAAAAGTGTAAGCTTGAAATAGTTACCATTTTCCAAGTATATCAACCCTCCGCCAGTGATGCTGACATCTCCCATCGGCACCCAAGCAGTTACACTCGTTGGCTCCCCGTACCTCAAAAAGATCTGATCGTAATGCACACCAATCGCCTTATTGCCGGGTGTATTGTTTCTTAGCAGACTCCGCTTGACACTGAGAGTACTTTCACCCCAACCCGTAAGCCGGGCAATCATATCTTTCAGCATTGGGTGTTTGCAGAAGGTTTCCTTGTACCAGCTGGCATAGTGGGCTTCGAGTGCAAGGTCAACGAACTTCTCAGCGGCCACGCCTCCTGGTTTCCCGTTACCCCCAGCCGCGCCAGCTCCAATACCTGGGAAATCTTCTCTGCGTTTTGCTGGATCGAAAACGCCCTCGACGGGCAGTGTGCCGGGTTTCAGCACACCACTTGGAGCGAGCATAGTGAAGTATGCCTCACGAGCCTTCAGGACATCCTCCCGAGGAAGTAGACCCTTGAGAAAGACATACCCATCCTCATGGTAACGCTGTCGAAGTTCTTCGATGGGCATATCTGGGGAGGATTGCTTCAACGTGCCGACTTGATCCGGCCGAAGTAGGCCATCGTTGACAAACAGCTTCTCGCCATTGAAGCTTGGGACTTCTCTATCCGGAGATAAGGCGTGCGGCATGATGTAAAAGGTAGACGCTAAAATTGTACAGACTGGAAAGAAAGGAGACTGAACAATGCGAGCGCGACCTCCAATGGTTTTCAATGTCGAACTACGGATCCGTACATGTCTGGATATACCCCCACATAGTATTTCGGTCTTTTGATATGACGAGCGTCATGGTGGGCTATGGCGAAAGTTTCCGCATTCGTAGCAGTGGAGGTGTGGGGTTTACCCCGCTTGAGTTTTACGAAGCGCTGGAGCTGTGTAGCTGATGGTTTGGCCAACGGAGGATTTCACAAAAGCACGGCCTGTGGTTGGAGGATCCTTGGGGCATTTCGGCGAGACCTGCTTTATTGGGGCAATCGCCACACTTTCATTTTGAGACTCCGCAAAAGTCCGGGGAACAGATTTCCCACAACCCTGGCTCTACTCTCTCCACAACGAGGCAATTCACTCCGTCGGCCGCCAACTGTCGCCACAACACCCGTCTCCGGGCCTCTACACAGATGCCATGGTATCAAATACCCGCCTCCTGATTTGACGTGTGGCTGATGTTCGTAGTAATCGATGCCGGACACGCCACTATCGCTGTAAGATCCCCAAGAAGTTGTTTGGAACCACCAGACTCACCCACCCCTAGGCGATGGAAAGCAGCCCAAATGTGGCCGATGTGAGCAAGCAAGCAAGGACTGTGTGTATGAGACTGGAAGGCGGTTTCGGCGATCCTCAATACAAGAGACTTTTAGCGATTCGCAGCCATGGGTATCGCTTCCTCCGCGAAGTAAGCAAGTTAAAGATGCGAAGTCTCGATACATGTTTAACACCAACTGTAGTACAATTCCTTGACGAATCTCAAGAAATCCGCGCCCACTATGATTCCGACTGCTCCCCGTTCGGGAGCACTCCGGCTGCTCAGGACTTGTCGCCGGACCTAAGCAGGGCCAATTTCAACGATGCGAATCATGTGCAGACACCTTCGCCTTCTATTGTCAGTCCGACTGAGGGACTCACAGTTCTGTCATTGCTTAATTCAGAATCTCCAACCCAACCACAGCAGTCCTCTTCCGCACTGCCAACCTCGTACGGACCGGCGCTTTCATCCCCAATTGGATCGAGTACCCTTGTCCACCAACAGCCCCCAGGAGCTCCAGTGCTATGGCCACTGGAGCATGAGCAAGAAGCAATGCTCCTACGACATTATGTTGACGACGTTGCTCTCTTCGTGAGTCAGCCGATTGATCTGACATTGTGGAGTTAACCGAATTTAGTTCGACATGATTGACGACGAGCGACATTTTGGTAACCATGTAGTTCAACAGGCAAAAAAGAATAGTACCTTGATGAATGCTATCCTTGCCTTGTCTGCCCGGCAACTCAGCCGTACAACGGACTTTGACCCTTACGTCGCGGATGCCTACTATCAAAGATGCTTCCAGACCCTGATCCCTGCTCTCAATGACACTGTTGCAATCAATGAAGAGTCTCTTTTAGCAGCCACGATCATTCTTCGCCTACTCGAGGAAATGAATAGTAAGATGTATCCATCCGAGCTCGACATAAGGCTGACCCTAAACTAGTATCGATTGTCGGATCCGATCCTCAAGGCCACCTCTTTGGGACCCAAGCTATCATTCGTGCTGCGGAACAACAATATGCAGCCACAGAAGGCCCTAGCTTTCGCCAAGCGATCTACTGGGCAGCATTCAGGCAAGAGTTATGGATCTCTCTCATGACGCAACGTCCTTTTCAATTACATATTTTCCCTGCCGATCGTTCCCTCGAGCCTGCCTCGGACTCGATATGGGCCACCCGCACAATTGCTCACCTTGGAGACGTGTGTAACTTTGCGTTTGGCGAAGAGAGGCATAGCGTCACGAGGTATGCTCAATTGATGGATGAGAACACTGCATGGAGGTCCCGGCGTCCAGACAGCTTTGATCCATTTTTCTACCGACATGACCGTGATGGGAGTGGAAGAAGTTTTCCAGATATTAGGTTCCACGAGAAAGCTCATGGTAAGTCCTCTGGATTTTGCGTTGGCCTAACGCTATCCTGGAGCTGATCTTCTAGCAATGGGAAAACAATACAACACTCTTGCGCATGTTTTACTGGTTGTACACGACCCTACCATCCCCCAGCTTGGCCCGTCTCATAAACAGTCGCGGCAAGTAGTTGATGTGAGCTTGCTTAGGCCTCTATATTACTTCTACTAACAGGCAATGTTAGAAAATGGTTCAAGAAGATGTCCGAACATTATGTGGTGTTGCGTTGTCAAATCCTAAAGCCTGGCCCTCAAAATTCGTCGCATGCTTCGCGATCGCACTTGGTAAGTTGAATTCTAATATCAAGCGTCTATTATCCCCTTATCAACCCATACTGACCTGTATGAGTCGGCGACCGATTCACCCATCACGAGGACCAAGAGTGGCTTTGCCAAATGCTCATCCAGACTGAAGCTGTCCATGGGTTTCCGCCAATATCAACAACAAAACATCAACTCGAGGAGGCCTGGGGCTGGACTACTTGCTAAATCAAAAGCACCACCATAACGTACATGTCCTTAACCCTAAGCAAGACTCGACTCCGAAACCTGAAATATTATCGGCAAATGGAACTATGGGCTTTCAACGGCCACTTATACAGAAGCAATAGTTCAGAGTCAGGCCTTTCAGGGTGGGGCTGAACACAATTCAGGATCGCTTCGCTCAAGCCTACAGGGTACTGTACACCCGCAGGTTTTCCTTTGTCACAGACCTGCTAACTACGAGAAAGATAGCAATGGGAGATGATAATAATTTCCAATGCCAAATATCCCGGTGAACCCCGATTCGTGCTCTAGATTACCTTCGCCTCACCGGGGACCCTGCGAAAGTTGCGAAGTGGAGACCGCATAACTTAAGTCTCTTAGCTTTGAGATTACTTCTCTACACCTAGGCCCTGCCTCTATCCATGTAAGGAAACTGTTATCCGGTTTTATTTCTGGAAGGAATATTAGCATTCGTAAATTTAGCCTAGAAGCAAAGATAACAATACCATGTTTCCATATGCGTAGCTATCCTACTGGCTCGTGGAATTCCCAGGATGTGGACCATGATCACAATACGATAAGGCCAGTGCCTGGCGAGAGTAAGTATCCCGAGTGTATTGCTCACCACTAACACTAAACAATCGCCGAAACAACTTCTAAATGCACTGCGAGCCTATGAGCCTATATTTCGCATCTTAGTTCTGTTACCATTGATGCCTTACGGAATCGTGCATTCCACGTAGGTATCGAGAAAGGCCAAGGGACAATAGCCGCCGTTGGGGGTCTCTACTCATGCGCCCCGAAATTGTGTCGCTCAACGTACAGGTAAAACAATTATCAAATTGAGGACACATACTACTTGGAGGAATCTGGACACGCCAATACAAAATGCGGCAACTTTAAAGATGCATTTTATGCTATGACTAACTTAGACTGTTTCTCTCCACGTTGAGGAGGTGCCGCTTTTCAAAATGGGAGGGCCTCACTGGATGCTTTGCCAGCACTGCAGCAATTCACTCATTGGGGTGAGGCGTCTCTAGTTCGACCATCTAGATAACCTAGCTGTTTTCGCTAACATAACTTTACACACACGGATCTGCAAGATCTCATCTCTTTAGACTTGGTTCTCCTATCCGCTCAGTCCCTTCCAGCCACTACCAAAGTCAATTAAATGCATCACCATCAAGTACGTCAATGGGGATGTTCCAAAGTTTTGTATTCCCTCAAGTGATTTAGTGCGCATGAAGGGCATGAAGGGTATGTGTTATCTACTTCAGCCATTTTTCGCGTAGCGAGGCATGCCGATTTGCTGTCCAACACACATTCCCAACTTGATATAGTATAACCGTAATCCAACGACTCTCAGTGTTTGCTCTCCCTCAGTCAGGTTAAGAAGCCGAGAAGTGAGCACATGTTTCATAAGCTCGGCGGCGTACATTTAGGCGTACGTTTCATTTTCAGGAACCGCCATAGAAATGTTTCTTGGGAAGACACACTTAAAGAAAATTCATTCCATCCCAGAACGTACGCTTTCCAGGGATGCACTAATGAGGCTACCGTGTTTTCGTGAAGCTGAATATGGATATCGTTTAGACGATAAACTAGGAATATAGATCTGTCGAGCCTGTTAGAAGCAGGCCACCCACCTGCGGTGATGTCAAATGAAACAGGAATCAGCTCATTTCCGGCTAGCCACAAGCAATCCTTGAGAGTATACAGTCAGTCTGGATTCAAAGGGAGAGATTTCACGGAATAGAGGAGGAAAGGGTGTTGCCCATTCATAGAATTCGTTGAGAGGACCAAGGAATCCGCCTCATGCAGTAGACCTTGTAAAGACTACTCTGGGTCCGAGTGTTCAACATGAAGCAAGTTTTCGTTCAACACCCTTGAGCTGCCTTCAAATTGGCGGCCGATAGCTAGATACAAAAGGGTGTATCGCTAACCAAAAGACCCAATTGAGTGGCGGTGTTGCGCTCAGCGCTCCAAGCTGGCCCAATTTCGTACATTCAACGCAGAGCCATGACAGGTAATTGAAGGCTGGGTTTGTGTGGAGCTTGGAAACAGAGCCATCAGGCTATCAGGAGTTTAAGGACGAGCGAGATATAGGATGCTAACGAAATTAGAGAAACAATACATCTTCCCTGAATGTCAAGGAGTTAGAACAAGCGGTAAGGGATGCAGAGGAAACTTCGGACTTGCCCCCTCGACTCGTTGCGTGCTCAGGACAAGACGCCAAGACGCCAAAGGCGGAACCTCCCCGCTGGATTTTGCTCTTCATGTCTCGCCCCTCATCATCTTACGAAGCTAGCCGCGATTAACCCAGGACCACGACGCTCAATTTACTGCCACGATTTTCAGCTTACCTCTCCCAGAAGTTCACATGCAGAAAATGTCCTAATCACCTGAACTAGGACATGCAGGATGGCCCCGCTAGAGTCCTTCGTGGCGTGAGAGCTGAGAGCTGAGGATGACAACCAAATGCACCAAAAGCCTGAACCGAATCGAATCCTGAGAGCTATTTACTGCATCTATACGGAATGCGCCCTCGAAATTGCTGTGCTCTGGCCTTTCAATGCACTTATTTTTTTTTATTGAACATGGGACCGCCTCGCATTCTCCTATGCTCTTCGTGTTCTATTCTGTTGCAACATTGGTATGGTTATTGTTGCAAATTATCACGCTTCACTGCTTGATCAGAATATGCTGCTCCCGCGACCGAACCCCCAGCTTTTCGCTTCCATCGATCTTTTCGTCCTACCTAAGCCATATGCAACGTATTTGTCCGCTTAAGGCAATGGCTTGGGGGATTTGCCGAACAACTGAATCTGGAGAGCAGCAACTGCTTAGGTGTTTGGCATCTGATTCATCTCCTCTCCCACTTTCCTTCGCATTCTTAGCGCGCTTGATTACTCTGGAGTCGAATGTTACTGGCTACGTCTTTCTTTTGTAACAACATGCTTTCAGCTTCTCCAGACCTCAGCTCACCATTACCGATCACAGCGTCTAACCATCAAGCCTAGTCACCGCCGGGCTCCTGTAGGTGCATCCGATGTCCTCCTTTCTCCTCTATAAAGGTTGTGCCCTCAAGATCCTCTTCATTACTCTCGAATTCCTACCTACTCCGCAACCAGTTCTTCCTACAGACCAGACAAACACAACCTATCCTTTTGCTTTGAATCAAGCTCTCATCTTCCAAGCTAGTCGTCATGGCTCCTCGACACTCTGATGTGCCATGCTTCGTTCCACCCCACCCTGATCTCCTTGCTCGCCAAAAAATGGAACTGCTAAAGGTCCAGGGAACGGCCAATGAAAATTCCGTAAAATCGAGGACCCACTCTCTTGTCATGGGAGACAAACGATTGCCAGGACTTAATGATGGCACCATTTTCCCCAAGAGTCACTTTGACAAGCCGGTCTCTGTCATGGTATCTACCACCGCCAAGCCGCGACAGCAGAGATGCTAATACTTACAGGCAATGAGCAATGCTGCCTTGGAGAGGGCTCCATTGGCTGGCGCAATCAAGTACACGAAACCCTTGCCCCCCTTTTCGATGACCAAAGCTGACCGTATATAGGGTCGCCATAGTTCTCGTTGACTTTCAAGACAGAAAGATGAACCCGGGGGCGAAGGAACGTTTTGAGGACCTTTTCTTTTCCACCAGCAAGGTCCCCACTGGCTCCGTGAGCGAATATTATCAGGAAGTATCTAGGGGCAAAATTTCGCTCGCAGGAGAGGTTGTCGGTCCATTTACGCTCAGCCAGAACCTGGCATACTACGCGAACAATGCGTACGGAAGGGGCTGGCCTGAGCCAAACTCCATGACAATGGCAGATGAAGCGTTGACTGCTGCGACCGGAAAAATCAATTTCACGCCCTACGACAACGATAGAAACGGCTATGTGAGTGTGTTCATCTACCTCTCAACGCTCTAAGAGACGCTGTCTTTGCTAATGGATCTTAGGTTGATGCTTTCGTAGTCGTTCACGCCGGCAGTGGTGCCGAGGAGACAGGAAATCAGAATGACCTGTGGAGTGTTAAGTGGACAATCCCTACAGAACGGAAGGTAGATGGTATGTTATGTCCTACTAATTCCACCTACTGTTTTATTGACTTACTCACGTAGACGTGAATGTGTACGGTTTCTTGACCGTTCCAGAAGATGCGAAGTGTGGAATTTGCGCGCATGAGCTCGGGCATTTATGTGAGCCCCTCCAACCTGTCGTTTAAATTGATCAGCTGATGTTTAATAGTATTTGGCTGGCCGGATCTATATGATACAGACTATAGCTCAAATGGTATTGGCAATTGGTGCCTGATGTCATTCGGGAGTTGGGGAGGAAATGGAGCCAGACCCGTTCACCCTTCAGCTTGTACGACTTTTCAAACGTTCTGTTTATCCTTTGTGTCTAACATGTTTTTAGGGTGCAAACAAAACCAGGGCTGGATTGATGTCGTTACCGAAACTGAAAACCACCAAGTCACATTACAAGATGTGAAGACTGGCTACAAAACCCACCGCCTCTGGAAAGATGGTGACTCGGCTAGCCCTGAGTACTATCTCATAGAGAACCGCCAGCTTACCGGCTTTGACGAGTCTCTCCCCGGCCCTGGCCTCCTGATCTGGCACGTCGATGACAGCGTTTACACTAACGCAGATGAAAATCACCCAAAAATCAAGATCATGCAAGCTGACGGTCTTGACCAACTCAAGACGGGCATCGCGGGAAGGGGAGATCCTGGCGATCCGTACCCTGGCGTGTCGAATAACTCCACATTCAACACAGTCTCCAACCCAAACAGCAAGGCCTACTCAGGGATGGATACCTTTGTGTCTGTTACTGAAATTCCTCAGCCATCCTCCTCGATGACTTTCAATATTACAGTTAAAGCAATCAACAAACCTCCGACCGGCGGGGACTTTGATGGCAAGACCTGGTATAGATTGAAAAACACCTATGTCGGCCAGGGACAACCAACCCCCTATGCTCTAGACGTCATCAACGACGGTGCCGGGAATGCCGAAGGCCTCATCGAAATGACACGCGAGAACAATGTATCGGGCCAGTTCTGGCAAGTACTTCCTCACGGCGACGGCACATATGCTATTCGCTCGCTTTTCCTTGGCCCAAATCGCCAACTCGATGTCTACGGTAATGACAAGACGAAGCCACATGTAGGTCAGGCTGGGCCGTTCACAGGACAGGTCTGGATCATCAAACCGTGGGGCGATGGTACATGGCATTTGGAGAATGCTTACTCCGGCCAATATATGTATCTGGACACTATGGAGGGCGGGGGAAGGGTTGCTATGAATCAATCGAATTCAGGTAGACCAACGCAAAGATGGACTTTCACGCCGATTAGGGGAATCACAGAGCCAGGGTTCTAGCAACGGACCAAACAAAGCCTTAAAGGGGTTTGGGACTAAGTCGAGTAGCTTATGGTATCTGGTGCTAATGTATTGGTGGTTGTTACAGCCTTCAACATGAGTGTCGGTGGTGGGTAGGAGGTATTGAATTAAAAAGCGCGTGGACAAAAGTAAATTTATTGTGAAAGACTGAGAACGTATAATATTAGAAGCCGTAGACTACACCTCAACGTAATTCTAATTTTAATATTATTAACAGAGGATAAAATAGTCACTTATTGATGACAGTTTACTCGTAATTGGCGACATTTCTGATCCGAACATCCGGCTCTTCGACTTATATTTTTTTTTTAGAAACGATTGAGTGCTGCCCACTCTCAGTCTGTCACTCCACCGAGCTGGCTGGTTCTGCTCTCCCTTTTGAGTTCTCCAACAGTGAGCCCCACAGCGGACGGGCCTTGGGCAGATTGGCTTCGACAGATTTGCTTCAAGTCTTGGCTTTGTTTCAGCTTCCGCTCGACACAGTACTTGCTCCTATCTAGAAATCATCGGTAAAACTTGAAATGGCTTACCGGGTTCGGGGAGTCGCGGCAAGGTACACGTTTCGCTAATTCACCATGCGCTGCATGATGTGTCATGGGCCAGTCTCATGACTCGTCGTATTGCGGGGTTCTGAATGCAAGTAATTTTTGGAGAGAAAGCGATTCTGAATTGACCTGAGCGGCAGCCGATGCTATTGTGCTCCAAGGTAGAACATTCGAACTTGGACTTTGAATCCGGCTCAGGGTATATGATGTACTCGCATAATAAGTCTTTCAACCTTGATTCTTTAACTAGGATGTTGCTTCAGCTTTCTGTAAGTATCTTTCTGAGCGGCAATAAATATGCAGAGATGAGCCTAGTGCACTTCGTTATATCCCAAACGTTTCGAATAGCCTTCGAACGATATCGTCATCAATTAAGTGTATTTCAGTGTAATGTGGAATAGCCATCGAAAGGCGTCATTGAATATACTATTGATATTGGCGTCGCTTTCTAATGAGAATGCCATCCTAGACATCATGCATTAAAGTTGGTCTCCTGGGATTGCGACGATGACGGGTCGTGGGGGAGGGATTTCTTATCAGATGGAATGTCTCTAGCTCCCGCTCGGATGGTCTGACTGGTGACAGCACGTCTCGCTTGGTGCCGTAGTCTTACATTCGCTTCCTAACAATACGGAGGTTTAATGCCACGGAAATTGCCTTGCTCTGTCTTCGCTGGTGATTGGAGCCCTTCCACACGACGACCCTTTCCGACCTAGAATAAGAGTGGAAGCGAGGCGGGTAGAGGCACAAGGCGATCGGAACCTGCCTATCGAATTGATCTCCCACGACCTTGTGAACACCCACTCCGCCTATCTCTGCAGGTTAATACATGATAGTACTGTATCTGGTGTACGTCGTTTCGGGATACCCGTTACACGTTGGGCGAAATCTGAGCTGAGAATTTACGGAGGAGCTCTCAAGTTCCTCGACGGCACACGTCACGATAACCCAAAACTGAGGATCTTCGCGACATGTAGAACACCGCATTGGAACTTCAAAACGTTCGACTGTTTAGGTGGCGAATCAATGATCTGGAAGAACCCGTCACTACATCTGCAGGTGAGCAACGGACCAGGGGTACGCTGCAGCCCGTTCGCGCCGTTGGAGCTAGGGCAGAATTGCAGCACTCGTTCGCTTGCCTCCTGCACCTAGAGAAATCCGGCGAAATACCTCAGTCAACTTGCCCTGCAATGGTCAGCGTGGATTTGGCGATATGCTGAGCAGGCTCGCCTATGGTTTACGGCATGAAGGTGCTAAGAATGGAAACATACCGCCCAACGGTGAGTCTCACCATTCTGTACATTGATGCCCAGTCTACACATCGCCGAAGATTGCATCAAGTGTCGGGCATCGAGATTCAAGTCCAGCCCCCAATTCCACGTTCTGTGGGCGGCATTATTTCTGCACGAAATTCACCGCGTCGGATGACCCGCTTGACAAGTCGAAGGCTGCACACCTTCTCGATACATCTCCCACCAATACCATTACTGCTCGAGCAACTGTTCATTGCGAACATCCCATCGTCAAACGTCCCTGACATTCTTCACTCTCTCATTCATAAACTGTTTCAAAGCTTCCAGGGATTTGGAATTTGCGAACTACCACCTCAGGTCAGGGAACCAACAGCGCCAGAGGGGCTTCTGGGGTCTTTCGAGGTTGCACGTCGAGTTGTACGACAAGCTCGTTCTTTAGGGGCCTCCAGATCCTTTTCCGGTAGTTGGAACCACTTCTTCCTGCAATATTAAATACCCCACATCCTCCACGCCATATCGAACCATGAACACGAACCTTCCGATTCTGATCATCGGAGGCGGTATAGTTGGCCTCACACTGGCGCAGGCCCTACATAAAGCTCGAATACCCAGCATTGTCTTCGAGCGCGACGTTTCGTCTCTCTCGGTTGGTGGTTGGGGGATAACGGTCCATTGGGCGCTGCCGGCTTTCGAGTCTTGTCTTCCACCGCATATCTTCAATCGGCTGCGCGATATTCAGGTGGATCCAGAGCAGGGAAAGAACGATACAGGGCGATTTGTGTTCCTGGATTTGAGCAACGCGGAGCCACGGTACATCATCCCACCGAGCAAGCGGCTGCGGATCCATCGAAAGAAGCTTAGAACGCTGTTGACAGAAGGGGTACCGGTAGTGTGGCATAAGTCGCTGCTTAGCTTTACGCAGACGTCAGGATCGATTCTTGCGCACTTCGAAGATGGGACAACGGTTGAGGGGGCGTTGCTGGTGGGGGCCGATGGCAGCTCTTCACGAACGCGAAGATTGCTGTATGCTGGGACCGCAGATCCAGATGCATGGAAGCTGAATCAACTGCCGGTGCGCTTCATGGGCGTGACAATGCGATTAGCTCCCTTTCAAGCTCAAGTCCTGCGAGAAATTGATCCCCTACTCTTCCAAGGCTCGCATCCAACATCCGGCGTCTTTCTGTGGTACTCGATACTGAGCACACCAGAAGTAAACGGCAGTGGGGGAATAGCACTAACTCCAGAGTACTACGAAGCTCAATTGTGCTTGAGCTGGCGTTCGACTGAAAATGACGTCCCGGTAACCAACCAGGACCGTGTTGCAAAAATGAAGTTTATGGCGCGAAATTTCGAAGAGAGGCTGAGGAATGCTGTTTGGAACATCCCAGATGATGCAGAAGTCCTCGAGATAAATATCCAGGACTGGCCAACGCAGAGATGGGATAACAAGGAGGGCTTAGTGACTCTTTGCGGCGACGCTGCGCATGCAATGACGATGTATCGCGGTGAGGCGTTCAATCATGGTATAACAGATGCTGCGAGACTAAGTGAGCGTATTATTGAGGCATACGTGGGCGGTTACGATGCAGAGAGACTTCATCAGGCCGTTGACTCGTACGAAGTTGAAATGAGAGAGCGTACACGCGACGCAGTGCTTTTGAGTCGTCAAGCATGTCTCGACGCCCACGATATCGACCGCTTAGGACCACAAAGTCCGCTGGTGAGTAAGAGAGCGAAGGTCTTGGAACCAGGGCAGATGGCCAGTTAAATGCAGTCGTCGTGTTTCAGAATGTGGGGAGCGATCTCCCGAGATACGCCACGATTGAAGCGTTACTTTTTTGGGGGGGTTGGCATGAGATATCCGCTAAGGAACGGCGTATGGTGGACAAAGTGACGCTGAAATATACTAGATACCAAGATCTTGCATTACAATTCCTGCCCAACTAGGAGGCTGGAGTTGGCAATTTAACCACACAGGCCCGAAGCCGGGTGAATTTTACTGCCTCCCACTGATGCAAAGATGTGAGCCTCCACTTATATTTATCCCCTGGCGGTGTCACTCCTGCCCCTATTCGAGATCAACGCTGCACCCATGCGTTTCTTATCAATGGCGAATGCCCACAACGTATTCAGCAACGTGTTTCACTGCCTTGGATTCCTGGGGGCCCCTTGGAGGAATTGACAGAAGCGAGACCGCCGCCGACGTCAGCAAGACCAGCTTACAACATGGGATGTGCGTGATTTTTAAAGGTTAACGGATCAACTTCTGACCATTTCATTTTGCTCTGTATCGAAAAAATAGAGGAGACAGCGTCGATGCGTCTCGTCGATTCGCGTGGTCGAGGGGTAGGGTCTCGTGGGGTGCCATAGCCGGGTATCTAGCTTCTGGGGGAAGCCCTATGTCCACAAGGAGAATTATGGCCCCAATCCCTATGAGAAACCACAGTCGGCAAAAACCTTGTCCTCGGAGGCACAGGGAAAGCTGTGAAAGAACCTGGAAATCAAAAGTGCCAAGGGCTTTGATTTTGCCTCACATGCAATTCCGAAAGCCAGCTTGGCTGCCCATTTTTGTGTTGCAGAAAGGGCGCTGGGCCTGTGTTGGGTGCGACTGCTGCCGGCTAACAGTCCACCGTCATCAGTCTGCGGCTTTCTAGAACACCACGGCCCTATGTTGTCTGCTCTGCCCCAATGTTCACGACATTGGCTATAAAACTGCCAGAATAATTAATCTAGGTTACAATACCAGCCTTTCCTCGACCTTCCCTCCTTTGAATTCCACTGTCCAAGATATCTACTGCAGATGAGCATGGAACTGGGTTCTCGGGTCTCCACTCTTAAACATACGGTGCATGCAGAGGGATCATTGGTGGGGGGGGGGGGGTGAGGACTCGTTTTCGATATACGGTTGAGGAAGGTTGGGGTGAGGCAACGTGAGAGGTAATTGTGAGGGTGTAGAAGCGTGGTAGCAAGATTGTAGCACGAGTATTCGTCCATCAAAGTCGAGGAGAGCTCTATTATCGACCCGAGAAAGGCTGCAGCCTGACCCCTAAGCTTCGGCAATACCGTTTACGCATAGTTATACCTCTATTAAGAAAGCGCTGCTATTTGTCGCGGATTCTTTGGAATTGTCAATGTCAAGAGGAGTAATTTGCACGAGGGGTTAGATATCTGGAAATGGGCGTGAGGGAGACTCGGTACAGGTAGCTTCATAATGGGTAGGTGAAAGCAGAAGTCCTCAGCCGGGAAGTAGAAATCGATACTGTGTTCGACCTGCTCCTACAGCCAGTTGAGCTTCGTTCATGACTGCCATCGACCCTAGAACACGACTCTGTGCGATCTATATCTTTCGCTCCAACTCTTCAAAAGCCGACTCGCTACAATTTCATCATGCATATTCCACGGAAAACAATGAATTATTAGCCAGATGAGAAGGTAACGCGGACCTGCGAGGTCACTGCAGCGCCCAGAGGCTACATATGAAGCTGTAAGTAACCAGACTAAGCCTCTATATGCTAGTGCTTATACCTCTCCGCATAATTTGGCTCCACATCAATGCAACGCTCTTCCGCTGCACCACCACCAGACTTGCAGGAGCCGATGTTTAATGTGTCTAGCAGGGGTCATTAGGGTGAGGGTATTGTATTCGAGTTTGTCGGAGCGCCTAACCAATCTGAGTCGACTGCAACGCTGGCAGAAAGTTTCCCGCGAAAGTTATAAGACTAGCCGGAGATAGCTCGAGAGATCGCGCGTCGTGGCAGGGCGTTGGAGAAAGATTTGCTCTCGGCTTCGGGCAGGGGTGCCGAAAGCGGAAAGCAAATCAGGAACCGAGTAATTCTGTGAAGATGATAAAGCACTGGAGTGGCAACTTCACTTTTACTCTTTCCAACTATCCCAGCTTCCCTGCACTCTTGCGCATTCTACTTCCTCCATCTCCAACTACTCATTATGCTTCTCGCGCACCATGAGTGGTTATGCTCAAAGAGCCCTCTACACCTTCTAAGCTCTGACCTATCGGAGGCTACTCACTGGTTCCACTCGCTGCGATAGCTTCGGCCCCATAGCACGACTGCCAACGAAACCCTGAAAGTGTGGTCGGTCCTTACCCGTGTGAAGGATGGTTACAAGAGCTCTCGCTTTGGGCTGCTCACTTTTTACTCTTCTCGAACCTCAACTATCTCCTTGGAAAGGCAATATCTTTGGTTCCTCGCGTACCACTTCTAGTACGACAGTTACCCCGACAGCCACCCTTCACCCACCTGATAAGGCACTGCTCATTCCTACCGGCTTGCTTCTCAGAAATACACGTACCACTGCTGCATCTTGCAGATCTCAATGACTGGATCGCCGGGAACGTTGGGATTTCAAGAAACTCGACGAATCTTGCGTGAACGAACCTAGATGACAAGGGGTTTTATGCGGCCCATTATATGGAAGTGTGAAGTTAGCCACATAGATAGAGACGACCTGTCCTTGAGCGGTGGTTCATGTTCATCTGAGTACACATGAACAAGGCAATTGCCTTTCCATAGGCAGATGCTTTCCTCTTTAGGCCATGGATTTTGCTTTACATCTACAGGGGTCTGACAATGTCCGACACACCTACGTTTGGTCAGCCCAACTAGCTGCAGTGAGAAAGCGACGTGAACCCCTTTGGACTAGCGCCGCCACTTGTTTCCATGATGATCCCCTCTTAACGGAGACCTACATAACATGGAGAATCTAACGGTGACTTTCACAGCCCCTTAAGGCTACTTACTACCGTTATCGAGTGTAGGAGATATTCAGACGGTAATGAATCATATTACAGGCCTAGCTAAGCTTCTAACCTAGGAACGAAACGACCCGACTTATATTATACAAGGTAGGAAATCACCTTCCTTTATCAAACCCAGAGAAACCGCAATTCTTACTTCTCACCAGCTCTTTCATCCCCATACCTCCTCACAATATTCTCAAACACCTCGTCAAGCGTTGCTTTTCCTACGCTATAAAATTCGACACCTAGGTCGCCCTTGCAGGCTTCCAATGTTCGGATCAATCCTACCAAATTGTGTCCCTCGGCTGGGATTTCAAACCTAAGTTGGCCGCCTTGAGTCTCACGAGATATAGTCGCAGTCGGGAATGTATACTGAATCCAGTCCTTCATTACTTGGAGTTCCTGGTTTGAAGTGCGGGGAGCTGATCGAGAAACAAGGTGGAGGTGGAAATTATTGCCTGCCCGACGTTTCAGCGCTTCCCGCTCACCTATGGCAAGCATTCTTGAACTGATAATGGCAATGCGATCTGAAATTGCGTCCGCTTCCTCCATTGAATGTGTGGTTAGAACGACAGCACGGCCTTTGCTAACGCCTTGGAGGATACGCCACATGTTGCGCTTAGCATTCGCGTCGAGTGCTGAAGAAGGCTCATCGAGAACTAGCACACGGGGGTTTCCAACCAGAGCGACGGCGAGGGATAGTTTGCGTTTAGTGCCACCGGAGAGCTTCTGCGCGAGTTGGTCGGCCCAAGGTTCGAGACCGCAGGCCGTAATAACGGTGCTGACGTTGTGGGCGATGTCTTTCACTCCACGAGTTTTTGCGAAGAAGCGAAGGGTTTCGGTAACAGTGAGGACATCTGCGGAATCAAATTGCGGGCATACACCTAAGCTGGAGCGGGCAGAGATTGGGTCTGTGAGAACGGAGTGACCTGCCACAACTAAGTTGGACTCACGAGTAGATGGTTTTATGTCGCCGCGGATCATGCTGATAACTGTAGACTTGCCGGCTCCGTTTGGCCCAAGTAAAGCAAATATCTCGCCTGTTTGGACACCGAATGTTACATTGTCAACTGCGAGGTTCCTACCGAAGCACTTAGTGACGGTCTCAACCTTAAGATCAGTCGACTTTGATTGTAGGCGTTGAAGTTCTTCCATCAGATCCGCGGAATGCATCGAAGTTTCTGAATCTCCGACTGGTTTGCGAGATCTGCGTAGGAAAGACGGCCGCGGAAAGAAGCTATCCCACCAAAGCAAGAGCGCGAAGCACAGGATAGCCTGAATGAGGAGGTACAATATCGGTCCTCCATACAGACTGAGCGATCCTCCAGAGTGCCCATTGCACAAGAATCCAAATTGGCCTAATCCAACAGCAAAAGCCTTCTCCAAGCTTACTATCGGGGAAATTAGAGCCAGCGGGAAATACACCTTGTCGTTGATATTCTCAAGTTCCTGGAATGCGAACTTGCTTTGGGTTCCGATCAATGCCCCAAAGTATGCAAAATACATCACAATGTTATACATTGCCACGACGAACCAAGCTGCAACAGGGGACTTTGCAAACATGGAAACCAAGTAGCTTATCAGAGTCGAAGAGATGCCGAAGAGAAACATGACCACCCAAAGCAGTGGCAGGCCGTACCAGACTGGAGTCGATGCAGACAGCAAAGCGATGCCGACAACGCTAACGACCAATATGACCTGGGTATCAAACGCAAGGTGTGAGAGCCACAATGGGAAAGGCCGGATGCCGTTGGAGTACTGCATCGATCGCACATTTGATATTCGCTCGTTGGTCGGATATAACGCGAAGAAAGCAGGGTATATAGCCATGATTAGCCCATAATACAGCATAAACATCAAAGGTTTGATATCATATACGCTGGGAAGCTGGGTGAAAGGGAACTCTCCGTAACCTGCGGAGATCGGCACATTGCTTAGGTAGTTGTTTATCAAATTGTTGAATTTGACTCCGGAGTTGGCTTCCCAGACATTGAAAGCAATGGTTGGCTTGTCCCCAACCCAAATACCACCCCAAGTAGAGTATCTGGTATGGTTCGCTTCAAAGTACTTGGAAAATTCATCGTATGTGTCAACTGGTGTAAACAGTTCTCTTAGCTGTTCGGTGCTGTTGAAACCATAGTATGTAGGGTATCGAGTGCGTTTTGTCGAATAAACTTCCGCGATTTGCGCTAGTTTTTCGTCGTTTAGAGCATTTGCTGGTCCAAAAAGCAATTTAGCGTAGGTGGAGAATGACGAAAGGTCACTCCTGAAGCTATAATCTACCACGAGATCTGCCGGTTGGGGCTAAACCCTTCCTTAGTGAATAATTGCGAGATGTGGTGAAGAGGAATAGCTTACGCATTGCATGGGCTTATTGAAGCTCTTGATGAGCAAGGGAGCGACCCCAGCGCCAACGATGGCAATAACAATTGTAAAAAAATAAGGGATGTAGCGACGTTTGAGAATGCGAAATCTTTTGCAGAACAGGAGCCACCACTGTAGAAAAACAGATATTGGTCTGCCTTCTCTGAGAGCGTAGCCGCTACTTGTATCGGTGGCCATGAGAGCTCCACGCGTTTCAGTGTCGTCTCGTTCACCAGACATTGATGAACTCTCGTCTGAGATCTTATCCCCGGTAACTTTGAGAAATAGTTCCTCCATCGTAGGACCAGACACCTGGTAATTACGTATCTTGTTTCGGTCTAGATGCTCTATGAGCTCTGCAGCAATGGCTGCCGTGGAGACTCGATAAACCATCTGGTGCCTCGACGCTTCCTTCTCCACAGGACCAGAGAGTGGAATGTCGATGTCGACGTTCTCAGGGAGCTTCACCGTGAATCCATTTCCGAATGTGCTCTTCAAGGTCGCCGAGGTGCCCTCTACCTTAAGCGACCCCTTGAACATTATTGCGATATTATCGGCTAGGTAATCAGCCTCGTCAAGGAAGTGGGTCTATTCAGGGGTACACAGTCAGCACAGGTATTTGAAGTGACAGGGTTCAGTAATACTACTGCCTTATCTGTGCAGGGTCTTGGAAATACCGCCAAACTAGCATTTCACAATCTTTGCAACAGACCCTGGAGTGAGTACCCCGGAATTACGTACCGTCATGATTATGGTTCGTCTGGCACGCTCTGCGAGGAGAATCTCCCAAATTCTCCTTCTTGAGATTGGATCTAGCCCCTGGTGGTAGCCTTAGTTTAAAAGAGCTTGTTTAGAATCTCCACTAAACTTACCGTGGAAACTTCATCAACTAAGCACACACTTGAACCACCGGCGAACATGGCTGCTAGTTGTAGTTTTCGCTTCTGGCCCCCAGAAAGGGTCTTCGCTCTAAAAGGAAGCTTGTTTTCTAGGTCGCAAGCTTTTACTAGCTCTGCGACAACCTCTTCATTTACCGGAGCAATGCATTTCAGGTCACTGAAGATGCGAATGTGCTCTTCGACAGTCAAGTCGTCCCTAAAGGAGATCAGAGAGCATAGTAATGAAAAGAGTAAAAGCTTACCAAAGTACGTTATTCTGCGGAGCGAAACCAAGACCACCCGTAGGATCAATGGTGATTTTCCCAGAAGTGACCTTGAGCTGGCCCGCGAGGGAGTTGAGTGTGCTAGACTTCCCACTACCGTTTGGGCCTAGAAGACACAGGATTTGGCCTTTGAAGGCCTTCAAATCCATATTTACAACCGCGGGAACAGGTTTCGCTGCCTTGAAGATTGTTTTCAGGAGATTCGGTTTGTAACTGTAATTCAATTAGCTCAAGAATGGTAATTATATAGACATTCAACTTACGTCTTACAGAAGCCAGATAATGTAACTGTAGGAGCATCCGAGGCACTAGGTTTAGAGAAACCACGTCCAGGAGACGCGGTGCCGAACAGAAAATGCTCCAAGAAGAAGGCCAAAATGGGGTAGACGATAATTTGAACGCAAAGGAAAACCAAATGCAAATACAGTTTGATGCGCCAAGCGTCATCGTCTTCAGTGTGCTGCATTATATCGGCCTTCAGTTCCACGGATTCCCATAATGCTAGACCGGTGATAAAGTATGTATAGTTCGCAGAAGGGAAAAGAAGACTGAAAATCACAACCTGTGCTGTTGTTTGTTTTTGGAGAACTTGCGGGAGAATGGCAAAAACAAAGATGATTACGATCATTATCGAACCACTGAGCGGAGCTTTCTTGAAGAACGAGGATCCGAAGAGAGAAAATGAACAAAAGGCTAGGCCTGAGAGGATGTGGTAGCCAACCGGGATGTTGTGTGATGTCTTGGGAAACACTACCTTTGATATCACAATCCCTACTGCGAGCCAGCTTGGAAAGTATACAACAGCAAAGGAACAGTATGTTGAAACAATTCGTAGGAATCTCGCTCGAAACTTGGATCCTCCAGGTATCATGGTGTCGATAAGGCCGGACAAGCCTCTTTCACGCTCGGAAGCAACAAAAGACGTCATGTGGTAAACCACGCCCAGCATGGCAAGAGAGAAGATGGCTCCAAATATGTAGATGCAGAGGGCAAGATAATTACTCTCTCTTTGCTGGTCAAGATCGCTTTGGTCCCAGTAGGTGTAGACCAGGTCGCTTGTCGATGGAAGTGCAGAGGCATTGTTCGAAGTTGACCGTGAGATGATTTCCATGTCGACAGCGCGCTGGAAGGGAAGCAAATACACCTCAGGGCCATTTTTATCATTCTTAACGTTGACAAATTTGCTGCCCGAGGCTCTGTCGTCTCCAAGAATCGTATAATTCCAAACTCCTTTGTCACTACTCGCACTCCCCTCGTCCGGACTGGAGAGAAACACAACTGCGCCATAGCAGGGGGATACTCCTTTTACATTGCTGGCGCAATCTTTCGACATGTCCTTAGTATTCTTGTAAACCCTTGCAATTCTTCCCGAATCACGGACAGTCCGGGATAGAGAATCGATAACAGACGAAACTGCCCCCCCGGTCATGCCGTTATCCACAAAACCAACGACGTTGTGCCCGGAACTTGCTTCAAGCCCATCTTTGAGAGATCGTATCTTTGTTGAGTTAGTAGGAGAGACTCGGAATCGGATTGGTGACTAGTAATTATGTACACAGTTGTAGAGAAAGGGAGCCTCACATTATGCTGCCCGGAAAATCCCCACGTTTGATTAGAGGAGAAGAAGTTCTTGCTGTAGGCAACGACGAGCACGACGACAAGTGGAATAGCGATTGCCCTGATGAAGGTCGAGATAGGTCTTCTCGCGCAAATAAGGAGAAGGTTTTTGCGTATTAGCGCCCAGATTTGTCGAAGCAGAAGATTCATGTTTGATTTAAAGAGATGAGGGTGGGGAATATGAACTGGTGTATGAAGAACGGGCTAGCGAGTGAAGCTATGTGGAGTACTTTAGATTCTCATCGTAAAGTGGAATAATGTGGAGAGAGAGAGAGAGAGAGAGAGAGTTAGCAACAAAGAATTGCATGATGGTTTGAGTCTGCCTTGACCTTTGAGGGCCGCAGATCTGGGTGCCAGAGTTGAGAACATTGTGCTTCCAATGAGCCCGTCTTCCGAGTGGTACAATTAAACGTTCAATACGGCAGTGTCGTGGCAGGAAGCGGCGTGATTGGTGAGGTATGGGAAGGATGAGGCTTTGAAAGGGAGAAGGAAGCGGCTGTGTTGTCGCACTTCGCCTGATTCGGATTAGCCGACCGCACAGACCGCTCTCTAATTGCTTCTCCGATGAAATGCCCCTTCCTCCACTCAGTCCTTGAAACGCTATCTCTTCACTGGTTGATCACGAACATGGTGTGTCTTGTCTCAAAATGCGTGCGTCCTTGCCTCGTTTCTACATGGCTGCCCTTTAGAACTTTCTTTACATATTCGATTGCCAGCTATTTACCCATATTAGGCGGTGGAATGCGCCTGTCCTAAGCACCGCCTAACTCAGGCTTCACCGATCTAAGTAAACGAGGTAGGGTTTCGATTAAGGACATAAACCTCTTGAGTGAGCGAATGCGTTTCTTCTCTCAGGGACTGATTATTCTTTCGCAAACAATGAGACTAAGATCACGTATGTAAATTATCATCTACTACGAAACATTGAACGGGCGGGTATGAGACGTTCGGCCTTTGCATGAATACGGGAGCGCAGGAAGATTGTGCCTTACTACTGTACTGGATCAGGCCCTCTTATATTCCGTCCACACACTAGCTTTCTCGTGGCCCAAATGTTAGAAAATGCCTGTAGCAAAGTTCATCAAAGTTACGCCAGGCGGACTGACTCTGCAGGTCACTTCTCGGTAATGACGAGTTCACTGCAGACAACACCGTGTTCAATGACATCCGAATCCCATTAGATAGTAAGGCAGATTTCGAAAGTAGTTTATTGCAACTCGATCCCTGCATTGTCTTGTGAGAGATGAAAGTTTCGTAGTGAGACGTTGTGCAAGGCGCTGCCTCCTTTGCCAAGGTCCCTTCCGTTGTTGATGAGCAGGGCGAAGCCTCAAAAGATTGCGTCTCAAGAGGCGAAGCAGGAGGGAACCTTGGTAGATTCGAATCACGCATGCCCGCTTTCCTTCAATCTTGCGTTCACTATTTATTCGGTAAATGCACACTGTACTGTAGAGAATGCGTCAATGATCTTCGATTGTCCGTTTCCGTCACTTTTCATTCCAATTTAATTTCATTTCACCATCCTGTCTTTGCTTTAATGATGTCTGCTGCCTAGCCAATTGTTAGCATTTTCATTTCTCCACTGCAAAGGCGACTCACCTTTTCAGCGCAAGCATATACAGTCATGCTCGTCGTGGCCCCTATCAGGGTTGGCATGATTGAGGCATCTACAATTGTTAAGTCCTTCAACCCATGTACCGCAAGCTCCTCATCCACCACTCCTCCCCACTCTCTGGGCATCTTCGCCGCCGTACCCACGGGGTGATACACGCTCGGGTTAATCATATCTCGTGCCCAATCTTTCAAAGCATTGTCGCTCGTCACTGCCACACCTGGACTTAGTTCCTCGGGGGCCCAAACTTTTAAATCGCTTTCCGTCATGTATCGGCGCATGAATTTGATGATTTCCACCATTACATCGACATCAATTGCGTTTGTTGCGGCGCGATAATCGACTGTCATTTCGGCATTCAGGTCATTCTTCGGAGGGAGCACAAGACCTCGACTTAACGGATGCAGATTCTGGATACTCCCGCCAGGCCCGAACATCATCATCTCATTCCACTGCATATTCTTCTCGCGGAAGAGCTTGGAATAGACTTTCTGCTGCTGCTTGTAACCTTCGATTTGGTCTTTTGTGTAAGTGGCCGGCAGATGAGAGGCCGGATCTTGGTTTTCGAAGGCTTTGGATAGCGCTTCGTACTTCTCAGGTGATACAACAGGCATACCGATCATGGCAGCGAGAGTAGGCGGAACTGACTTGCCCCAGGGATTGCGATCCTGGCGCTTTGGCAGAGAACCATTTGGCGTTATGCCCCCTTCCCGGCGTTAGATCATTTTCCGCGGAAACCCAACACTGGAGATGAGACACTTACATTTATAAGCGATCTGTGGGATATAGCTATGATCCTGAAAGTTCGAACCTACGCCTGGTAAATCTTCAACTACAGAAATGTTATACTCTTTCAGCAACTTCGCTGGCCCAATACCACTCTGCAGTAAGATCTGAGGCGTGTGGATAGATCCTGCAGCCAATATCACCTGTTTCCGGGCCTTGGTAGTGACAGGTGGCACAGTCGAGTCGTTCCGGGAAATGAACTGGACACTAATAGCTTTCTTATCACTATTGAAGTTGATCTTGTTGACTTTCGCGCCGGTTAGCATTTCATAGTTGGCTCTGTTGAGACCATCCCAGTGGCCTGTACGAGAGGAAGAGCGTTTGAACTCTGTGCCGTCTTGTGAGATGGGATACCAGTATAGTCCTGCTTCCCCGGAACCGCTGTCCTCAGGGATAGTCATGCCGGGCATTTTAGCCATTGCGTTGTAGAGATTCTCTAGAGAAATCATTAGCAAATTCTGAGCGATTTCATATAGAGATCAAAGCTAGCATACTCATGAATGGCTCAGGACGACCTCCACTGAAAGTTGCGTAAACCCTAGCATCCTTACCATAATACTTTGAGTTGTAGCTCATGTTGAATTCTGCCGAAATCTCAGGATCTGGAGGGCTTAAAGTAATTCCCTTAGAATTCTCATCAGCTTTCCCTTGTGTTTAGTTCTACTTGTACGGGAAGTACCTTCCGAAAGTAGGGAAGTAGTCCATTCCAGTCCCATGTCGAATTCGGCCCACCTAGCTCTTTCCAAGCATCATACTCTGGCTTCGAGCCACGAAGAAATACTTGTCCATTTACGATGGAGCTTCCGCCTACTACACATCCGATGCCAACTTGGAATGTGCGATTCCTTAAATTTGGCTGCATTTCTGAGGTGATATTGAACATTCGTCGTGGAGCCATGTTCACTTGCGTGTCTAACCGGGTATTTAGAATAGGTAATGGCGGCTAGGAGGGGGAGGAATTCGTACCAAAGTAACCGTACTCGAGCACTAACAAGGAGTCTTCGCAGCTATATTAGCTGGAAATCCTGGTGTCAACTAATGGTACTCTCTTACGCTTGCCGCCCTCGGTGAGGCGGTCTCCCACGGTTAGACCAGACGTACCACCTCCAATGATGATATAATCGTACTCAGTGGCTAGTAGCTGAGACGGATCTGTTCGAATTTGGGCATTGTTCGATCCCACAGCGATATGTGAGATAGCACTAACCCAGAAGAGTAAGGTTATTATAGAAGGCATGCCAAAGATTTGGCTAAGAATTAATACAGGGCAGGTGGAATCTAGAAGATGGCAACTATCTTAGACTAAGGCTAGACAGTCACTACAATACCTTATGATGCCGATTGAGCTTGCTATATATAATTGATTCCCCATGGCTTACGGCAACGACAACGATCTGTTGATCTCTTCTGAGCCTGAAAGCGATCTCACCGAAGGCGCATGCCCATTTCATATTCTTTTTATATTGGCCAAGTGCCGAGGACAATTTGTAAGGACAAAGAAGGCGAACAGTCTTCGTCGTGTTGAGAGTGTTGAGAGTGCGGAGCGAAGACGAGCGAATCGGCAATCAGGATCATAATTATGGTCATCGTGGAAGGAATACTGAGAACATTGCAGGTGAAGGAGAGAACCGCGCTCTTCAGTGGTATCACCAACTGGCTGGAATTTGAATCGAGCAAGGATTCCCCAACTTTCCCCGTCACGATCTCTGCACCCCGCGTTTATGTCGCGTGAGTTCCATTAACATCCAGCCTTGGGAGTTAGAAACACACTTTCCAACCTTGGAACTCGTTTATTTCCCCTGCTCCATCCCCCTTGCCAGGGCGCAAGATCGGGTAATTTACAAATAGTTTGACAGATCGAACCAATCCTGTTCTATTAGGTGGGTACTCGAGTTCTGGCGACTTGCGAGAGGAGTCGTAAAGGGGTACGTACTTAGCCGAATTTGCGATATGAGATGAACCACCTGCCACATGTCATGTTTTGTAAAGTTGTATGATTTCAAATTATTTTAAAATAGTATATTTCCCGACGGAAAGAGATTGTATCGCTGGATATGTTGCGAATGCGAGCATGGCGCGAGCCGCTATGCCCATGATGGTACCTGTGCGTCTTGCAGCCATTAGGGATACAAGAGTTGTATTGGCGAGTGCATTCTCACCAAGTAGGTGCACCACCTGCAGGTGGTTGATACATTTGTCACTGGCTTCGGACCTTCGGGCTCACGAATACTGTTGCAGATATTCTCTTGGACCCCATGCAATGGCTTATAGCTGGAGGAAGAAAAAGACGTTGAATCTCTACCATCATGTATTAGTTTTGCTGTTGTTTCATAGCATCAGTGAGGCACTGAGGCACCTCCGTCAAAAACATTTTAGGTGGACTCATAGCGGTTCGTGGATTAACAACACGCAAAATATGCTCTTTCAACTTTGTCCCGGGTTCTTCTATGGAGAATTAACGAGGGTGAATCCCTTTTCCTGTCTCCTTGATTGACGCCAAACTGGTTCTGTATCGCGATACATTCCAGCTGAATCCGTGTAGGAATAGGCCTCATCCCTAGACCCAACTGCCTGTGCTTCATTCGGTACTAGCAGAACTTTCCCTATCGCTGTCTCGACGTGGGCATATTATTCTCGAAATAGGGCAGCGTCGGATATCGGTAGCTCTCCTTAGATATTTCTGGGAAGTCCATCATTTCATCTCGCTGGAACTCCAAGGCTTACTCATAGTCTGAAGGTGCGCCTGAGCCCGCTTGAAGCTTTCTTCGCGAGGTTCAACGATTCCTGAATATCCTGCGGTTGGCGTTGATCCGCCTCCTTTTGCTTCCCAAGGCTCGTCAAACGGCCAGCTTCTTCCTGGAACCGCCTGTTTTGACCTTAAAGAACGGAGCTTGCAAGACAAGTTTCGAGCGCATAACCCGCCAGTGGAGAGGATTACTCCACGTTGTATTCGGCGTCTACTATGACCTCTTGCTCCTTCAAACGATGTTCCTCTTTTGCAGCCATTTTTGCTTTGGGAGGAATTGGTCCCACATCCTCTCTCCTTGAGTTCCTCTTTTGCCACTGGCCGCTGAGTAGACTCTTGAATGCGCTCCACTACTTTACCCTGTCATTCATGGTCGTCTTCTTTAGCTTCTCTATTCTCTCTCTTCTCTCTTGTTCGATCTGCTAAAGTCTGGGTCTCATCGTGTGTAAGTACACGCAGAACAACCACGCAATCCTGACGAACTTCGAAGCGTTCCTTGACCTGTTTCAATGCTTCGGGGCTCACAAATCTCCGATCGATTTTGGTCCAACGAGCACCAGGCGGAATATGCTTGCCCTTTAATGCGCTCTTATGCGGAGCAACACCATCTTGAATTGGGTGAGGGTCCTCAGGGAAGTTTGCAGTCGGCTTACGAAGGATGCCCTTACATACAGTCTAAATTTCAGGCTCTCGTATGTGACCAACAGTATCGGGGCTTCCTGGGGATATACTTAAAGTGACCACATCTGTGGGTGTGAAATTTAACCGTTCCAGGTTCTCGGCAGCCTCAGGCAGAGGTGTTTGCATTTTTGAGGGCTTAGGGAAACACATATTGCGGGGTCAATTTTTTTGGCAATGATTACACCCAGAGCCGTCTCCGGGGTCGCCAGTGCAACTACAGTAGACTCTTGATATAACAATACAATTTTTCCTTAACTTTTTAACTAGTATAGCAAATTATTATATAATTAAACTAGTCACATGTAACTTAAAGGCATCTAAAAAAGCCTAATCTTAGCCTAAAAAGGCTTAAACCTGCCTAAAATAGCTATTTAATGTTCTCTGCTTATGCTGCTTAACGCTCTAAAGCTTAGACTACTGTTTAAGATAATTAAAAGCCTTTATGTTACTAGTAGTAGTTCTATCCTAAGCCTTAGTAAAGCGCTAAATAATTAAGAAAGCTTTAAAAGCTGTAAAAGAGATAGTAAAAGCTTTAGCTTATTTTTTTTAGAGTAACTTTAAAGCTTACTTTTTTAGTATAATAGTATAAGAACAGGGCTCTGTAACACTGCGCCAATACAACTAAAAAAGTGCGAATAATCAACCAACAGTTGATCTTGCGTACAGAATAGTATATATACCCGTCGCACGTAATCGCCATCTCGGCCTTACAATTACTAAGTAAGTTCGAGATAGTTAACTAGGCATCTATATCTTTGTAACACAGTTAGGGCTTTTAGGAGTAGTAGTAGGCGCGTACAGACTGCCTTTTAGCCTTAGAGATAGCCTACTAGGCTATGTAGTATAGTAATTTTAGGTTAATTGTAACAATATTATTGTTCTAAGGCGAACAGCTTTATTAAGAGTCTACTGTAGTCTAAATATGTTTTCTAGTGAGCATGTATCTACACCTCTTCAACGAATCTAAAGTCAATTAGTCGAGGAACTATAAATCTAGGCCTAGTTGAGACTAATTAGCTCCAATTTAACTGATACAGCTTTGCGACATCATCCTCATTTTCCTTCTATTCCAAGCTCCTCCAAGTTTGTTTCGTAAGCTACAGAACGCCGGCCCTAAGTGGATCAAGGCGCAGGTAGTAGATTTTGTTCAAAGGACAGAGAGCTTCAAACACAGCGCCCACATTGCCCAGGTTCGTCGCGCTTCAACATCTATCGAGCTGACACTTTGCAGAGTGGGGTGCTTCCCAAAAAGAGAGATTGATGGTGTTAAATGGAAACCCAATTAAACTAAGTTGTGCCATGGCTGTAATTGTTCGTTAGGTTTATTTTATAGGATTTGAAACGAAGGAAATGTTGAAAGCTTTATACATTGGCGTACAAAATGTGGGCTTATAGAATACATCGAGAGTCCTTTAGTCAGTGGATAGGGAAGGGTATTGTGTGCAAATAAAAGCTCGCATGTTCATATAATCTGAAATGCGTAGATTGGGAGATAAAGAATACGTAAAACATAGGGAGAAAATCATGACCAATTGGGTGTTGCAATGAAAGGACGGGATGTGATTGGCCTACTGCCCCATTATCTTTTTGCCTACCAAAAAAACAAACACTGATTGATCAGATACAAAGCTCAATAAGCAACTATCAGCGCAGAGAGTATAGAATCTACGCTCCCTTTCATAAGTTTTCTTTCTGAAGGCCCTGGCGTCTCTGATGACAGCATGCTTTCATTCTAGAGCCGAGCTGCGATCCGGAGAGTCTCGATGTGGCCGTCATTTTGGCAAAACCTATTCCGATTTGGGTATTGGTCTGACCAAATCTAGTGGCAAGCCGAGTCAGATACATGATGAGAAGAGTGCACGCGAGAAGGAACTCCAACGCTGTGGGAAAATTTTGCAATCCAAGTGAGTCACCATACTTGCAGAACATTCAGCAAAGCATAGTCACTCGAGGATCACACAATACCAGCGGACCATCTTGCTTTGCCCCTGACTTGCTCTGGTAAAGCGGCGCCGTGGGAAGTAACAAGATCCCGGAAGTGATCTATCCGTGCAGCTAGATACCATCAAGATATAACCACTGTGAAAGAAGTGAACTGTCTATTCCATGTGTGCTCGCCACCATCGGGCCTTCACCGACTTTCCCAATGCCATGACTGAAAGGACGCCTCTCTATCAGATTCAAAACTAGTTCGGTCATACCCTCAACCGCCATCACTCTATCTCTTCGCTACAATCGTACATGGTTCCTTGATATGCCAAACCCTAAGCTTTGGCTCGCCCAGTATTTCCCTTTGAAGGATGTTTGCAGTATTACTCCTTACTCTGTTGCCTTGGTCTTCGCTCTCTGCCGTTGGAAGCTCAGCCTCTTCTACCGTTGCGCCCACCTCAAAGGTGCCACCACAAAGTGCGACGATTCCAAGTTCGGATTCAACTGCTTGGCCAGCAGGAATTATTGGAAGCTTTTTCTGCAAGACACCTGTCCAAGAGAATCGCTTATCCAAGTCAAGAGCGATGTTGTGAGGCAGGCCGGCTACATGAGGTTGCAATCTTAGGAGAGGTGATACAGGGTGTAGACTCCGATTATGAATTTTCGTCCTGAGTGTCAAGAAGTCGTCGACACAAACTTCGAATTTTGATTGGCCAATCTGCCGAACTTCACCTCCTTGTCCTGGGGAATCGGGTACAATTTTCGTCTCAATCATGACATCGTCCAGTTTCATTGCCTCTACCATCCTCGGAGTGAACCGAATGCTTCGAAGCTCAATATCGCCGTGTCTACCGTTACTCTCCTCTTTCCAAGTGCCTCGAATCCGCTTCAGCAACTCTGTCCGGAACCAAAAGGCCTCCCTGCTAGCTCTCTCGGCTTCTGGGGAGATTGTGCTCGCACTGACGACAAATTGGCGTTGATTCGCGGGGTTTAGTGAAGGGACTGCAGCGTAGGGGTCTGTCAAGTAAATTTTTGGAAGAACCAATACAAGGCGGTTAACGTGTCCGGGTTGAATTACTTCATTAACTGTGTATGCTTTGCTCCAGGACCCGTCGGATTGGTCCTCCTCGGTGGGTATCGCACGAACTTGGAGTGAGATGGAAAGCGGATTTGGCCATGAATTCCGAAGGTCAAGTAGTAGCATGCAATACTCATCGCCGAATCCTTGAATCCTAGTGTGGCGTAGGAAAATCTGGAAATGAGTATCGTCTTTGTTAAGGAGAATGGGCGAAGGAGTGGGGGATGCTACCTGCGAAACTATTGACGTAGCTCGTGAACGATTTTGTGCATTGGACCAAGCGAAATCGCCTGACAAAGGAACAATATCTGGGCGTTGGAGTTGAACACTCGCATTGACAGTGATGGAGATTGGAACAGACAGCTGCCGCGTGAAGAAGCGATCTTGGACTGCTGAACGCCTCTTTCCGAGGTTCGCGTAATCGAATTGAATGATCGCGTCTGTTAATCGAGTTCGACCAATGACTTCAATCTCAAAGGATGCCGTCTCTCCTGGTTTTATCACAAACGCCTCTTCATCCACCTCCCTACACCACCGGAGAGAAGGAAAATATGCAAGCTGAGTTTCAAGTTCGTGCAACTCAGCGGTGGGAAGATCTTTGTTTGTTGTGGATGCCTGGATCGCGGAGGTTGCAGAATCTTGAAAGGAGACGTGGATAAAGTCGACCGCGGTTGTCTGCGAGGTGTTCTGAAGTGTAATGTGAAACCGTCTCCTTTCCCCCTCAAGAACCATAAGAGCGGCCTGAGGAAGCGAAACATCTGTGACTATCACCACAGGCTGGTCTGGAATGACAGTGAAGGTTAGGGTCTCTGGCCTTGGAGGGTTTAAAGCGCTTAACTCGGCAGAGGTAGCCACTGCAGATGGAGGACGGGAGCTAGGAGCACCTTGGCAAGCCTCAAGTCCAATCTTCTTCATCTTTGACTCTCGTTCTGGTTTCCATGGGTCTGGGAATATTGGGAATAAGCGCTCACGGCACCCCTTCACTTTGACGAAACATCCAGTGATGTTTAAGAGCCCAGCGGAGCGCGCCATACCAACAATCGGGAACTTTTGTGTTCTGTATGGGCCAAGAATAAATAACTTTTCATGAGCCACAAAGTCCACCCCCTCCCCCGCTATCCTTAGGGAATTGACTTCTAGCTCAAAGTCGTACGGATTCTGAAGGGCAATGACAAATCGATACTCGTTGTTGGCAACGAGTATTGTCTCGGTAATACTGGTGTCCGGCTGCTTTAGCCAGGGATTGTGAATAAATGGGCCTTCTTTTACCGAAGAGCCTGTTTCCAACTCGGCGGGACGGTGATGGGTCAGCTTGAGAGGAATGGCTTCTTCCATAATGAAGAGACCGCGAATCAGAAAGTCATCCCAGTAGTCTGTCTCGATATGCTGCAACCCAAGCTTACTGGCTGCTGCTACAGTTCGAGAAATATTTGTAAAGAGTCGACCTTGTTCCTCGCGGGGAAGAGAGACAAACACATCTGTGCTATTCGATTTGGGCGCGGTGCCGGGACCAGCCATCCTAAGCAGCAAGGCAGTGAAGTGCAATACGCCACTGAAGTCTGGCAAAGCTTCGCAGAAGGTGATGCACATCCTCAAGATGTCTAGCTTCAAGTTTAAACTCCCAAAAGACCTCAACGATGAAGTTCTAAGAATTTCCTGGACAACGACTTGGTTGGCCGTATTTTCTGAGGAACCTGTGCCACTGGGCGCAGTGGAAGAATGTGTCAGAGGATTAGTGAAAAAGCTCTTTGAGTTCGGTATGCCGTAAATCCGCCCAAGAAGACCTAGAAACTCGTCGATACCGTTCTCAACCTCCCCTTCCCCGAGATGCAATGCCCCGGCTCCGGAATTTGTACCACTAGCCATGTTGAGAGCTGCAAGTCCTGCTGCAGGGTGCACACCCATCTCAGCAGCACCTATTTTCCGAGCTTGAACGAGTCCAGGGATCAGCGAGGTTATGAATTCTTTCATGACAATAGCCTTCTTTCTTTGTAGCCCAAGAGAAGATAAAACGGAAGCGATCCCCGCGAGAACGACTACGCGGTCAGTAGGAGTCATCCCTGCAACCTCAGTTTGAGCCGGCAAGGCCCTGAAGAGCATGGTGGCTATGTCGTTTCTTGTAGGATTGACGCACACTCTGGGGACAGACAACCTCGGCTTTTGTCGAATAGGAACGTTCTGAACAAGGTGCTGCAATGCATTGTCGTCTAGCGTTCCAGCCGAGAGATTCATCACTGCCATTAATTTTGAGAACCGAATTACGCATTCTGAGAATGCCAAAGGCGGAAGAGCTTCGCCAGCGAAGTTTGATGCTCGGTTGTAGATATTGAGAATCATATTGACAAGATCCGGGATGAGAGAGTTGAGATTTTCGAGGGCAATCTCATGACTAGATGGTTTCGGAGGTACAGCAGTTGTGACATCTGCCATACTGCTCGACGGCGTATGTTGGGGAGATTTTGTACCCGAAGATTTGTCTGCAATTGGATAACAAATCTGGGGTATCTAGAAAGAGCAGAGGCCATTGATCAGCTACACCAGTAAGGTTTGCTACTTTGAGGAACTCACCTGAAAGTCCATTCCGGACCATGCAAACAGTAAAAGACAGACCAGGATATTCTCAAGCGCTTTGGCATGCCAAAGATGATCGCTAAAGGCACGGGCTCGCGTCGCGCCCTCCGTGAGTTCCCTGAGGGCCTCGTGCCATTGTCCGGCGAACAAATAAAGGGTACCAATGACAATACCGACCCTCCCTCGGCCTTTATTTCGAGCACGCTCTCCCACCCCTCCGGAACCGAACCCATGAATCGAAACTCTGTCGGCACTCGAGTCCCTCGTGCTTGCTGCATTTGACTTTCCAGATGTGCTGTTTGTCCGCTGTAGGGCACCCTGTATGTTAACGCCAGATATCTCATCAAAGGTGGTAGGTGGTGTGCGTGCTCCTTGAGTGGTGGGTGAAGTTGCTCTTGGGTCTTCCGGGGCTATCACAGCGCCTGATGATGCTGAAGGCAGTACTGGCATGGACATTCGATTAAGTTCTTTTTGGGCTGTTGTGACAGGAGAACCAGGTCGAATACCTGAAGGTATCTGCGAACTTCGCCGCGTAAATTGGGAACTTAAAGTCTCCGGGTTGGCCCAGCTGGGAGGGCCCTCTGAGTGCCCATTCGGGAGAGATGCAGGTGAGGACAATGTTGGTAGGGCTTGAATCGATCTCGCCAACGTGGTCATTTCCGCTAGAAGTGTGGCAGTAATGTCGCACATAAAAGTCTTCATGGTCGTAGTCTTGAGCTGCGGGACAGGAGGTACAAGGAGAGTTCCTTCCGGAAGCCATTGATGCCGTTCTCGGGACTGACATTCAAACATCATCAGGCGATGTAAGTAGACTCTTGGGAATTGCTCTCGAATATCCTCAATGGCATTTTTAATCTCTTGAGCCTCTTCTTCTACCGGCTCGGAAATGTCGTGGTTGCCATTCTCCGCACGTGACTTCTGCAGCCAGGAATATTCTCCTGCATCTCCAATGCCAATAACCAGAAGTGGTTCTCGGAACTGTTCAAATGGAGATAAAGAAAGCTGCGAAGATGGTGGTAGAGAGGTTGAAAGGTCATAAAGAAGAGTACCGCTGGGAAATGCTAGGGGAGAGAACATGTCTAAAGTAATGCCAAGATCAGCGAGCCACTACTACAACGGTGCTTTGGGAAAATCGTACTTCTGTCTGGCCGAGGATCAGGGCTTATGTCTCCTAAACGAACCACGCCTTCCGGCTGGAGCAGTTCGACGAAGGCTAAGAAGCGTGAGCGCTTGATGCGACCCACAGGGAGGAGAAGGGCCCGAATGCGCGCAGGCGCAATGGGGGAAAGAGGGTCGATTGCCATGACGACATCGGGAGCAAGAAGGCTGCGCTGATCCTAGAAAATTTACATGTGCAGATGCGACGTTGTGGAGATGGTAGAGGAAGACATTATGATGTGTGGACTTCGAAGAGTGAATGCCTATTGTAAGAAGAGGATTTGGCTGACCTGGCGGTGGCCCAAGTCTTGGCGCGCTAATCCCAGTTTCTGACTAGCACGAAACGCCACGCCCCCCCCCCCCCTGGGACCCTGAATCGCGTCTCCGTCTACGCATCGTCCATACTCAACCCTCAGCCTACCTTCAAGGCACCCTAGGGCTTGACTCTCCATATCTTCTCTTTCGCTTGCATTTTAATAGCGTGGGTATAGAAGGGGTTACATCAGCATCGCTTCCTCTGCATTCTGTTTCTTTCTTTTGCCTTGCCACCAAGCTTCAAGACCCACGTCAGCCTCAGCTACTTGGACAAGTCACCTGGGCTGTGACCTCAACTTTTACTTTCGTCTGTCATCCACGGGTCTATACACATACTCTTTGCTCTACTCCGAAAACTAAAACGACTACTTCTCAACCGAGCACTAGCCATGGCGGGCGTCGACTTTGCGCGGCTGCGCATGACGACAATGAATGACGGGCAAGATAGCGAAGTCACAGTGAATACGAGAGCACTCATCGACAAAGTGTTGGCCCGTTATTCGAGCGAACACACGACCCTCCGAGAGCTCATTCAAAATGCATCTGATGCTGGAGCTAGCACTGTGATTATCAGGTTCGATACAGATCCTTCCTTAAACGTGCCTGCGCCACAGACTTCCGACAAGGCCGTGCTTCTCAAACACATTATTCAGCATCACACCTTGAAGCGATTAATTGTTTCAAATAATGGCCAACCGTTCTCGACAGCAGACTGGAGTCGATTAAAGAGTATTGCCGATGGCAATCCCGACGAGACCAAAATTGGGGCTTTCGGCGTCGGATTTTATTCTGTATTTGCAGATTGCGATGAGCCTTTCGTTGTCTCCGGGGACAGGACAATGGTAACTACCCCAAGAATCAAATATGGCTTCGACCTCTAACATCCTATAGGCATTTTACTGGAAAGGTAATACATTATCAACCAAGATTGCAACCTTTCCTTCAGGACAGGCAACTTCCAACACAACCTTTTCGCTCGACTATCGACAGGCGAATCCCGCAACTCCATCATATAACCCCTCCAAAATACCAAATCTTCCGACTTTGTGTCAATTCCTGGCCACCAGCTTGACTTTCGTTGGCCTTCAATCGATAGAACTTCACGTCGATGACGTCAAAGTCACTTCTTTTACGAAGAAGATATCTCCCCCATCAGACATTCAAGTGCCCCAAGGATTGAGAACTGAGACCGAAGGAGGACTTATGCGTGTCAAGCAAGTTACTCGCCAACACTCTCAGATAGATGCTGAATGGAAGAACGTTATTGCAACTGCCCAGGACCCGCCAAAGCGCGCCGCCGAATTGGTACATACCGAAGTGAGGAACGCAGGGTCGACTCTGAAGAGCTTTTTCTCCAAGTTCGCCAGCCAACCCACACCAGTACCTATGAGAATCAACAAACCTCTACCGGCCTTTGATAAAACCTCGACATATGGTGATGACATGTCTGGAGATTCGAAAGGTACCATCTTTCTGCAAGTCTTTACGGTTGAGGTTGAGACTCGCGTTTCTCGGAGTTTTGCTGCTGAAATCGAGCGTGCGACGAAGAAGCCACCGCCACGAAAAACTAAAATTGCTCTCCTCACGTCTCCGTACCATGACCCATCAACTTCTTTGTCACTAGGATCGGGAACGACGGCTGAGCTCGCATCCAAAGTATTCGCCGAAATTCTCCCTACCAACGCCGGCAGGATCTTCATTGGTTTCCCCACCGCTCAAACAACTGGATTCCTTGCGCACATATCAGCTCCGTCGCTTATTCCTACTGTTGAGCGGGAAAATGTTGATATGAACGCTCGCTACATAAGCACATGGAATATCGAGCTTCTCCGGGTCGCTGGGTTAGCGTGTCGGATCTCATATGCTTCAGAGATGGCAACAATTAAAGAGAAAGTTCATGATACCCCGATAGCGGCCCTGATCCCCCAGGCAGTGTATACTTTCCAACAATATACTGCTAATGCATCTCATCCATCTACTTTACTAGGAGAAACGATCGAGGAAGCCTTTTGGAATTGCTCAAAGGAGCGCACGATCGACATACTATCTTCGAAAGGTATCCTACCTAGTCGGTACGTCCGCATGCCCGCAGAGACTCTAAGTTTCTTGGGGGAAGTCCCTATGGTGCCCCAAGAACTCGCGACTGGAGCGGTAACATTTATGGTTAAGCTTCATGAGCGCGGCTTCATCTCCGAACTAACGATGGCGGACATCCGCCAAGGACTCGAGTCTAGAGCATTGAACGAAGAGGAACTGATGGAATTCTTAAAATGGTGCGGTGCCAAAATAGAGAGCAAAGAGATTGATGCTCTAGGAGTCCACAGTCTGTTTGACATCACAGTGGCAAATATCGGGCTCACACCTGGAGACACTACAGTCGGCAAGATCCTTCAGCTAGGCAACATAAAAACCTACGTGAATGCGTCCCGGATCACGCCTACCTTACCAACTCCTCCAGACACGGTTCCATTCGCTTTCTCGAAATCAATTCCCCCCAAGCAACTGCAGATGTTTGGTTGGACCGAACTTTCCATGGTTCGATGGCTTCAATTTATGACAACTGCCCCACTGCTTCAAGAACTAGTCATATCCGATAAACTTGCGTCACAGGTGCTTGGTCTGACAGCGAAGAGTTGGGATCAACTTGATGGTGCTTCAAAAGAAGCTATCATCAACATTTTAACCCCTCATACCATTATGCCTACCAAAATGGGCATGCGGCGGCCGCAAGATGCGTATTTTCCCACTGTCAAATTATTCGAGGATTTGCCTACAGTCAAACCCTTCACGGGCTCAAAAGACAAGTTTCTGCAAGCTCTGGGGGTTCGAAAAACGGTCGACTTGCCTATGGTCTTCGACCGTATGAGGACGCAGGATCCTAATCAGGCTGAGAAAGCGTTATGGAATCATGAAGATCTTATTCGGTATTTCGCGTCCGTCATGGACGAGCTACCCAAGAAGGATCTAGATCGACTGCGGCTAACCCCCTTTCTTCCTGGAGAAGGCCAGACGGTGCAACAGGGTCAGTTGTTCAAGGCAGAAGATTTATATGCACCAGACCAGGCAATACTCTCCCTAGGACTTACTCAGGTGAAATTGCCTTTTGAATTCCGCCCAAATACGCGAGAAGGCATGCTGTTGGTTCGATTAGGCTTAAAGCAGTGGCCCGGTAGCCCTACGATTGCTACCATTCTGCATCACGCTGGAAAATCAAATGACAGGCCATTGTACACGCTCGCCATGGAATATTTTTTGCAGAACCACTACCGACATGGATACGCAGCCGAAATTAAACAACTCGCGTCCATCACACAGCCAATTTTACCGACCGAACAAGTGCCTTTCCCCACACTTGTGGCACCTTTCCAATGCTTCACTAACGAGCACGCTGCGTGTTTAGGTTATCCGATACTCAGGTCAGATATAAGGCCCCACGCGGACAAATTCGGAATCCAACGAGATCCAGACATTAAAGACTGCATTCAGAAGCTGCTCAAGCAACCTCCGAGAAGCAAGACGGACGCTGAAATGCAATTTGCTTATCTTGCGAGTCGCTCGGGCGACCTTGACCAGCACCAATCCTTGATGAATGACATTTCCTTTGCCAGGATCGTGCCAGTATTCCGCAAATTTTATATAGACCCAGACTCTAGTGGATTTGAAGACCATAAGAAACAGCAAACTGGGAAGGCTGAACTTCGTATTCATCACTATGATCCGCCTGAAACTGTGTTCGTGGGGCGGGATCAAGATTACAAAGGTATTCTTGATTACGTGCAGTATGGTCCAGAAGCTACATCCTTTCTTCTCAAAGTTGGTGCCAAACATGAACCAAGCAGCCACGATTTGGCAATGCTCTTGTCAAAAAACCCATCAAAGTTTCTGAACACAATTGGCCATGAACGGTACCTTGACCTGCTGAGGAAACTCGCAGACCATGCTGGCAATCTGTGGAAAGACAAAAACCTTGTACGGACTCTTGTTGCCTCTCCAATTCTTTTGGGCTACAAGGACATAAAGATGGAAGCGAAAAAGCTGGTTCCGGTTGAGGAGGATGATTTCGAAGATCTCGAAGACTCAGACGTTCAACGGGAGTGGTCTCTTAACAAAGCGGACCAGCTAGTAATTATCGACGAGGTTCATCACTACACCAAGTTCCGGGATTATGTCATTGCAACACCTCAAGATGACTTACTCGAGGAGTTTTATAGTCGCTTTGGAGTAAAGAAGATTTCAGACCTCGTCAAGAAGGATCAGCGTGTTGGCGTAATTGTTCGCGACCAGAGCCCGGCAATCAAATTGAAGAAGGATATCCTTGAGCGTGTCCGCCTCTTCTTACACGAATACGAGCGTGATGGATCATCCAAGAGTATACGGCACGATGGCCGATGGCTTGCCAGTAGCCTATCCGTTCAATGCGTCGCCGATATTACGATCAGATATTCCCTTGCAGATCGTGGTGTCGCTACATCAGAGCACAGGACTGCCGCCGAAGTTAAGCTTCGTGGTACTGGCCACACCCTTTACGTCACACCAAAGTATGACATCTATCAGGTGTCTCGAGAGTTAGTTCGCTTGATTCTTAGCAGGCCAAAGCAGAATGACGTTATTGCGCTTGAACGGATCTTAACAGAATCTTTACGAAGGCTGCAAGAAAAGGGTATAAACGTCGAACGTATCCTCCGGAGGAAGGAGTATGAAGCTCGGATTGCCAAGCAACAGGAGCTTGAAAGGGAACATGAGGAGCAGCAGCGTCTTGCCGAACAACCGAAAAGTGGACTCATTCATTTAGAGACAGCCGAACCACCTGGAACACCGGAGAAAGGTATTGATATGCCTGGAGCTTTTGGCAGCCCCGAAAATAACAGCTTGGAACTCGCAGATAATCATCGTAGCTCCAGCGACAGAGGAGTCTTCAATAATTGGGCTAGGAAACTAGGTCTGAAGAACACTCCCAGTCTATCTGGCACTGATGGACCTCAGATCAACAGAGACATTCAAGCGACGAGGACCAATATCCAGAATGCTATCAAAGAATGCAGACCCACCAACATGCAAGTTGTCAAGAGCAAACACCACCAAGATCCTACTGAACTTGACAACGGCGGATATTGCACCGGGGAGCAGTGGGAGAACCTTTACAAAGCATTCACCATTCCATACTCTGGCCGACACGTCGATATCTACTTTGGCAAGCACCAGATAGAGAACCCTAAAGACCTTCAAGAGCCCTTGTCCGCCTTTCTACCTCTCGTTTTTGGGCTGGCGTCCATCTTTGGAGTCGACCCTGCAGCTGTCAGCATCTTCCTAGACAACAAATCTAACACGGTGGCGTTCAACCTAAGTGGGAGTCTTTTCTTTAACTTGGCGTGGTTTATGGCGCTCCATCATGCTGCGTATGGCACGAGGGAGGGACGTCTCAGGGCGTTGGACTCTTGGTTTTTGACGTTTTCGCATGAATTAGCGCACAACCTTGTCGCGGATCACAATGCTCGCCACTCGTGGTATCAGCAGCAAATTGCCATCGAGTACAGCCAGTCTTTTCGAGCTGCACTTCAGGGCTTTACTCAAGGGCTATAAAAATGGCGAGGGTACTTGGCCAGTCCGGGTTTTATGTGAAGGTAGCCTAGTGTCGTAGAAATGGTTTCACAGGCTTCAGCTAGGATATTGAGGACGCTTCTGAGTAGATATTAGCGTCTTTGGACTGCATTGGATTGTACAAGGGCAGAATAGGAATACTTTCAGAGGTATTCAAAGATGGGTATTGCATACTGAAGCGGCTTTTCTTGTCTTTGGCTTCCTGCGAAATTCGCCTCTCTGTTCTCATCTCTTTATTAGTTTTTTGTCCTTCAAATCACATCTCAGTATATCACAATGCCCAGCCCGTTATGGAGCCCAATCAGCTTTGAAAGGTTACATTAGGTTATGTTGAGAGTTGTATTGCTGGTTTGGTATTCCAATGACTATCGCTTGGACGTTTCACTCTCTTGGTCTGTTCCACGTTTCTTTTCGGTATTTTCGGCATAAAATACCATTCGCAGTCTCACCATGTCGACGTAACGAACTCCGTCGGCGATGCTTGATCACTTGTCAGTTACCCATATGATGTTAATGGGCTTTACCTTTCTAGTAGCGCTTGATTTGCTTGACGCTCCTTAGTGGTACGTTTGCTTTCATGTCTCGCATTTTTTCACAGTTAATATTATGAACCATCACAGGTGTGGCTACATATAGGCGAGTATTAACCGGATTCCTCGTCCATACCTACGCAAACATTTTACCCAAATGTGTGAAGGTAAAAATTGGACGGCTTTCTCCAATACACGCGAACATTTCTTAGCGCGGTACGCTCTTCAGAATCAAATTTCTACACTCGTACAAATACAGCATCCCACACAAGTCCAACTCATCCCAACCGTCATTCCCGAAATGCGTCTCCACACCCTCGCCCTCCCCATCCTGTCCTTGGTCGCGGCCTTAATTCCCACCAACAACAACATCGCGCTGACGACTCCCGACGGCCCGAATACTCCTCTGACCTACTCCGAGGACTTTATTTGCATCCAAGGCACTCGATGATGCATGCATGCCACTGCATTTCTCGGTCAGATGAGCGTAGCGAATGTCCTAGACGCAGTGGGTGGGAGATTGGTACCTAGTCAATACCACAAGATTGGCGCCAACAGATCATGCCATTTGCGGTTGACAAGACAGGCCATCCCTTGACATTTCCAGGAGCGGACCTGAAGTTAAGGATAAGCGTCGCTGTGGTGTTCTCCTTAATTCCAGAGGCGAGGAAACTTACATCACCAAACACCATATTCTTCAACTTATCCGGATGGTCTCCGAATCTAAAGGCCGAGTGATCCGCCGTTGGGCGTATTTACTTCCAGGAAGGTAGAGTTGGAGGACCTCATAGTAGCATGGTGGGTTTATATGGGAGCGGGATTAGGAGAGGTTAAGTTGCGCTTTCTATAACGGTCCACAGCCCATCGTGACAGTTCAGGATTTCCAACGGGCCGTACTACGGTCCCTAAAAAGTGAACTGTAACGGCCACGTGTACAGTACGAACGTACCAAGTTCATAAGCCGCACCGTACGTTTAATGATGCCCTAGGTACAGTACTAATACATATTGTATTACCTTTTTAGAAAGTTTGTATAGCAATTCTAGAGGGTAGGGGTACTTTAGTAAGCAGTAAACCTGTTAGGGTTTTTCTAGGGCTCTAATTAGCTAAAAGTTTTGTAACGATACTTAGATCTCTTCCTAAGTGTTTTAATCCGTCTATCTGCAGTCTATTGTTAAAAATGCCTACTACTAACTATTTTCCTTTGCAGAGTTGTTCATCTACGGGTATACCTCTATTGTCTGTTTTATGAGCTACGTCTGTCAGTATGGCTTACTGCAAAGGTAGTGGATAGCTATAACTATATTGTTTATCACCCACTAACAGTATACAGCTACTGCAGCACCTATGGGAGGCAGCTAGAGGAGCAGAAGGCTTGTTGTAGAGGTTATCTTATACACCATGGCAGGAGGGTCCTCTGTGCACTGCCCTAGTTAACTGCTAGAGGCAAACAGTCTATCCTATCCTATCCTCTTTAAGATTGTCCTTAGTTTCCCTAGCTACTAGTTACAAGTGTGAGAGTCGTTTTAGCGCAGCTAGTTGTACAGTAACTAACAACTAACACCTATGAAAAAGTGCAATAATTAAGACTATTTAGCTCTAGAAGAACTAGCAACAGCATAAGGCAGTAAACGGCAAGCTTCTAGACCTCTCTGCTCTTATTACTAGAAAGAATTAGAGCTAATTAGACCGCAATCTTATGTCTTTAGATGCCTATCATCTTAGATGTCTTAACTAGAGCACAGCGTACTTTAATTAAATTATACTACTTGTACAGATTACGTGGGCTGTAACAGTTACAATGCATACACCTACCTCTCTTCCTCCCTGTCGTACGAACGTACACAAAATCTCACCCGTACAGGCTTCAAATCGCTCAATCGTACAGTACTACGCCTCGTTAGAGGCCCTGTCGTGACTCTCGTTCTTGGAAATCATCACCCTGTGATACTTTCGGCCGGCCACAGTTGAGTGGCAGTCACTTAGGCTTACTAGAGACGGAGTGTGCGAGAGTTTGAGTGTGCGAGTCATTGAAACGTGCTCAATGAAAACAATAGTCACTTCCACTGGTGATTCGGAGTTCCATTCGTGTAGTTGGCGATACTGAAGCTCTCCAATGTACATACTGCTGGCCTGATTAGTAGCACACTTGCCTCAAGCACAACAAAATGCTTGCGTAATTTTAGTCAGGCAGAATCATAGCCAACACCCAAAACGGTAGTTGCACTGGCTAAGACACTCTCATACTCTTCTCAAGGCAATTTTTGGCCCAAGAGCGCTAGCATAAATTCGGCCATGTTGTTGACCAGAATCTTCTCCTCTTCGCGGACCACATCGTTATCGGATCCTTTCCCGCTTTCACGTTCTTCTTGTCGCTCTACTAAGTCATCTATTTGGCCGAACTTGACCTCTTGCCATGGTGATAGATAGTAGGACGGTCACCCGTCTTGGATACCACTGTCATTGTTGTCAATCTCCAGCGCGAATTTCACTGGAAGCCGCCTATGGGTTCGTTATATATAACCATTGGGGAGTATTTTCGAGATGCAGGCCTGTACAGCAGTTCTTGGCCACTCTATTGAGCAACAATCTTAAGCCAATAGAATACAATATGCGATTGTTACCGCTTCCTAGTCGGGGTAGCATCAATTGTATTCGAGGGGCACTTGTGAGATTGTGGCAAAACCTCTCAATCGCTTCCACTTGACTTTCAGGGAATATGTACCTCCAACTAGCTGACGGACAAGGATAAGAGATAGTATGTAATAATCCTCTATTCCTTCCTTGTAAAACACCATTTTATTATACTCCTCGTATGAAAACTCATGAGGGTCCACTAATCTGTCAACGCCGCTCTAAGACCATCTTCTCCTTTCTCTCTTCTAAACAATTCCTAATTGTCTCCTCCACAATCCTCCACCTCCACATAATGTTCACCACCTGACTTCGCCCATAGAAGTAATGAGGCCAACCATGTCCAACAAATCCAGTGGTGACAATGCAAGTACATTGACACTGGAGCTGTAGCTGACAAGATTATGGAAGAGTTGTGTTGCAAAGTTGATAAGGGTTAATTAGATAATAAAGAGGCAGGCATCGACCGTCCATATATTGGACTTGGGGTTAGAGAGTTGAGTTAGGGAAGGAGGCAGAGAGTGCAGATTAGGTGTAGAATATTTAGTGTTCTGTGTCAGCTCTTCCAGATTATAATATAGAGTAAGTGGGTTGATAAGGGCTAATCCATGTATCCTCACTAAATATCACTTATAAGCACGGCCTCTAGTTCATTCAATACATGAAATCCCCGTTTATTTGCTCCTAGCTGAAAAGAAACTACGCTAATTTTGGCGTCAGCTGGATTACGCTTAGGTTTCCGAAGGTTGACCGCGAGTTGCTTCAGGCTGTTGCAGATTGAAATGATATCTTGCAGTTGTGTAACAGCATGATAGAGGCCGCGCTCTGGCTAGTGGGTGCTGAAGAGAAGAGATGCAAATTCTTTCGATGGTGGATGATCCCACGGTTATCCAGCGGATCAACCTGAGCAATCGGCCATAAGCGAGGTTGAATTTCTTGAATCCACAATGACAACGCCACGTACTCTGAAATGTCCAAGAGCCTCAAGCTGATTGAAAAGGCATTGAGTTTGCCTTGGGTCCGAAGAAGGTGGAGCAAGGCCGAAGATGGAAAACAAAATTTTCGCTCAAAACACTCTCTAAGGAGTCTTTATCTGGGGCCTCTAGAAGGAGGGTTGAAGTTTTAGTCAAGCTTGAGTGCATCAGGACTCGAAGCCTATAAATGTGGTTGAGAATTCCCTCTTGATGATAATAGATAAGGCTACCAATCTCTTTGCCGGTCTAGAGTGAAAACTATTAGCAATATCACCCCACAATAGAGATGGGACGATTCGGTTCTAGGTTTGGCGCGCAAGTTGTAAATCAGCTAGGTTTTCTCTAGAACGAACCTAATTTGATTAGCGAACAAGCAGACTAGAAGAGTGAATTGTTAACATATTGAAGACTATTCGCTGCAGCACTTTGGGAAAGCAGTGATGGACCGATCGAGCGTGGTGGATTGCAATATTTACATACCAGGTAGTTTTATATGAGCATTGGAGAGGTCGTGAACACACCTGATGCGCAGGTGGCTACAGCACTGACAATCTATACGGCCTCACTATTGCATTGCCAGAGTCCCGTTATTAATTTGGATATTTATCGTACAATCGCGGACAGAAAACAACCGCATGCAATGGGCTAGCCGGCATGCGGAACGTAGATGTATAATAAGGGGATGCCCATCAGTGACGAAGTAGACCGCTAAAGAGCCGATGCGGTTTCCGGTATCGGTATTTAGCGCTTTCATTGATAACCGGTACATGTTTCGCAAGATGACAAATGAGATAGAAAAACATCAGAGACTGAGATCACGAACCTCCTGCATAATGTAATTAAAAACCGCTACAAGGTCAAGGAGACTTACATCTAGGAGCCATTCAGAAGCCTAGAGGCCTACGCTCCACCCATCCCTTCGAGCGCTTTGACGTACTCCCAGAATTGGAAGGCCTTCACGGGAGAGTTCCGCATTGACTTCATTGAGATGGTCTAGAAAACGCCCTTTGAATTCAGCCAGTTTATTTGGGTCGTTGGGATGAAGAGCTGGGCTTTGAAGCTCCCACTCAGTTAAAAGTAGCGGAACCGAAATGTGGGACACGAACGCCAGAGTATCATCGCAGACTCTTGTAGGAACCAAGTCTTGAGTCGTAGCAGTCTTCCAGGTCCCATATGTCTCGCCGTAAGGCATATTACTAGTCTCGCAACTTAAGCCGCCAGGCTCAAGCACATGCGAGCTTCCCCCATAGGTACCATAAACTAGGCCCATAATTTCGGTGGACATGTTTCAATGTTAGTACGGAGGCCGGAACGTATCGCGTATGGATATCCATTTGGGGGTAAAAACCAGAAAATCGGCGAGAGATGCTCCTGGAACGACGGAACGGGTACTAAGGACGCAGTAGATAGTAGGATCTGCCTGATCGCACTCAACATTTGCCATATTGATAAAATTCTCGACCGCGTACTTGAAAAGAGAATAGTTGCTGTGCCAAGCAACTACATCGAATGGGGTATGCGGTTGCAAGTATGTGTGCAAGTTCCCAGCAAGCTTGTGCACAATTTCCCATCCTGATCCAGAATCGATGTCAAAGCTTGCTACAACGTATTCGAAATCTCTTAGCAGAGCCACTTCGATCCTATTGGACCAAGCTCAGGGAGCTCATAATTAATGGAAGATGAGGGAGAAGCTTCAGGGAGAGGGAAAGGGTTCCACGCTTGCTGCGAGGGGTTGTATTCAACACGTTTGTTGGAGGACCCAAAGTAAGACTCCAGCTTTATCCGAATTGTGAGCAAAGGTATACTAATAATGCAACCCGAGGACACAAATTATCGTTTAGGTTGCTCCTCGACAGCTCCCTGTGCGCTACTGATGACCGAATCCGGTACATCCACACATGTTGCAGGGCTTGTCTTATCGACACGAAGGATGATCCGTTGAGCTGCTCCTAGTACAAATCATACTTAACCAGCTGTGGGAAATTATGTCCTCTTAGAAGCACGCCAGGGATTGACTCAGAAGCCAAATGATTGCCAAATCCACACTGACAGGAGTATGGGTCCGAAGCGGTAGGCGTGGTTGCGAAGGTTGATTGGGCGGTCGCACCTTCATCTTGGCGGAAAGAGTTGGCAAACACGGAAATGGCTCTTCGATTGGAGGAGACCCATATTTGATGTACCTCTGTTAGTAGTGTCACAGGGCGTCAAGAGCGGAACTGTGCTGGTCTGAAGTGCTTATCGATCGTCAGAGCCTCGCCATCTAATCTTATCTCGGTGGCGTCTCGGAGAATTGATTGCCTTGTTCAACTGGCGGGCCGTGTGCCGATGGCAGCAGTCGATCGAGAAGTTTAGCCACTTCATCCGCTGTGCACTGCAGCCCACAAATCCACTTCGCTCTCACGGTGGCTTACAGAAGGCTGTGTGTCTCATGTGAGTGCAGGTGGGCGGATTCGCCACAACTTGGCGAAGTTTAACACCTCAACACCGCCATGGCTCTCCTCATGCTTTATCCTCGACTGTCTACGATTAGTCTTCTAATCGTTGCATACATTTCCTGGAGAGTGGCTTCGTACTTTTCCTTCAAATACAAATCTAAAGGCCTACCACTACCACCCGGACCTAAGGGCGAACCAGTCCTTGGTCATTTGCGCATCATCCCAGTCGACAATCCCGAATACTATTATCAAAATCTCTCTAAGGAACTCCAAAGCGATGTCCTCTCTTTCAACGTCCTCGGCCAGCCCGTCGTCGTTCTCAACAGCGTTCAGGCCGCCATTGACCTCTTCGACAAACGAGGAGCCAACTACTGTGATAGACCCCGTTTCGTATTATTCGAAGTCATGGGATGGAGCATGACACTCACCTTTCTACGTTGGGGTCCGCAATTCCGGATGCATAGGAAAGTGCTGCAGAAAACGTTTCAGAAAAGCAGTATCGCTCAGTACCGACCTCTTCAAGAAAAGGAATCCAAAGTGCTAGTGGAAGGGCTCCTTAAAAATCCGGGAGATTGGGAAAGACTACTGAGGAGGTTTGCAACGGCTATAGTAATGGGAATTGGCTTCGGAGTTCAGATTGATGACGATAAAGATCCCCATATTCAGATGGCCATCGATGCTTCGTATGCGCTTGGGCATGGTGGAGCCCCGGCTGGAACGCTTGTAGACTTCTTTCCGATTGTTAAGAGCCTACCAAATTGGCTGGTACGAGATCGGAGTTTGAAATTCGCAAGAGATTGGAGGTGGGCAATTCGGCAAATCCACGAAGCTCCTTACGCAGCTGGTGAGAAGCGGTCCATAGAAGCGTCACTTGTGCGTACGCTGCTCAGTGAACGACAGAAAAGACTCGATAAGGGAGAACCTGAAGAGATGACTATCGAAGACATCAAAGGAGCCGCTGGAGCCGTATACGCCGCAGGTCAAGATACGACGTGGAGTACGTTGGTAGTCTTCGTCCTCAACATGGTTCTCCACCCCGAAGTCCAGGATAAAGCCCAAAAGATCATTGACACTGTAGTTGAACCTGGCCGACTACCGGCATTTGCTGATCGTCCATACCTTCCCTATATTGACTACATAGTCCAAGAAACTCTCCGTTGGTGTCCTGTTTCTCCTGTTGGCGTTCCGCACCGAAGTATCGAGGATGACGTATACAATGGCTTCTTCATACCTGCTGGCTCATTTGTGTATGCGAATGCTAGGGCAATGACGCACGACGAGCGCACATACTCCAACCCGGACGAATTCGACCCTGATCGATATATTCCACAATCCGAAGGCGGACGCGGCGAGCCGTTCCCCAAGGGACAATTTGGCTTCGGCCGCCGAGTATGCGTAGGACAGCACCTAGCAGAAGCCAGTATCTGGATAGTGGTTGCAAGCCTCTTGTCTGTGATCCAGGTTGAGCGATGGCGGAACCTGGAGACGGGATTGGAAGAGATTCCAAAAGTTAAATTGACGAATGGGCTTACAAGCCATCCTCAATCGTTCAAATGCAGCATTGTTCCGAGACAACACAGGCTTGTGAGACAAAGGTAAATCAGGTAATTCCCATCTCCTCGATCTGCAGCAACTGCAGAACTTACCTATCACGTCGTTGTAGTCTCACACTTACTCCAAGGAAATCTTCAGGCTGGTGGGCAAGGTGGAGGGAATATTAAGGTAATTATTAAGGAAGATGAGAGAAGTACGGCCATAGTTTAAGCCTGTTTACGACACCCGCGCTTAGAGGAATAAAGCGAAAAGTGCAATCACCTGTGCCCCACCGTCCTAATTGTGGCCCAACTGGGGACAATGTTGGGTGAACTTGTTTCTTTTTTTGTGCTTTGCCCACAACCACCAGCTTGCTTTGAATCAAGAAAGCCTTGCCAGACTAAAACAGACTTAGCAAATAGAGCGACCTCGCATCTTCGTAAAACTCATAACACCATCTAGATTACACTTCGGTAGCAGAATTGGGCTCCCTGCTTAGCTTTCATTCCTTTCATGGAATAACTAGCGTACCTCATGCGAATTCGAGACACGGCTACCGATTCGCCAATCTTGCCTCACGGCCGCAAATATAGTTCCACCAGAGCCCATCAGCCTTGCGATAGGGGCGGTGGCTCTGGCCAGTTTATTCTCAACTTGTCTCGATTTCTTCGAATTGGTCGATACCGTGCGCAACTTCTCCCGTGACTTCGAGATTTCAATCACAAAACTAGATACTCACTGAACCATATTCGGAATTTAGTGTAGCGCCATCGGACTAGATGGTGGCGGAAGCAGCTTCAAAGTATATCTTCTCGGACCGGAAATTCTACCCACGATATATCGCTTACTGCAGAATTTGATGCCCTTTTTCCAAGATGCGGAGCAGTGTGTCCAACCGTTAGTACACCTAATAGTACAGTACTGCAGTACACTGATTTTGGTCACGTACGTACGTACAGGGCATCTACTCAGTATACTGTACTATACATGAGGCTGCTGTACTAACCGTTTACGGTAGTTATATAGGATTTTTGGTGGTTTTGGGCGGTTGAAGGCAGGTTGCTGAGGGCCAGGGGGCTCGTGTTCGGAGATTAATGCGGAGAATGCCGTTATTGCCTGTTTTGTTAGCAATCTTCTAACAAATTCAGCAACTATGCCATCTACGTTATTCTTTTGCCCATCAAATAATACACTATCTCTACCGCCAAGCCCTCTCTCCTATTGGTCTGGATATAAGCCGGTTATTGATCTGATTGGTAGAAAATTAAATAACCAAAAAGCTTTGTTATTCTACATTTTTAAGCTTCAAGTAATCATTCTGCTCTGCTACATAGTTAATCTGGCCTTCTTTTTTCCTTATCATAATTAAAGACAACGCAGTCAGGGGTGTTAAAATCACTTCTGCTGCGTGGTTTTTCCCTCTAAATATAATTAGCGCTGCTAAGACCTTCTAAGCAAAGCCTGTTATCCTTCCTAATTAGGACTAGCCACTTTCTTCCTAGAAAGGAAGGATAATCTGCTTGTTATAATGTCCCAATTCCTATCCTAATCAACAACGCGGTCAACAATAGAGGCTCTTTAACTGCAGAAGAATTAGTTACGTAACAACGCTGTTACTAGTGAGCTGACTAAGCTTACAGAGTACATTAAAACAGTAAGATCAACAACAGTAGATCTCACAAGGGGTATCACAACTTCCTAATTAGGTATAGTCTTTAGCTTCAGCGCAATTACTTCATAATACTTCAATATACTTCAGTTACTGTATCCTAACCGTACACTGACGTCATCTCCTCCGTACAGTTAGTTAGTAACAGCCTCCTCTTCCGTAACTGTACTATACAGCCTCCAAAAGGCTCCGTAACTAACGGTTGGACACACTGATGCGGAGAAGTTTCGAATACGATATGGAATGAAGCAGATCAAGGAAACTATGACTAGCACAACAACCTCAAGGCAACTCAACAAGGTGATTACCATCAAAGCTTCTGAGCAGCTGTCGGTATGAGGAATAGGCAGACTATGGATAAATTGCTAGATTCGTAGTAGCGACCACTTCGTTTGCAGGAAAGGATAGATAACCCACATCCACTGCTTGCCCATTTGCCCAGAGTATCATCACCTCGATATTTTGAATACCCTAGGACACTACGCAAGGAAACCCGAGTATTGGAAAAAATTCAGTCATATGATTCTTCTAGCACCCCTTCAAGCCACTTAGCCAACGATAACTGCCATAATTCCTTTGTGATTTCAAGATTCCTCCTTCCCTCCCCTCTCTCTCTCTTCCCTTCCAACTCCATCCTACCTCCCCTCTCGCCTTTGCCTCTCCACATGCACTTTTACCTCCTCCTTCAACTAACCCTCTAAATTCTCCTCTATCCCCTTCTTAAACACCCACTGCATAACATACGCAAACGGCCCTTTCCAAGTATCCCAAGTGCGATATTGACTCCACCCAGGCTGGCCCGGCAAATCCACAACCTCTTGAACGCGCTCTGAGAGAATTACCCAGTCTGGGAGCCCCGTTAGGCTCTTCCATACAAGCGTGTGAGTGGACTGTGAAATGCTGATGATTTCGACGGGGAAGGTGTTTGGGGACGCGTTTGGGGGGACGACCTGGTGGGGGCTTGTTAGAGAGAACACCTTCAAGTATCCATGGGTAGAAGGTTTAGACCCGTGTAGCGACTGGTTTGGCGTACTGTCATCACTCCCACCATCCCCTCCTTCAACTTCCCCTTATCCTCTCCGAAATCAACACTCGGCACTCTCTTACTCCATTCCCCATATTTGCCAAAATCTATCAGGTCGCGCCAAACTTGTTCAGAGGTAGCGTGGAGCTTAATTTTGGCTCCAGCGGTCCCGACGGCCTCTTTGGTCGAGACGTTAGGTGTGGGGAGGATGTTTTCACGAGCATCTGGGGTGATCTGGATTGTTAGTGCGAGGGAAACGACAAGGACGAGGGAGACCTTGAGGAACAGAGAGGGCATTTGGAGAGGGTGGGGGCGGGAGGTGAGGGGGCAATGGAAAGGAAACAGGATTGGACAAAAGAGGGATAAAAGAGGAGTAGATAGTCAAACGAAAACCAGAGGCGTGAATGATCAAGGAGAATATTCAAGGGAAAACGGAGGACTGGGGATGTAAAGGGGTAGGAATTAGAAGAAAAGATGAAAAGGAGGGGTCAAGACCTAAGGGTTGTGGCTCGTGCGAGCAGTCGTAGGCTGTGCGTTATACAAGGGTGCGACCAACAAAGCGTGATGGGCAGTACGCGCGGTCACATGGTGCAGGCTCCTCATAAAATTATATCTGATCCAATGCCCAACACACAACCTTCCGCCACTTCTCTGTCCTGTTCACCTAGACTGACACCCCCTTCAGAAATAGACTTAGATACATCTCCAAACAGTGGCAAGAGCAACCACCACCTTGGGAACACTGACACCCAGAGCCATCCTATCCGACTTACTGAGGCTGGAAAAATTGATTCGGGTGTTGTGGGGATGGCGGACTCAGAGTCACAGCTTTTACTGAAGGAACAGAGTTCGCAATACTTGGTGTGGTGTCTGTAGTTCCAGGAATGGAAGGCGTGGTAGTCAGTTTCTTTCTGGACATGCAGCGCTGTGGCTAAACTCTGTGTTGTCGATACGAGTTGCGATTGGGCTATACTTTTAGCCCCATTGGGGTGCACCTCGAGGCCTGAGCCGTCGACATAGCACGATGTGTTTCCCTCCTTGTAGCACCAGCTACCGTCACCGCAGGCGGTGACTTGCGTGCAGCAGGCTTGCTCTAGCGATTAGGTTCCTTGGTACGGTATGAAGCGCGGCACAACTGAAAGGGAGCCAGAACCCAAAAAAAAAAAATATTTCGTTGAGACCGAACCAAAGGTCTTCCAAACCGGCGAATATCCAATGCTGCCTTAATCTTTCTTCGGACGCGCAACGGTGAGGTACGCACTCTTAAATCAATGCGACCAGGATATTCCTCGATTTAAATAATCATCACACTGGTTCCCATCCCTATGGTCGAAGTAGCAGTATATGACCGAATTTAGATACAGCTTCGGATCAGGGAGGACGATGCGATGTAGGTGGTAGCATAGGGTAGTTGGAGAGAATGTAACATGTATGAGGAAATGGAGATATATTGTCATGATGCGCAGAAATAATGGAACCAGGAGAAAGACAAACAGGAGAGAAGGGAACAAGACATATTTTTATGATACCTACAAACTTGCCTTGACAGTCAATAATCTAGATGCATGTTCCCACGGGTGGTAGGCTCGCGGATTACACGCCTCGACGAAGTCACAGAAACAACTGGGAAGGAGGCGGCCTTACATGTGCCAGTCATTGGACTCGTCGGTGGCTAGGGTCCTTTAGAACTAAGATACAGAACTTGGGAATGAGATGGTCGCCATTCCAGTTTCTTCGGCAGGAGTTGCGAAAAGGAAAGCTCTTTGGCCTAAACGAAGTGTTCATCCAGACGCCTCTTGGATTGCACAAATCTCCCATGGTCCAACGAGGCACAGGCTACTCGTTGGCAGCAGGCTGAAGCACATTCTGCGTAGACGGCCCTTACATGTGTGTGTGGCTGCGGGCGGCGGCGGATCTGCGACGCAGGCACCCAGCTGAGCATCAAAGGCTTTGCAGTGCTCGTATTGTCTCTCAGGATGGTGGGATGATAGTTGAATAGCCAGTCACGGGAAGCGTAGATATGGGGGCTCTTTGTAACCGCGCGCTGGGTAGGACAGAAGATGATGCGGGTGAATAGAGTGTTCCAAAAATAGACTAGACAGGTGGCCTTGGCATACGGCAAATAAGTTAGTAAATGACCCAAAATAGCAGGCGCTGCCCATAAACCACCAAGAACGACCGCAAATTATCTCCACTTTCTGTTGTTCGCCGCTCTCCGCCGTCGCGTGTTCCTGTGTCGACCATCTCGAAACTCCCGCTGGCGACGAGTGCCCGCAACGTCGCGCCGCGCGCACTGCACCTCCTCTTCACCGGAGACCTTCGCGCTGGTCGCGGGCCTAACAATCCTGCTCTTCGCGCCCAACAGCTGCTCCAGCAGCCGCCCTCTGTATCTATTTGCGCTCGAATGTGCAAGACAAAATTCTCACCTCAGCCAACCGCTCGCTGTCTATACTGAAGATTTGATGGGCTGCTATTGCGATTAGCGCAGTGCAACATTACTCGGAGTGGTCCATGGCTTGCTGACCGTGCCAGGCCCTCGCCTTAATTGCCCTCATCTCTCCAGAATCATGCAAGTCGACTTCGGCGCAGGACCAGGCCCAGAGTCAGAGCACAGTCTCCATCTTTCACCCCACGCTCACTACGACCACCACCAGGGGAACAACGGCAGCCCGGCCTTCTCGCCCTTTCGGCACCCAGCTGTACCACCAATTGATCCAAGCCTCAATCAAAGCTCTGGTGCCAACCGTAATGGACACGCTCCGATGTCCTCGGTCCACCAGTCTACCTCCTCCCACCTGCTGCAAGCCAACAATGCCTCTCTCAACAGCCCTCACCTCTCTCATTCCTTCTACGCCGAGATGCCTCGCAGCTCTGCAACCCCCTCGACGCCCTCCAATGCCTCCCCGCGCTTCTCCGCCATCTCCCCCAGCCAGCCCAAGCAGATGACCACTGGATTTGTCCCAGAAGACCGCTCCCCGCCCTCCCGAGACGTGACCGACGACACGATTGACGATGCCTATGCCTCCTTCGTGTTGTACTGCAATCCTTATTTTGCGACGAACACAGATACCTCCGAGTTGACCAAGCTATTCCGAACACCCCCTAAAAGCGACGGGAAGGCGTTTAGTACTTATGTGTTGTTTGAATTGATACGGAAGTTGGATACTAAGGAGATCAAGACGTGGACACAGCTGGCGCTGGATCTGGGAGTGGAGCCGCCAGATATGGACAAGCGGCAGAGTACGCAGAAGGTGCAGCAGTACTCGGTCCGATTAAAGGTGAGATATAGTCCTCTTTCCTGGTCCTCATTTCCATTTTCTCCGATTTCTTTCAAACATGTGCCAAGGTTCTGTGTCCATGCACGACTTCTAGAAGACTTCCGCTTTAATAAGGAATGTTGATTCCCGTTCGCTGCACGTGAAGCCCCCAACGACAATCTACATGCTCGACTTTGCAGCCTTGGTTCCGTCATTTGCTCGCTCGAAAGCTGCAATGCGCACCAGGGTTCCTTTCCAGACCGAATGAGAGGGGGTTTTATTCGACCCAGTAATCTTCTTTGATATTGAAATTCTAGAATTGTGGTGTGGATGTAGCTCCCTGGAGTGCTACGCCGTCGGACTTCGTTGTTTCATCGCGTCCACTTTGTCAAGGTCATTTCGTATTGGATATTTCTCTCGCTCGCGCTTCTCTCATTTAAGATTTCCTCTAAACGCACAACCGCTGATAACTATTAGCGATGGATGCATGCAATGCACATCGACGCTTTTTTCGAGTATCTTCTTGGCAAACAACACCCGTATTACCTGCAAATACCCCCGCCTCACAACCCTTTTCCTGAAAATGGACGCGACGGAGTGCCTCTTGAGGAAGACCTAGCAATCCGAGCACTCGACCCGAAGTTCCGACCAAAGCGTGGGCGCCGAAAAGCGGATGATGGGGACGAAGGCGTGGAGGGGTTTGACAACACGCCGCCACGCAAACGACCTCAGCTTGACACCTCAATCCCATTTGGCAATGTGCTGCAACCTCAATCGGCCTACCCAAATAGCGCTCATCCTGACAACATGGAAGGGTTCCTTAGCGCACACGATCCATGGACTGCGTCTGGCATGACGCCTTCCTCAGCAATGACGGCCGCATCTGCGCCTGGTAGAATGAACCCGGGCAACAAGAACCTCACCCCTTACTCAGCTTCTCCCATGTCGGGCCAGCAAATCCGATGGCGACTTAACACTCAAGACAACCCAACCACTCCTCACCCACTGTCCGCCGTAACCCCTCAGTCCGCTCACCCAGGTTTCTTTGACGAGCCGCAGTCGGCAGTGACGCCGTCGAGCTCGAAACCTCGCTCACGCCGCCGCCATGGGCCGGCCGTCTCTTCTGCGTGGCCAAGTAATAATACCTCTTCAACTGGGAAGCTGCGCGGCCGTCCCCCCAGCAATCGCTCTGTCCGCGACGGTCCATTTGTCACCTTCCCAGCCAACCCGAAGACCAAGGAAGGTCCCACGATTGATATGAACAGGAACCCTGGAAATTTGACTCCCATCGTGGAAAGAGCGCAATCCGATCCGCCAATGGCTGAACAACACTTCCGATTCCCGCCTACCCCAGCATCTGCCGTATCCCCAACCAACATACAAGAATCACTCTCAAACTCACAACGTCCACACAGGTTAAGTCTACAAGTCCCTCAGAACGTTGGAAACCCAGTACGATTGGTGACACCAACCGTTCTAGTAAACGGAGAGCAAAATCCCACACCCAGCACCGGTCTCGCACCTTCCGCTATGAGTACAGGCTCGAGACGGAGCTCGCCTGGGAACTTCTTTGGCGACGACAACGAGAACCCCCAGTCGGCACATCCGAGTACAGCGACTCCGACCCACACCCCCGCACAGCCACAGCCTCCTCCACAAACGATTGCACAGGGACCGGCTTCTCCACCTCCACTTCCCCAAGTTCAACACGAGACGTTGAATCGCGCACTTGCTGCCGAACTGATCCGCGCCCCTCTAACTGGCCGCCGCAAACGACTTCGTGGTACAGAAGCCAAGAACCTTGCATCTTCGATTCTTCAGCCGCTCTTTGCCAAACCTACAACTGGCCCCGCGTCTCCTGCTAAGGTGATGAGTGACCAAATTCTGAGCATTGCAATCAGCAGTTGTTTGGGCATGTGTTCAGCAGTAGGACTTGGGATGGGTGGACCAAATGGAGGGGTGAGAAGAGTTGAATGTGTAAGATTCAGGATCGGAGGTGATGGCTATGAGAGTCCGATTGACGACGACGAAGACGCCGATGGCCTTAGCGACTCGGGTCGGATTCGAGATTCCTTTGATGTGTACTTCGGAGTGTCTTTCGGAGGGCTGACGGGAGAATGGTGCGTCAAGGGACTATCGGCCACTTTGAATGACAATGGCAATGAGGGCGAGGCCACGGGTCCGAGAGGCACATATGATGCGGAACGACCGGATCCAATCCAGAACACGGTGGCGGCTTGGAAGACAAAATTTCTGGAGGCGCAGAGGAAGCTTTGGGAGAGTCAAGAAGAAGCGAAGAGCTTGAAGGAGAAGATTCTCGAGGCAGTGCTTTGAGGCTACTGAGCATGGGGGCGTCCATGCATGGTTTGGAGTTGCTAGACACGGGGGCGTTATTATTTGGTAACACAGCAATTGACTTGGATAACAAGTATGGCCAGGGTAGCATGATTGAGTGGGTTTTGGGAAAGCGGATATTGCATATACCCCTAGCTTTTACAAAAGGACAGGAAAGCGGTCTGAGTAAATATGGACCCTACATAGGATGGCGTGTTCCTTCATCGTCTATCATATATCGTTACCCATACATTCATGACCTTAGTTCTCTGTGCGCATCCATGTATAGCCTATGCTGGGATGTTCTAAAATTGAAGGGTATTATATCCAGCTTGTCTGGAGCTGACCGTTATATACGACAGGAATCAACCCATCAAGACCCTGGCCCAGACGACACAGATCCGCCCCTCTCCCAAGGCTTCTTCCGCTTCTCCTTGACAGCTTCAGTACCCTGTCCAGTCAAGATGGTGTTTGGAATTTCTTTGATTCCGGGTATAGGTTGGCCGGTAGTGACTAGCTCAACAATATGTGCAAAAGAAACAGGATACGGAGCCGGAGGGTCATTCGGATTTGTAGACGATGCTGGCAGTACGCTCCCAGGAGCCTCAGCGCTTGCAGAGGCGGAGGCCGCTTGCACACCGTTTGGCGGGGCAATTGGTCGCGAGGGTCGAGAGGTTCGGTAAGCTTTGTAGGCGTCAAAATCGAGGTTCACATTATACTTTCTGCTTTTAAATTAGCCCAATGTCTCTGAGACCAAGTGAGTTTAGTACCTGGCGTAATAGAAACATCGCGCTCGCAACGTCAACTCGGTCGCTTGCTCAGGCGTACTGTTGCTGCCCAGGATGGCGCTCAGGCCAGACTGGAACTCGACATCATCGTCCCAATTGTAATTTTCCAGGGCCTCATACACATTGGTAGAAGTTTCGATGGCTCCAGGGGCATTCATGGCGAAGGGCAGAGAGTGAAGGCATCGAGTATGGTGAGAGTCAACAGCCCCCCGGTGATTGCGACTATGAGGTCCCGCCGCAATGAGCGTCATAGTGAAACCGGAGTTTTGCCGAGATCACTGGCCAAGCTCATTTTAACGAGCGAAAGAGCCTCTTCTCCACGACAGCTCCTTCTTCCTCTCTACCTCCCCTCCCCTCCCCTCCCTCCCTCCCTCCCCTCCACTCCAACACTGCCCTTAACGCCCTTCTCTTTCCTTCTGCTACACATCAACTCCTCTTCTCTCCTCTCACCTTCAACTCGCCCACACCTACCGCCATGTCAGAGTACATTGGGTTAGTTGCGCCAGCCTCTTCGCCCAGAGCTCTAGCTGACCTCAACTGCGTAGATCACGTATATCTCTCGTCTCGAAGAGCGACATCCGGTCCGTTAGCGTCCATTGAGATTGGCAAATCAGCTTTTGTACTGACGGCTTCGCAGATATGTCGGAACGCTCGTCGAAATCAACTCAGAACAGTCCACAGTCTCACTCGACAATGTGCGCTCATACGGTACTGAGGGCCGTCGCGGCGGCAAGGACGAGTTCCCGCCATCAGACGTCGTCTACGATCAGATTGTGTTTCGTGGTAGCGACGTGAAGGATCTGCGCATCGAGGAGCCAGCAAAGCCAAAAGCTGCGCCGCCCCCAATGCCTGACGACCCAGCCATCATTGGAGTAAGCAACACCGCCTTCCTCTCATACACTTACCTCTTTCGATGACGAAACATTCCGGATGTTAACTCATAACCACCGAGAGCGCAAAACCGTGTGGATATTTCCGTTGCCTTCCTTCTGAGCATTGACCCTCCTACCCTTTTCATGCTGCATCAGTTCGGAAACGCTTCGCTGACTCGAGCTCTGTGCCGCAGGTCCAACAACCGCAATCACGCCAAGAAACACCTCAGAACCAGCAGCGTCCCCAGCAACCGCCGCAACCCCAGCAAGCTCCAAATTTCCCACAACATGGCCAATTCCCGCCCGGTTACCCACCCTATGGCGGCCCTTTCCAGAATCGTTTTGGGCCGCAGGGTGGCTTTCCAGGAGGCCCTCCAGGAGGACCTGGTCCATTCCCAGGTGGATATGGCATGCCAGGTCCGTATGGAGCACCACCTGGTTGGTATGGTCCTGGCCAAGGATTCAATCAGCCACCAGGCCCGTTCTCACCTCCGATGCCAATTGGCCCTACCGGACAGCAGAGCCAGAACCAACCACCGCAAGCTCCTAAGGGCAGCGCAGCTCCTATTGGTCCGCTCCTAAACAAAGATGAGAAGCCAACTACCCAACCCAAAGTCGCAGAGGCAGACTGTGTGACTGGACAAACCGAGATCAAGACCGGTCCGAAACCCACGGGTCAAACTCCTCCGGCTGGAGCTGCGAAGCACCCACCTCCGCCGCCCGTTGAGTCCAAGCCAGATGTTGCAGCCGCCCTCGCCCCACCCCCGACGCGGCCGGCTCAACCTCCATCAGCCCCGAAGGCTGCACCAACAGGTCCCAAGGCTAATCGCATAGTCCCAGCCGTTCCTCTCCCAAGTCCCGGTATGCACAAGACCGCACCGCACACTGCACCTGCCCAAGCCTCAGCGCCAACTCCAGCCACACAACCACCTCAAGCAGCACCGGCCAACGCCCAGCAGTATCAAGACGCTACTCAAGCAGCAACTGCCGCAGTTGCCGCCGCTATGGCAAAGATGGACCTTGGACGAGGAAAAGCTCCACCACAGAACCGAACTTCTGGAGAAGTCCCTCTAGACAACCTCGCGAAGAAAGTGAACGAGATGCGCGCAGACGATCAAATCCGCCATGGCAGACATCCTGGAACCGGAGGATTCGCAGCCGGTCATCGAGGACGAGGTGGCCGGGGCGGTCGTGGCCATCACCATCACGTCAAAATGGAAGTTCCGGACACCGATTTCGACTTCGAGTCCTCGAACGCCAAGTTCAACAAGCAGGACCTTGTCAAGGAAGCTATTGCATCCGGCTCTCCCCTCGGCGGCGACGTCGCTTCATCACCAACAACCGAAGCCAACCTTAACGGCCATGCAAACGGAAATACATCTACGGACCAACCCGAAAAGGAAGTCGTCATCCCCGCCCCAGCGGCATACAACAAGGGAACCTCCTTCTTTGACAACATCTCAAGCGAACTGAAAGACCGAGAAGAGGCGGCGAATCGCCGAGGACAGGAGTTTAGGTCCGAGGAGCGGAGGAAGAATATGGAGACATTTGGTCAAGGTAGTGTGGATGGTTATAGAGGTGGTTACAGGGGACGGGGTCGTGGCCGTGGCCGTGGACGCGGGTATGGAGGATACCGTCCGCGTGGTGGAGCGTCTAGGGGTCGAGGTGGGATGGGTGCTGGAGTGGTTGAGGAGTCATAGTAGATATTGGGGGTTCGATGCGTAGGGTGGGGAGTTTAAGACGTGAACATGTGCTTAATGATAGCAGCAAAGGATGATGCCTGACGACGGGTGGCCGGAGTGTGTCAATGAATAGCGAGATGGCGGATCATGGAGTTTTACTTTTGGTTTTTGGGTGCCAGCCGAGCTACGCTTGGTGGAAGCTGTAACGGGGCAGGAGTTTAAATTCAGATCATGAAGCTAAGAGGTTTTGCGTGGGCAGGTAGGAGCACAGCAAACGGAAACCATTTCTTGGTCTTCCGGGGAAAAGCTTTCCTATGTCTTCAAGTCTTTTTCCACGGATGTATGTGCGTTTGTGCGCATGTCTTCCTGTCTTGTCCACTCTTATGTGTGTTTACTTGTACAGTAACACCTGCACTTTTCGGTTTTCTAACATTTCTATCACGGCTGGATGCTTCAGAGGTGCGTGTGGGCTTCTTATTTATCCAGCGGCAGCGTAACTGGATTCGGGGGATATTCGATCTAAAGGAATTCACGTTTGGATGATGATTGTATTGTACTGTTCGGATGGTGGGAGAGATTGGAGCGTGTGTGCGAGGATGTAGACAGACGCAGATGTGATCGCAATAAGAAGGGAAAGGGAAAGAGAAGTATGAAACAAATAAAGGACATTGGAAAATGGAGAAGGAAGAATCAAAACTAATGGCATGGGCGAGATACTTTCTACCTTCCTAAGGCTTCGTGTATGAAATGAAGTAGGCTAGTGGTAGCTGTCATTCTGGATTTACGCCACAGCGAGGACAAGTTAGGATGATTTGACGTAGCTAGGCCTCACGATTTCAGTAACGGGTTGGTCCGAAGAATCTTCTACGAGAAAGACCACTGGATAGATATATCCGATCGCGGAAGGTGGAGCGTCTTGCCAAGATGGAGCAACGAATAGTGCTGGAATATATGCCAACCAGAATAATAGAGCTGAGCGCTGTCACTCAATGCAGGCTCCTATCTAATGCTGGTTAGAAAGCCTCCTACACTATCCAACTCTTCTTAGATACACCAGCACTCATATCTAGAAATGATAGATAGAGTCGAGCTTCGAGGTGCAAATCCGGTGCTCTATGAAGAGAGAAAGGTGATTCAGTACTTCAATATCTTCTCTCTGCGGATCTATATGAGCTGTAGCCCCTCCTGTGAACACTCTATTTTGATGTAGCTGTGTTAGTGTCTCAAATCTGACCGAATCCATGATCACTTTCAAGGATGGTTGGAACACTTAGCTTTGGAATTGGACTTAGAGATACCTCTCTCATTATTATTTTCTATACAGGCATATCGACTTTCCCCGTAGGCTACTTGAGTGCTTGGAATCCTAAGACGGGAATTCGACAACTAGCCCAGGCTAGATTCTCCTTTGGGTAGTTGGCTCTTGGGTGATCGCCTCTTGCTACACACGTCTACATGTTCCAGCTGTGAGTGTTTCTGACAGCCCCACACCTTTTGTTCAAAGACACTGACTGTTTTGGGAATACTTTTATTTCTATTTTAATTATCCTGAACCTCGCCAGGCTCAGTGGATTCTGTGTTAATAATTCCAATATTTGAGGCACGGGCATATCGGTTGCTATGGATAGACAAACGAGCAATCCTGCAGTCTGTATCATCATTATTGCATTCCTATACCTTCTTATCTCATTCTGTGGATTCAAGATTCTTCACCTGTATGAGAGAATTCACGTGGATCCCTGCTCTCATCGCCATCATCATCATTATCAGATGCAGTGGCAAGCATCTGAAAGAACAGTTCGAAGTCCCTCCTCCCACCGCTCCAGTCGTTCTCTCTTTCAGGGGACTTGTGGCTAGTTTCATGCTGCCATGGGTTGCATGGCTAATGGTTTTTCCACGTATCTGCATCCGAAGGTACCCTTCTTTTCTAGTTACGCTTGACACATAAAGGGGTCTGGCGTTTCTCACTGTTCTGTTGATGACTCTTGGGGCTGTGATTGTGGGCTACCCTGAATGCATCTTCTTAGATAAAAGGTCATGAGACGAATTCAGTGAGCGGGATCCTGGCTGCTATGATACATCCTGCTGGAGGCTTTGTGCTATTCGTTACTGTTATCCTTGCTTTAAGTCTTGAAGATTCCCCTCTGAAGTAGTCTTTCCGTTGTGTATTTTCTTGCCAACGCACTGCTCCCTGGTAGAATTGCCATTCTTCCAACTCCATTACACCAACAGCAGCTCCTTGCAGTAGATATTAACATCACCAAATAGTTCCCTATGCTCAGCGACCTCTCAGCCACCATGTATAGCACAGCCCTAAGCTCCCAAATGCTCCTCACCATCTCTTCTGCATTCCCCACACCATCTTCTCCATCATCACCATCATTATTATTATCACCACCTCCATTGTCATTGGCGTCGCCATCTCAGCTGCAAACCCATTCTTCATCAATCTCGAAAACTTCATCGGAGTCATCGCTACTGGTCAACTGCGTTCATCGACTTGGCCCTTGTTGAACACATTGTCTTCCTTCGAGCAAATTTCAATTCTTACATAGAAGATGGACATGCGTGGGATGATTCTAAGAAGCTTCCTCTGGGGTTTTCGGTTATTGGGGAGGCGGGCAGCTCCTGGGATGTCGCATATCTGATTTATAGGTCCGATTGTAGAGAAGGCTGGGGATGTGGGTTTGAGTCTTCGTTCATAGTTTCGGCATTGTTGAATGCACAGTTGAGATATCTTGAGCGGAAGATATTTGGGAGGTAATCTAGGAAGCTTAAATCGTGCTACATATGAGAGTGGTATTAGATAAGGGTAATTTCCTTCTACGATAAAGGGGAGGGCCAGTAGATAGAGGTTCCGATGTTGAATCAGAGTCTCCATGTGCATGTGAGAGGTCCAAGAGTCGCACTTGGCTTCGGCTTGCACATGCTTGCTGTGCTGTACGTGCGTGTGACCGTGAGGATTCACGCTTAGCTTCGCCTTCCACATGTTTGCAACATTGCCTGACAACTGGTGGGCCCGAAGATGCTCAAGTGGCTCCAAAGTGAAAGCCACGTGATCATATGTCTGCCAATTATATGCTGAATGTCGGACTCTAAATATGGCATTAACAATAGTCAATCCTCAAAAGAATATCGCTCAAACTAACACGTCACGCATGAAAAGTCGTGAATAACGAAATTGCATCGTCGGGGGTGGATCTACATTTCCGATCACGTGATTTTGTCGGTAACCTCGGTATCCTCTGCGGCTCCCGGAATGAAGTCGAACGGTGACGTTCACAAGCCAGACGACGCTCCACCTCATAATGCGTCCCCTTTCTCATTTTGTTTCCCTCAGAACCTAGTGATACCTTCCTTCTATCAACTCTACATACGCGCAACTACTTCTCATTGCCTTCGTCCTTCGGTTGTGTTGGCTTTCTATCGGGTCCTGCCCCGCCAGCTCCGCGTATTCCCTCCTTTGACCATTCACACGTGAAGACCGCGTCCACGCTCCTTCCACTATGTCCCAGGAAGCGAAGACAGCACAAGAGAAACTTGCGGAATCTACCCAGGAAACTCCGAACGGCACAGCTGCTCAGCAAAGCGACAATGTTGCCCATGCCCTTGCGGGAGCCGGAGGAGGCCTTTTGTCTATGGCCTTGACGTATGTGTCTTGAAGGCATTACTCTTCGCCGCGCTGACAACATACAGCTATCCTCTCATTACGCTCTCTACACGCGCCCAGGTTGAATCGAAACGCGCCCAATCCTCCACCCTCAACGCTGCGAGGCGCATCATCAAACGGGAAGGCATTGTCGGGCTATACGCCGGTCTTGAGTCCGCTCTTTTCGGTATTAGCGTTACTAATTTCGTATACTATTACTGTGCGTTATCTGGGACATGTTTGCAGGGGGTAGCACACTGATTGGAACTAGGGTATGAGTGGACCAGGGCCTTCTTTGAGAAGGCCGCTTTGAAGGCTGGCCGTGCTTCGAAGAAACTCACCACAGTTGAATCCATGATCGCAGGTGCCCTTGCTGGCAGTGCTACGGTTCTGATTACCAACCCAATTTGGGTTGTGAACACGCGCATGACTGCGCGAAAGTCGGAATCGGAAGAGCAGGTGCTGCCTGGCTCGAAGCCAGCCAAATCACCCTCGACGCTTGGCACGCTCCTTTCAATAATCCGGGAGGAAGGCCCCTCCCGCCTGTTCGCCGGTGTGATGCCGGCTCTAGTCCTAGTCATCAACCCTATCCTGCAGTATACCGTATTCGAACAGATGAAGAACATGCTCGAGAAGAAGCGCCGCGTTACTCCAACCGACGCATTTTACCTCGGCGCGCTCGGGAAGTTGCTGGCGACCAGCATCACATACCCGTACATTACTGTGAAGAGCAGGATGCATGTTGCGGGTAAAGATGGGCCAAAGGAGGACATGTTCACGAGCTTCCGAAGAATCATCAGGGAAGAAGGCTGGGCAGGCCTATACGGAGGTAGGATCAGCACGTCATATCTGCACTTGACTCTATTTCTAACACATGCGACAGGAATTGGTCCGAAGGTCACTCAGAGTGTCATCACAGCGGCATTTTTGTTCGCTTTCAAGGATGCTTTATATGCGATGACGGTGAACGCTCGCAAGAAAGTTGCACTGAAGAAATAAGTGCAACGTAAACTCCAAATTAACGCGCGTCGTCCTCTCGCGGTCGAATTAAACGCCTCCAACAGGTGTGATTGAGATGTCGAATACGATGTTGTATGACTAGAGCCCTACAAAATACCGTGCAGTAGCATATAGAATGGTTGCATGTCCGACCCCGGATTCCCACAATCACTTATTACTACTTGTATATACGCGCAATTGATGTACACGTTTTCGTCCTAGGGTCTGCGGGTGTGCCAGCAGTTGTAATATCCAGCTCTGCAGTTCTTCTCGTATGCTATTTGTGTCCAGGACACAAGCTTCAACAAGACTCTGGAGGCGTTATCGTCCCGCAGATCCTATGCAATAGCAGGCAACTTATGCCGAAAGCTGTTTTTCTTTCCCTTGCCTGCCGTGGCCCCCTTTACGGGTATCCTGCACATCGACCGACATAATTGGGTGCGGGGTCTTCCAATCATTCCACTGCTATTTATCCCACCCTGCGCAGTACCCCACCAAACCTGGTACTTGGAGACCGTTTGGAACGAAACGGCGATGAAGAGCCTTTGCACTGTCAAAACCCTTTTCTGATACAAAAGAAAGCCGCTTTCTCTGCGTTTTGATGTTATTTTGGTCAATTTAAGTACCAAGGTTTGCAACAAGAATGGGTTCCACACCATTCACCCTCAAGTGGGGCATTCTGGGTGAGCTTCACACCACACGTCAGGTAGATGTACTTCCAACAATGCTAATGCGACCAGCAACCGGAGGCATAGCAAAAAGTGAACCCAAAGCCAATCCACTCCAATCTCCCCTTCTAAGCATTCCCTAGCATTCACCAAAGACCTCCTTGTTAACCCCTCAACACGCAACACCTCGGATATCTACCACTCCGTCGTAGCCGCCGCTTCATCATCCTCTGTATCACGTGCCCAATCTTTCCTCAAAGAAGTCGGCGCACCAACAACCGCAAAAGCCTACGGCCACTACAAAGACCTAGTTTCAGATCCCGATGTCGACATTGTCTACGTCGCGACACCACATTCCCACCACTACCAGAACGCGCGAATGTGCCTGGAGGCCGGTAAGCATGTGCTGTGTGAAAAATCATTTACAGTGAATACAGAGCAGGCTAAGATTCTTGTCGATCTTGCGAGGGAGAAGCAGCTGTTTCTGATGGAGGCGGTGTGGACGCGGTTTTTCCCTCTGGCAAAGGAGATCAGGGGGATTGTGAAAAGCGGGGTGGTTGGCGAGGTTAAGAGGGTTTTTGCGGATTTGAGCTTTTGGAATGATGTTGAGAGGGAGTTTGGGCCGGAGCATCGGATGGTGAATATGGATTTAGCGGGGGGTGCGTTGCTGGATTGTAAGCCTCTATCTTCTGAATGTTTTGTTGATGTCAGGGAGTGCATCTAATTCATGAGCAGTGGGGATATACTCCCTAACCTGGGTCTTCCAGATCCTATACCATATCGTGCCGGAAGCACAGCGAGGGCCGCCGACCGTCGCATCGTCAATCACGAAGTACGCTGGCACAGGTTGTGATGAGATGGTTTCCATGATTCTTAGCTTCCCGCCTAATAGCGCACATGGAATTGCAACTACAAATCTCCGCGTACCTCTCCAGTCCTCTTCTGCCCTATTCCACTTCCACACTCACGCCACACTAAATACTAACAAACCCCAAGGTCTCCCACAACCCTAACCCCGACCACCCCTCGGACAACCCCATCCGCATCCAAGGCACCCTTGGCGAAATCTCCATCGCCTTCCCAGCCTACCGTCCCCTGTCTTACAAAATGATCCCTGCATCCTCGCCGTCTCGCGGTACGCCGGCGACCTTCCAGTACCAAGAGGTCAAGCATGACATTCCTAGTGGCGGCCAAGGAATGTTCTGGGAAGCGGATGAATGTGCACGATGTATAAGGGATGGGAGGTTGGAGAGTGAGGGGATGCCCTGGGAAGAGAGTTTAGTTATTATGCGGGTTATGGATGAAGTGAGGAGGCAGGGGGGATTGAGGTATCCTGAGAAGTTGGAGAGTGTGGAGTTTCCTCTGGAGGGGTTTTGAAAGGGGTTAGGTGGGTTGAGTGTCGGACAGGTGGGGTTGGGAGGCGTAGTTCCAGAGGTATTTCCTGTCATTATTCAATGACAGGATAGGGGTAAACAAGATTTAGATGTGGCATTCTCTCCGTCCCTCTATTTCTCGGCAAGCAGTGACGCTGGTGTTCAGAGTTTCATCCAAAGCTTTTGACATTGCACAAACACTAACAAGTCTATCAGACACTTCAGAATTTTATCTTGGCCAGTGCAAATCCTCCGCCCTCTTATAAATTCTCGTATAAGACTATACATATCTCCTTCCACCCTTCTCCAACATCACCAGCCATGCAACCAGTAATTGGATATCCCACCAAACCCCCAAACCCTCAAGCTTCAAATATGTCACCTCCCACTTTCTGGTCCCGAACCACAACCATGATCCCCAGTATCCATGCCCTCTGTAGCAATGACCCACTTTCCCCTCTTCTATACCCAGCCCTCTCCGCATCTCTCGGCACTATGTGCATCTTCGCTTCGATATCCGTCAAATAGATGAATTCCAACCTGACTAGTGGCTCCCAACCGATGGCTATTCCGTCGATGTATCCGCCGGGAATGGGCTTTGACTGGGTGTTACGCAAGTACAGGAATTGAATGATCGTATTACGATGCGAAGAGAGAGACACAATTTGCGCGACGAGGTACGCGAAAAGGGGGAGGAGGGATCATTTTTTACAAGCTGAGTGCTAGGACCTGTTTAGACAGAATCGATCCTTGGAAAGGGCGTGCAGGTGTGTGAGTCAAAGAGAAGTGAGTTGGGAAGATCGCCAGTGATGTTTCACCCTGATTCACCTCAGTGTATGTTAGGTGCGTGCTTAATGGTGTGGATACATGGCAATTTCACTTTCATGTTTCTCGCATCTGCAGTGACCTAGGAGACTTTCCTTTCTGGTCCTACATATTATTAACTTTGTCTACTTTCGCTCCCGTCCCCGTTTGCTCGTCAAGTATCACACGTGCACCCACGTTTCACTGCCCAATAATTCGCTAGATGGTTTAGATAAACGCCCCTCCGATTGCTCTTATATCCTCCTCTCTCCTCCACTCTCCCCCTGCAGCATTAATTATTCTCCTCTCTCCTTCGCTCTCCCACTACAGCATTAATTATCCACCTCTCTCCCCACCCTTTCACTGCACACCCAAACCCTCCACCACTATGTCTTTCGTCGAATCCCTGTTCCACTATGTACCCACCACAGCCCAAAGCCTGCGCAATACCCCAAAACAAACCTGGATCTCAGCCATGATAGCCATCATCTGCTTCAGCACCTTCGGATACCTGCTGTGGAACTTCCCCCGCTCAACGTCTTTAAAGCCAACATGGCAGGACCACGACTCTAGCACTCGCACCAGCACCCCAACCTCCCCGAAAAAACCTGCTCCCCCACGTACTCCCGACAACCGCACTTCCATCAAGGTTGCAGCCCGGGATCCAACACAACTAACCGATAAGCTCCGTCTCCTCCCAGGAACACCACCGGGTTTTAGAACCGGTAGACTAAGCACGCCTGGATATCAAACCCCTGTTCCAACTGCATTTCTTAAGCGTGATTTCTCGAGTATGGCGAGGCTGGCGCCTGAGGGTTATAAGACGTTGCAACAGTACGGTATGTTGGATGAAAACGGTACACCGACTAAGAAGATGGTGGAGAAGTATCGGGGCGATGGGCAAGTGGGTGCTTTGGGAGATGTCGGTGTGGGTGTTAATGGGCATGCTGATTTCTTTGGTGGAGCGGGTGTAGGTGGTGTTGCGAATTCGAATGTGTTTGTGGAGTGGAAGGTGAAGAAAATGGTGGAGGAGGAGGAGGCGAAGGAGATGGGCGTGGCTGATGCTGTTATGGAGAGTTATTTGGCGGGGAAGATAGAGGCACAGGAAGAGGGGCTGTAAGTTTCTTTTGGAACGGAGAGGGGAAGGAGAACATATAAGCGTTAAGCTGACGGTGTTGGTGTAGATATTGCGCAACATGGTCCTGAGAGTGTTGTGCCTAGTATAGAGGATGGGTGGAATACAATACCTCCGCGGAAGGACCTTGGGAAAGTACATTAGGAAGGAGATTTGAGGGTATTGTGTCTCACAACGGGAAAAGCTTCTTGGTAGGTAAAGAGCTTAATTATAGGCTTCTTTCCACTGGTATGCGCTTTCGATGATAGTGGACTGGCATGCTCGTGAAGATGTGTATAATTCCGACGGTTATATCCTTTCCAAAATGAATCAAAATTGATCCGAGGATATAAGCGCTATACTAGAGTCCACCACAGATATCTTCGAAGCCCACCCAGCTCCTCATTCTTCCTTTAGCTCTTCAGACTCCATGCCATAAAAAGCAAAAAAAGTACTTCTCGTATCTGATTTCATCTTTCCTCTTCTTCTCCTCTTCGTTTAGTGATGGGTACTAAATATTAGAAGCTTATACCTCAAATTTTTCGGGTTTTAGTTTTGGGATTTGAAGATGGGGTTCAGTGGCAATTTGCCAGGTATTTCGTGGTGTCGGTGCAAAAACAGCGTTGTATATATGCCATCCAGGATATCCCGCTGCCGTCACACAATTGGTAAGATTTAAACCCTCTCGTCCGTTGCAATATCCCATCGAGAATTTCTATCAATGCTTGACTGGGCAACTAAAAAGTAGATGCTACATAGCGAAAGTGACGAGAAGTGAGGAAATGTTGGGATATCAGCTCATGGAAGTGACTCGATTGGATTTGAAACATAGTTTTACCAAATTACAACTTGGGGGATATGGCTCACTCCCACTCCGGATTGCTTCTTCCTTAGAAGATGACTGGAAACTAAAGCTGCTTTCCCACATGACTATCTGAACAGGATCTCCGAGGAGGTCACTCTCGTTACAAAGGGTGTTTCAGGGAATAGGGGCGCATAGTTTCTTCCTGGGTTGTTTCGAGTCTCGTCACTTTTCAATTATATAGTTTAGTATGAAGGCGCTCAGGTACCAACTGCAGTGGTATAGCTGTCTGCAGTGGTATACCTGTCTTGTCCTCGAAGCTAAAATTTAATATGCGGCAATTCCGATCGCCAACATGGGCGAAGTGTTGAATTGTCGAAGCGAGATGAGGAATTTCCACAGTGGGTTGAAAACTTGGAATACTGGTGTCGTTGTTTCTGGTATCGTGAAATTAGCCCAACTAGAAAATGAGAGAAAAGATTCAAGTCTCATATAAAAAGACACGAATGCAAAGCAGCAAAGTTGCCCACAAAGCTTGTGTTTCCTATAAATAACTTGTTCTCCCTCCATATTCCATAACCTTTCTCAAGTCCACGTCCTGAATCCAGGGAGCAAACATCCGCCACGCACACACAAGTTCCCCCACCCTAACCTATTAACCAGCGATCACTCCACATCCTCATCCAAAATGTGGCTCCTCCCGAGCATGTTCGACCTCCAGGAACTCGCCATCATCATGATCATGCAATAGCTCCGCCCACCCATCCTCCGTCGCAACCTGGAATTTCTTCTCATCGGCCTCCTCGCCTTCCCGCTTTTTATCCCAAATGCTCGCGCTCCCCCACAAAACGCGCATCTACTACTTCCACCGCTGTCGACGCATGGAACTCAAATGGACGTGCTTCGCACAGGCCTTCCAGCACGGCTTCTTCCTCGCTCTGGGGTCTGACTATTCCTGCCAGAACTGCTATTATATGTGCTGGTGGTGTGAGGTGGCTGTCGTTGCCAGCGCTTGCGACTTCAGCTACTTCGTAGTGAAAGGCTTGGGGATTAAAGACTGGGCTATGAGTAATTTAGTTGGGAGGGGTCTTGTGTCCTCGGTTAGAGCTATTAGTTTAGTTGGGTGTGTCATGCAGCTTCAAGGGTGTGTGTCCTTAGGAGGAATGGAGAGAGTGAAATTAGACTACCGGTCAGAGCACAGCCGCGACCTGAATAATGTAGTGGGAGAATACAAGATGGGGAAGAAGAAGTAAAAGAAGCAGAAGGGCTTTGGTAGGATGAGTAAGTCTGAGAATTTTTCGGGTAGGCGAAGGGTGGTCGAGAGAGGGAGGCGCGGACGAGCAGACAAGGAAAGAGTTTAGCACACTGCATCTGGTTTTGTTTTGCATTAATGATTGCATGGCTGGTAGATGCAGCGCTGATGTGCAGAAGTATCATACACTTGAAGTCTCAATTCTGCCGAACCCTTGAAAGACCACACCATTAGCAGCATGAACCCTAAACAATCTGCAAAAGGACTGACCATCACCTAAGAACTGAAGCAACCTATCAAGTTCTGTCGACATCCTTCCGTCGTGCCAAGGCTAACGCCCGCCTGGACCAATATCAGCACTTAATTACTGTGCAGTGGCCAGCATTTGTTTAGCTTCCCTTGCGCCATTCACGGCCAGAGCATCCGCTGCCGCATTTCCGGGGGAGTTTGCGTGGCCTTTCAGCCAGGTGAATTTTGTCTGGGCTCCCGCGAGCTGTCTCTCCTCAATTCGATTGACGATGGGCTCGATGATGTCGCGGTTGTCAACGGACTTGCCGGAAGCGTTCTTCCAACCATTAACCCTCCATTTCGTGAACCACTCCGTGCAGCATTTGATCGCATAGTTGGAGTCGCTGTAGATCAATACCTCTCTATCGATGGGCACAATGTCAACGGCACGCTGGATGGCGGTGAGTTCCGCGCGTTGATTGGTTTGACGCGTGCCGGGAAGTGGCTCGGAGACATTCCTGTAGAATTGTGAGCATAGTGCGTATTTCGAGGATAGAGGATGGCTGACCTAGGATCATTTGAGCCAAAGTACACGCCTACACCTGCAACGGCACGGGCCTTGCCGTTTCCGAGGGAGCTGCCATCGGTATAGATAATTATGGGTCCGGAGAACTCGCCAGTCGGTTGTAACTTCTGGGCACTGAGTTGAGCCTCGGTCTTGTACTCTATGTCACCATTGATAGGGTTAAATATTATTGTTCGGTCAAAGCCGTCTTCGGCGTCTGGGGGAAGCAGACCTGTACCCAGCTCAATATCGCCGCTTATGGTAGCAGCCACTGCTGAGCCATCATTCCTCTTCTGCTTCTTTGACGGGCTGTCTCCGACCTTGCATCCTTTCCGGGCGTCGGGTGTGGACGCCTCCGACTCGACGTCGTCTCTGCTATAGGGCGTAGCGCTGAGATCGCTGTACGTAAGTCCCTTTCTAGCAGCAACAAACGCCTCGGCTTCGGCTCGAGTGGCAAAGCTCTTGTGCTTGACACCCTTCCATCCAACAATCTGTGCCTGAGCTGACGGCCAATCGGTGTAGACACCGGGCACGCGACCAGACTGGACTGCGTAGAACTTCTGTTGCAGCGGCTTGGCGGCGGCAGGCCCGTCGTTGTTCATAAAGGCCTCTGCCTCTGAGAGTGAATTAAACTTCCTATCTAGGAGCGAATTAGCAGGAGGGGCATTTGAGGTGTGGGGCAGGGGAGACGCACGAACTGCATTCTTGAAGCCCGTGATCTGCTCAAGGGTATCCGACCAACTGTAGTATATGTCTGGCCTCCTCCCGACCTTGACGGCATAGTAGCCCGGAGCGGCTCTCTTCCGCTTCTTCTCACCAGATGAGGTAGTTGAGAGTGATTTCGCGTCCGCCATTGCTTGTACCAGCTGCAGCCAGTCTCCTCCTGCAAAGTAGAATTCAGTTCGGAGGGTTCGCCCAGCGGTATGAGTCTCGAGACGGAACAAGTGTGGAGCTATCTCAATCGATTCGGGGTGCAGGTGGTTTCTAAAGGGCGGGCGTCGGGCGCGGATCTTGGCTGTGAAATGGACGTGGCCGGTGAAGCAATCGGGGTGGCTTGGTGATTGAGCTGGTCAGCGGCGCGGGCGAGCCCTGGAAGTTTTGGAGCAAGCTAGGGGAGCTTCTGAAAGAAAGCTCATCAGACACGACGCACCGACTACGACCTTGTTGTTCCAGACGTACACGACGACACACAACAAACAGGGCGGGACTTGCTCTCATGAGACGAAGTCTCAGGTTAGGGTGCGATGGGGACAGTAGGGCAGGGGCCTTTTATTTGGGCGGAGAAGTGAGGGGGTGTTGGGTTGGCTGTCCAGGTCTAGGTGGTGTGCGGAAGGGGGGGGGGGGGGGGGGGGGGGGGGGGGGGGGGGGGGGGGGGGGGGGGGGGGGGGGGGGGGGGGGGGGGGACGTGCGGAGAGAGAGAGGAGGAGCACCTGGCAGGCCCGCCTAGGGACCACCATGGCAGCAGCGCGGGCGTTGCCGTCTCTGTGAAAACTGGAGGCAGTTGGCACCAAGGGCGGATTTGTGCGATTTGGCGACTCCAGATTGTGGCCCAGGGCTCTGGATTGAGTTGCAATAGTGGGAGCTTTACGGCGAGTTCCACGTAAAACCACCAGGCCTCGGCGAAGGTCCCCCCCCCCTTCAACCTTGGAACCTCCGCCTCTGCCCGTCCCCCCTCCCCTTTGCCGTTACATGCGACTTAATGCCCCAGCGCGGGTAGGCAGCCCGAGAGTGCAGCACCTGCGGCAGTATCCCACTCCTCTCCCACTCTCTAGGTACAACTACTCCAACTTGCGCCATGTTCGAGGTAGGCTCTCCTTTGACTTCACCGCCAAGGATCATCCAGGGCTCATCCAGATGGCGGTTTAGGGACGACATGCAGCAGACCGCTATCAGCTGCGGCTTCATCGGGCGCGCAGTGTAGTGCTGACCAGCGCTGAGTTGGTGGAGATTCGCGCTGCACAGAGAACATTCGAGGGTGCATATATTCGAACCGCCATCGGGCAGTTCTCGTTCGCCCTCATAGTGTTGAAGATCTTCACCTCAGAGTTCTATTCAATAGGCGCTCTGTTTGCTGTGTATGGAGCGGGCGTGTTGTTCACCAGCCTGTTCCGGCGACAGCAAGGTTGGTAGCACGCACTTCGCTCACCGTCACCTTTCGCTCATTCGATATAGGGAACAAGCAGTTCTTCTCCGAAGTGGGCGAAGACGGGTTGCACCGCAAGAAATTCAGGACCAGCGGCAATGTGGTATCCGTCTTGACCGCTCTCAGCATCGCTGCCTACATTTGTCTGCTGATCCTCACTCTAAGGCTCGCGACCTAATCCGGAAGTGCATCGCTGGAAGCTGCCCCCCGGTGGACCCTCTATTCCTCGACGTGTCTCGGCCTCACGTTTTGCTTCAAGAGAAGGTGCGGGGGGCCGCTGCGAATCTGGAAGGCGTGCAGAGATCTTACGAGCCTCACTTTTTCAAACGATTCAAGCAGCTCGACAGGAGGGTCTGGCATCTTGGCCACCCGCCTTGTCCTTGGCCGAAGCGCTCGATGGAGGGTGTCCCATATTGCTCGCCAAGGGCTTGTCGGTAGCACTCCACTCACTCTCTGACATGGTCGGGTTTACAAAGGCAGTGAATCGCAGACTGTATGGGGTGCTTGTCAGGGCGAGCGTGCATGTGCCAGCCCTGTCTGTGTGAAGAAGCGCGGTGAGAGATGTAGAGTATGCTAGCAAGGCTAAATTTACGGATCCGTACAATAATCTACAATCCAAACATGGGGCCTCGCCTGGGGCTATCGGCGCGGCGTGTGCGGAAGAGGGTGAATGATTGGGCGCGATCGGTGTCCGGTCGGGGGGGGGGGGGGGGGGGGGGGGGAGGGAGGGGGAAGGGGGAGGGCATGTCCGCTGGACGCTGGGTGCCAAGCTGGGAGTAACTTTCAGTGTTGACAGCGGACCTGGAATTGTGCCTTGTTGCATGCGCTCAACGATATAAAGTGGGCGGCATGTATCGCTAACATAGCGAAGATACGTCGCCTAGCCGTCCAGCGTCCGCTATAGCTGTTTGGCGGCGTGCCAGCGCGGGCGGCGGTCCGAATTCACCATTGACTGCTCGCGCCCTCAACCAGTGTGAACAGTCATTCAGCATCGCCATATTTAAGATTCACTCAGCCGGGCCAACCACTTCGGCAGCCCTGCTCCCACAACCTCACTCGAACGACGACAACGCCACACGCCGCATCCCTCGCCCGGCATCGCCCAGGCATCTACCCTCCATCGCCATCTGCTTCGCGACATCCCGCGACATCGACGTCCGACAACCGCCTGATTCTTGCGCCCGGGCCACAGTGTGCGCCTCAGCTCGGTGGCACCAACCAGGCCCGAGCTTCTAGGCGCAACCTTAATAATGGCAGCTCTGCCGACCATCCCATCCCCATCACCACCGTCGACGACATCGCCTCGACGTCCCTCTACCTCGCAATCCCATGCGAACTCTCCTCGAAGAACTAGCCAGCACTCTAACATCGCTAAGACTGTGCTAATGAGCAAGATCCCTCTGCAAGCACCTGAACACTCACCCGGCCAGTCGAACGGAGTCGTTCCCAGGCCTAAAACATCAGCACGCAGCGAGTCACGCACCGAGCCACGCACTGAGCCACGCACCGAGCCGATTCCCCAGTCCCAGTCCCAGTCCCAGATCCTCGCCTTCCGCAACCCAGAGCTGAAGCCTCTCCCCCTCCTGAGCAACCACAGCAGCCATGCCCCGGCAATCTCCCAAGACGGCGTCGGCAGCGCCCTCAGCGACACCCCTGCCCCCTCTGCTCCTGCGAGCCCGCGCATGTGAGTCCCTTGCTGTGTGCATTGCTGAAGCTGAAGCTGAAGCTGGACCATGACCGCTGACTGCTTTCTAGGCCTGCCATGAGGTCCAATTCTGCTGCCTCCACCCCTCGAATGCGTCCCACGACGCTCGACATCCCCGGACTGACCAAGTCCAAAGTCTCCCCTGATGGCAAGATCGCCCAGCGCGATGTCGGCTCCAAGCTCGTCATCATCATGGTCGGCCTGCCTGCGAGAGGCAAGAGCTACATCACCAAGAAGATGACTCGCTACCTCAATTGGCTGCAGCACGATACCAAGATCTTCAACGTTGGCGAGCGGCGTCGAGTTGCCGCGAGCGGCCACGGCTATCAAATGTCTTCAAGCAGCCTGGAGAGGGGCCCTTCCGGCCTGGCGCACGCTTTGGAGCAGAAGGAGTCCACGTTGCCTCAGATTGCGGCCAAAATCCTCATCAACGGCGAATCGGTGGATACCCTGTCGCCCCTCAACCTGCCTAGCCCCGTGCGAGAACACCACGACGCCGGGCTGGATTGCGTTGATCCTCGTCCAGCCCGAGTTGTCTCTCCCGGCCCCGCCCCTCTCACTCCGCCTCAAGAGGCCGAAAACGACAAGGCCATGGACCAGTCCGCCAGCTTCTTTGATCCGTCGAACAAGAAGGCAGCGCAGATCCGGGAACAGTGCGCCATGGAAACTTTGGACGACCTTCTCGACTACATCTTGATTGGCAATGGCTCTGTCGGCATTTTCGATGCCACGAACAGCACCCTAGCTCGCAGGAAGCAGATCATGGAAAAGATCCGCCAACGCGCTGGGCCGGAGCTCAACGTTCTCTTTGTTGAGAGCGTCTGCCAAGACCAGACATTACTGGAGTCTAATATGCGCCTGAAACTCTCCGGACCCGATTACGATGGCAAAGATCCGGTGGCTGCCCTAACTGATTTCAAGAAACGTGTGGCCATTTACGAAAAGAACTATGTCCCTATTGGTGACTATGAGGAGGAAAATAACATGCCGTACGTCAAGATGGTCGATGTTGGCCGAAAGATGGTCTCTCACCAGGTCCGCGGCTTCCTCGCAGGACAGGCCGTGTATTACTTGCTCAACTTTAACCTGGCACCGCGCATGATCTGGATCACTCGTCACGGTGAGTCTTTGGACAACGTCGCTGGTAAAATTGGCGGTGACTCCGATTTGAGCGAGAATGGACGTAAATACGCCAAGGCCATGACCAGGTTCATCGACTGCCAACGAAAGGAATGGGCAATCCACCAAGCCGACAAGATTGCCAATACCCACTTCCCACCCATTCCTGGCGATCACACGCCACCCAATCCTCACTATGGCAACGAGACTGAAACCAAGAACTTCTGTGTCTGGACGTCGATGTTGAAACGGAGCGTCCAATCCGCCGAGCACTTCTGCGACGAAAATTATGATGTGAAGCAAATGCGCATGCTGGACGAGCTCAATGCCGGTATCATGGAAGGCCTCACTTACACTGAAATCAAGGAGCGGTACGAGGAAGAATTCTTCCGTCGAAGAAAGGACAAACTTGCCTACCGCTACCCCGGGCCTGGTGGAGAGGGATATCTCGACGTCATTAATCGCATCCGCCCCGTCATTGTTGAGCTTGAGCGGATGACTGATCATTGCTTGTTGGTAACCCACCGTTCTGTGGCCCGCGTCCTCCTAGCCTACTTCCAAGGCCTGAACAGGGAGGATGTCGCTGATTTGGATTGTCCTCTGGGCATCTTATACCAACTCGAACCAAAGCCATATGGTGTCGAGTTCAAAGCCTGGCGTTACAATCCAGATCAGGACGACTTTGAGCACCTTCCGGATTACAAGCTGCGCCGAGCTCCTGTCATCCATTAAATTTCTTCGCGGCATCCGTTCGTTATCGAGGCCTCGCGGGCCCGAGGGTGATGCCCCAAGGCTGGTCTCCGTTTGTCGAATTGTATTACTACTACTACTACTACTACTACTACTACCCTTAGCAAGTTGCGTACGTTCTCTTCTTACTAAAACCTCTTAATTTTGGTATTTCCTGTTTCCCCCACAGCATCCTTGAACCATGATTCCTGCTTGTATTTTGTCTCTCATTGTCATCTTCCAACGTTCAACAGCATTAGTCGGCGCTTTAGAGAGATTGGGCAGGGATACATGTCAACATAGCGGGCTGTGGCTTTCTTTCTACGGAGTTCGTTTTGCATCAAACAAAAAAAAATTACCGGATGCTTTTCAGAGTTGTTCGGGTATTGATTCAGATGTTTAATTCTTTTTTTTACTATGGCGTTGGCGTCATTTCATTTTTTTTTTTTCCTTCCAAGGTTGGGGGCGGTTATCTGGCCTTTATTGGCGGACGGTCAAGGGCTTGCAGGTTTCCCACTCATAGCACAAGATTTCACGGCTTTTCTCACTCACGGCCAAGGGGGACGCGAGAATTCTTCTCATTACACACACATTTCCGTCTTTATTTTGAGACTGGGGATCCTATTTTTCTCTACCCTTCTTTCATTGCCTGGGTAGGCCTGCCTTTTACCCTATCGGTTTTGCGCTATGAGCAACGGCGCCACAATCCCTTGATTGTAACATCTCCACTCTCCTTTGGTACGCGTACACTGGTATCTTGCTCTGTACCGGGAGATCTGCGAATTCTCCATTACTAGTTCTGGTTCCTGATTCTTACGGATATTTGTTGCTTCCTGCATTCCAACATTCCCTTCTAAGGCTTTATGGGTCGGCTTAGTGTTGAGTTTGTGAGATAGAGATTTGATTAGATTCGATTTGGGGTTTGATTTGGGGTGAGATTTTTGATTGTTGATAGAGTGTAGAGTAGAGTACAGTAGAGGTAGAAGCTATGGAAGGGAATCCGGATTCGAAGCTCTCTGCGGGAAGTTGAATTGGAATTGGCATCGGAATGGAATGGAATGCAGATTTGGGTACAGACGACGAGTCTTGTACGCTTGCTTGACCAGCATACCGTTATTCTTGATATATGCCACGTGATTTTTGCTTTAAAGTGTATGTAAGCTCTTCGCCCTAGAGCTCTTCACTATCTTCACATTTCATCTATTCTCCTACTCTTAGACGGGCTGGGGGGAAAGGCTACGTTGGGCTCCGGCATGAAAAACAGCTTCGAGCTGGCATTCATGTTCTGATGGTCGGTCTTCCTTCTTTTTCGATACTATATAAGCAAGACGAGAATTTCGAGTCCTATCCTCATTACTCACATATTCCACTGAAACATTGGGTATAAAAAAAAAGAAAACAAAAGGAGTTCTATAGGGCTTTCTGGTCGTGTCTAGAAACTAAGCCACTCCATTGTACGTGGACGTGGCTGCGTTGTGGCACTGAAAAACCTAGCGTTATTGGCATCTCTCCTTTCTTCATATCCTGTGATTAACGTGCATAGCAATCGAAACCCAAAAATCCTGTCAGTTTTGCAACCGAAACTCATTCATGCTCGATACAAGCTCCAATTACACTTCACCAATATTTATTCTCTTTCTGTCGCTCCCCACATCAGTAGTGTCTTCGTTACCATTGTCTCGCGAAACGGGGCAATATTACCTCTCCTAACATGCTATGCTGTACTAGTATTCTGCTCCACCAACAATGCGCGAATTAAAGCGTACAACCAGACCAACGTGGACCGAGGGTTGCAATAGCAACTATTGTAACATTACCCATCTCCAAGCCAGGGAGCATCGAAACCAAGAACTTTCAATCCTTGTTAACAAGGGTAGCACCCATTTTACCTTCTTTTTCGAAGCCTACGGAGATGCAACATTAAGTTTGGACAGAAGATCCCGCAGTCTCATCTTCATGGACTCCTCTCCAACCTAAAGTGATTCAGGACCCCAAAGACATGGCGGAATGCCGTATAAATTCAGCGTTTAAGGGAGAATATTTTAGCGGTTGACTTCCCGGTCGCAATCTGCATCCCACCCTCTTTTGTGTCACCAGTGACGTGGTCGGCACATACTTAAGTACGACCCTATTCCCAGCCTCGAGCCTTAGGAGCAATACCACAGATAGTTACAAGGCCAGACTCACCCCACCAACATCATGTCTACCCAAAACGAAGAGCAGACGCGCTACGAACGCATCAAAGAAAACTGCAAGAAGATCTGGGGCGCCGACAAGGAGTTCGAATTCGACATCGAAACCGACGACTATGAACACTACCAATGCATTGTGAGGGAAGACTACGGTCTCAGATTTGGCTCACCTCTGGTGATAGCAAGTGCACGTAACGGACCCAATAAGGCTTGGGACGAGCTTGATAGGATGTTACGCCTTTGGGCTAGACAGGTGGAAAGTGGGAGGCCGATGACTAGAGAAGAGCAATTGGAGATTTTCTCAGGGCCCCATGGGGAGCATAAGAGGGTTTTGGAAGATTTTATGAATAGGAGAGATGAGATGGACGCGTTGGCTGCAGCAGCAAAAAAGGCTTGAGATACGGAGACCGTCGGTTGCGTAGGTTTATCAAGTTTTATCGGCGTAACTTCTGACATTTCGCAGTGGCCTTTACAGCCTGAAGGAGATCTATGTTGTTTCATCCAGTGTTCGATTTTGAGTCTGTTCTCGGGCCTTCTCATACTTGGAAAGGCTGAGCAAGACACTCAAATAGCGCTCCTAAATCTCAACATCTTGTATGGCAGACGCTGCAATCTAATAAATGCGGCTTTATGGAGATTCGGAAATGATTACCAGACATTTTCCAGCATGTGAACGTCATACCACTACTTCTGATTGACTTTATCCCTAGGAAGAGCAGCGCTGTATTCTACTCCTCTTGAAGTGCCATTGTATTCCTCCCGTATCGTCCCTTCATCGACTCTCGCACTGTCCGCCGCAAAGTCTAGTGTATATTATTGCAGCACCTGAAAGAGTGATGAGCGGTGAGACCATGTGCAACGTGCATGTACGAACAGTTCACGATGTTAACTTTTACTTTCCCTGCCCAATTATATATATGCACCTCGCCCTACGCGCCTACAACATAGAGGCCTCATCGGAAAACCTAAGCACGGGAGGAACGGTATCCATAATTCGTATATACTTGGACGTTCCCTTGGTCATCGGAGGCCCTCTAACTATGAACCTGCGAATCGCTCCAAGGTACTTCCATTCATAAACTAAATTATCCACAGAGAGCAGGTTTTAGTCTCGGATTGGATTTGTCCTTTGAGTTGCCTAGAAGGCTCCCAGTTATACCTTGGCATGCTCTGCTGTCTCTAAGGGACGGAATACGATATGGTAGTATTCTGCTAAGCTACCTGTGACATCGTAGCAGGCCTGGGGCTTGATTGATAGGCCGAACCTTTCTCGGCATCTCCGTGCCTTCCATTGCTGTGTCATATAGGTGCATGGAAAAACATAGTGAAAACTTAATTCTAGACTCTCTAGTCTCTTATCCCTCGTTCTAGAGGAAGTCTAGGACATGAACTACTTCTCTTTCCGGACACGAAGGATAATCACCCCCCAACTAAATAAACCGCTAAGATGGTGGTACGAACTGCACAGTTTAGGATTAGTGGAGGCGTCAAAGCCCTCTCACAGGGTGGCCGATGCGCTCCTGGCACTTCTTCGTCAATCCAGACACCTAGTAGTATCTCTTTCAATTTGCTCCAAGGCGATTTCATTTGAGCCCTCAAGCTCGGTGGTTCTTCTGCCTAGAACGAGTATCGCAAGCTGACGGCCGCGAAGGGTCTCGAAGGAATTACAGTACCCTCACAACCGAACGCATTGCAGAGGAGACTTTGATGGCTTGAAACTGGGCGGGGACACATTGCGCTGAGTTGAGAATTCCGAGAGCAGATTCAGTCCTCTGCACACGGTATCCAGCTGAGCTGACGATGTAATCGAGCTGTAGTTCCATCTGGTTCCTCATTACCCCCTAGTTCTCCCTCCCTATCGAGAAACCTGCCTCTCTTGATTCAACCACAAGGTGGCCTTGGAGCCGTCAAAATAACTCCCATAGCGACTAGAACAAGTCACAGGAAGGGATAGCGATGCAGAAAATAAATAGTCGCAAGCTATTTGCTTGTGATCTTTGGGCACAACTCGGGTTTAGTATAAAAGTGAAAGGATATTGAAGAATGAAAGGAACTGCAGGCTTTGGTAGGTTTCCGGAGTGGTGGTAGCGATGCTATATGACGCAGTGTCATTGTTCGAACAACTCCAAACCACGGGACAAAGGAGCCTTGGCTGATAAAGACTAGGAGCCCCGCAATAGAGTGAAACCTGGATTTGATGGAGGTTATTTATCGGAATACTCAGAGAGGGCCACTTATACGATCACTTTGACTCTCATAAAAGGCCAGAACGAATCGATAAACCCGGATCAAGCATCTTGTTAGATCACATCTACTCTTCAATGTTGTTCAAATACCTGCGCAGCGTCAAACATTTTCGTCAAGATTATCGGCACATTCCCCAATTGGATGCCAAAGCCGAAGCATACTCCACAAATAGAGAGTAAGTCCAGAGAGACAGGCCGTTCCGCAGAAGCCAGCGACCTGCGGGAGTCAGCGCCTCTTAAGGCCGAGAACTCTCCCAAACTCCAAGTCTCTACTTACGATCTTATTTTCGCGTGTCTGGTCTTGCCTCCCCATCCTTGTCTCTATCCATACGAACACTAGGAAACCAGCTAACCATAGATATATACTGGTTTCTAGAAGGCCGTTGGCTAACTGCCAAATTATTATCTGTTCGCCTCGTGGTTTGCGTCGTCCGTTAGGAGCCTTGTAGCTTAACAATTTCCGGAGCGCGGCATTTCCTTTCGACGTACACCCAATCCTGGTGAGGAACGTTGTTTGCTGCAGTTCTGTCGCAACAGCAACTATGGCAAAGACTAGGGAGCAATACCAAGCGACGCAAATCATGCTGTACCCGGGATCAAGACTAAAAGGAGGCTCTGAGAGTTTTGACCAAGCGAATGCTCCCACGATGACTGCACTCATAATAGCACCCTAAATTGTATCAGCATATTCGCAGCAGAGCAGATGCTTGGTGTTAGCGCTTATGACAGAATACGGTAAGATCTTGCAGGGACAGAAGTTCCCCTGAATCTAGTAAAAGGTTTAATTGATTAAGCTCTTCTTGCTAATGTTCTCGGTAGGTGCTACGTGCTAACAGCCTTAAGAAGAGTTGTCTTACTATGAGTCCAACACTGGCTAACTGGGATAGCATGGCATCTTTCCAGTCCCGTATGCGGATGCCCTCCTCAGTCGAGGGCGCATTAACCATCTCGTCAATTGCCTTGTAAGTTGTCTGCCAGGCTGCGTGGTGAAAAGGGAAGAGTCTCTTCATGCCGTGTTTTGTGGAGATCTTCCATTGCGAGAGGCATGCTTGGACACATCTCTTCATCTTGGAGAATGGAGAATCAAAAGAGCTAGATACGCAGACTATTTTTTTGATGAATCTATGAAATGGCAACGCATCGCATATGTGAGGTGCTGAGCTGGCTTGAGTCAATGGTAGGCTGGGCCGAAGGATTTGCCGAAGTTCGGTATGGTTCGGCTTGCCTCAAAAACAAGGCTCGATCTCGTCAGTTGCGGCCTCATACAACTCTGGATGCTGTCAAATCTACCATATTTGGCGCAGATCTTAAACACGGCCTTTTCCCTCTGGTACTGGGCAGCAAGCAACACATTTGGTACAAGTGGAGGTTCAAAGGTGCCCGGCAACAGACCCTGTGTCGATCCCTTGCTCGTCAGCTACGTCGACACCTCCTCAACACCACGACATCATCCTCCTTCCGAGTTCCCAGCCCTACAAACCCCCGTGCCTGAAGGATAGCATGCATGTTCGTTGGCAGAGTCAGTAAACATGCAGTCTTTTACGATCATCCTCACCGATGCCCACCCTCATCTCTCCGCTAGTGCGCTCTCCACCGTTTCGCGACACGCCCAATATCTGTATCGTTCCATCAAAACCATACCCAACAGCTCTGCAGTGGAGCAATTTCGACTTCAGGCCAACCTCTCTACGGTTCCCTCACGGTAGAATGAAGTGGGACAGAATGATAGAGACAAGCTAGCTCCGTACAATGGTAACACATAAGCTACCGAGCCGGGACGTGTAACAGAGTCAAAAACAGAGCCACAGTACGATGCCTAATCTTCCTCCCCTATAGTACCATTCTTCTAACTATCTACTATGAGGCCGAATCCAGCTCTAAAGGGAGCTCTATCCCTTGGTGTCATTACCTTCTTGTGGCTCTGCGCCTCTCCGCCCTCTAGCTCAACGTCAAGTTCAAAACGCTTCCTTGAGAAGATCGAGGGATCTCTCGCATTTCCAGGGCGCCAGGATGTTGGAGACCCTCGGGCTGCATACGCCTTTACACTTCAGGTTAGAATACAACCGGAACAGTCCTCTACGAATGAGTCGCTGCCTGTGTTTGATCAAGGAATGATGCGATTGCGGAAGACGATCTACAAAGTACCTCATAACGGACCTTTGCCAGTTTCATTATTCGCCCTCTGCGCGTCTCTGGAAGATGTACTAAACGAGGATATCTTTGGTTCTGTATCATTTCTGAAGAGAGACCGAGGGGTAGGGAACGATACATCGAATGAGCTGGACTCGAACAGAACTCTGCTTAGGCAAACTTGGAAAGTCGGCATCGCATACAACACTTTCCGTATTGTGGACCATCCTAGAATCGTTGTGGCTCGGTTGCGGGAAATGTTGGCACACTGGGGATTATACATTTGCCTTGTGGATGAGACGAGGCAGGTGAGTGGTGCTCAAAGAAACATCAAGCAATCTGTGACTAAGTTTCGACCACAGAACAGCTCATGCCAAATATTTGGCCTCAACTTCGTAGACGATGACGTAGGATCACTGATTCTCGAAGACGTGTGGGGCACTGAAAGAGGATGGTTTAGAAAGCTAAATTTTGGGGACTTTGAGAGGTATCAAGGCTATCCTGAGATTGAAATGCATTTTGCCCTTGAGGAATTTATATTTGAAGGTACCAAGCTATCGTCATCCCCTGGATCTCGAAAACTGATGATTCCTAGCGCAAATGTTTCTCAGATCAGCGACTGAGTTCACAGGGGGAAAATACAACTTACTCTTCATGAATTGCCAGCACTTCGCTGCACACTTTTTCGCTCATTTGCAGAATCACAATTGGTGCGATTCGAGGCGATTGGATGCCGACTTTCAACTTGAAGATATGGCACGGCGGATAAAATGCGCATCGCTCGCACCACTCTGGCGGAATACTTGTTTTACCTGCCACCTCTAAGGTGGATTGTAGATGTACTCCCTCAAAATATATTGGTAACTTTACATAGTATAAACGTATATTTCCTGAATTCATATTTTGGGATCGTAAACTTTAAAGCCGCTCTGATAATTATAGCTAGGCCTGAGAGACAGCATTATACCCCTATTAAAACAGATCAGGGAGGAGTAACAGACAGGTGACAATCCACAACGTCATTACTACGCATACAGCAGAGGTATTGTTCCACCAGTCCTCTAGCACGAAAAAGCTTCCACAGTTCACCATTGCCTGTGTTCTGTTACTAGCCCCTCGACTGCTTGCAAACAGCAACTATCAAAGCATCCTTTCCTCATATGCCAGCGTCCATAATGACAAGGTCAACAACTTCAACCCGCACTAGGTTGAGCTTTTGCTGATATTAGAACCTTCGATATAACTACTCACGAAAAGGTCCTCGCAGCTGTCGAACGTATAATTAGAGGCGAGGTAAATAGTTCATTCGCCGTAAAAGCGCCAGAAGCCAATTAGAATTTTAAAGCTCCTCCTTACCCAGCAAGCGAAGACTTATCTCTCCTTACACCAGAGAATAGTGTGTCAGCCATGTTCTAGATTCTCGGCCGCCGTTTATGCAAAAAGGTGAGAGCACTACAAACCGGAAAAGATCCGATCTCGAACTCCCCTCAAGCCGATTATGCGCTGGTCGTTGAGCTAATCTTGAAGACGGATATTGACGCGATGATTCTTGCAGGGTTAAGTTTACTGAAGGCTGTGGCATGGCCTTGAAGCCACTCTCTACGGCATGTTATCATATAACTTGGTGCATAACTAGGGTAGAATTTATCCGTTAAAAGCTCCCGCTCGAATTAGGGATGATGCCTAAAGATTGCAAATCTATATTCTGAATTGCTCCCTTCTCATGTTCTACATGTCTCGATCCAACGCCTACATAAACAATCTCTGAATGTGTAAACTCTTCCTCCCAATTTCCATTTTCTCTCTTCATCGCCTTTCTAGAGTATGCAGTCACACAGCACGGAATATGGCAATGATAAAAGTAATCTTCCAAACAAGTGGCTGGAATTACAGAAAACGCCAAATAGAATGCAAGTTCAGGTTCTCAGTGACTCTCATGTCACGTTCCACGTTCTGTGAAAAGATGCAGCAAAACCCTTCCCTCTTCCGTTCCCCTGATCAACACACCACCATACTCCTTCCTAAGCTCACACTGCGCCACTCCTCAAAGCATTCATCGCACTCAACATGGCTGGACTTATATGATTCGCATTCGGCGGGTACGCACTCCCCGCAAACAAAAACACATATCTCACCATTACCGAACTCTCGTCCTTAATAACATGAACCCCAGGCGTTACAGAATTCCCATTCCCCACAACCTCACATCCCAACAGTAGTCTCATATTATTTAGCCCACTGTTTCGCCAACTCACTGCAGAAGGTGAATAGCTGAAAGAAGTAGCAGGCTCTTCCGCCATGTATATTCCTTTTCCGTGGGCGGCACCGGTGCGTTGGAGAGCAGTGCCCGAGTAGATTTTCAGACCTTTGGCGAGGATGGAAGGGAGACGGTCGAGTGAGGTGCCGTGGAAGAGGACGCGGGTTTGTGGGTTGTAGCGTGGGAGCTTAGATGCAAATGAGCTTTCGATGGAGGGAGCTGCGTTCGCTAGAACAAATTGATGCGTCCCTGCCGGTAAGCCTGGTATGCGTAGAAGTCCGGATGCGGAGGCGATGAAGCCGCGGTAGTGAGTGCAAACCCATGTGAGAAGGGATTCCGCATCTTTTTGGGCGTCTAGAAGGGCTGTGGAGAGTGAGGGGCTGGTTTGGAGGGTTGCGAGAGAGGGGAGAGAGTTTAGTATTGCAATGACTCCTTGAGTCGTTTTGATGGGGCAGCCCGGAAGGAGGTCTGTTCGAGCGCTCATGGCGGCTGCGTAGACGCCCGTGAGCAGCATGTCGATTGCGAATGGGTCGGTGCGGAGCTCTGGGATGCGGACTTCGAGGGGCACATTGTTCCAAATGTGTGCGCAAGCCCAGAGGGTGCAAGGTGTTGAGCGCCGGAGGCGTGTGTGCCGCGCGTTGTGCGTAATACCACAGATGATACAGCAGTGGGCCATGTCCTGTAGTCTCTTCTTGATGAATTCATGGAGGGGGGCGATCGCGATAGTGCTGGTTCTGAGGTGTCGATGGAGGATGCGGTTCATCTGCCATGTTAGTGCTGTGCTTCGACCGTGGCACACTGGGTCGATAGGTTCCTTCGATCCCTCTAAGCACACCCATGGAGCGTGATCTGTTCTGGTCTCTTCCCGATCTGGTTCGTTGTCTAGATGAACACAAAAAGTAGCCGGCATATCCCCGGTATAGTCAAGGAAAAGGTGCACCAGTAAGGTCTTTGCTGTTCCCGATCCCATAGCGTTCCGTTGAAGCTCTGTGAAGGATGTCAATGGGAAGCTGATTTCCACTTCATTGTGTCCTTGTCTCTCAACAGCATCGATAACTCCAGCCGGAAGTGCTTCCAGCTCTTCCTCTAGGGCGCTTGTATCCTGAACACCAATCGACTGGAGGAAGAGCGCCGTCCCAAGCGGATCCTGTGCTTTCAATGCTCTCTGAATGCCCTCCAAACGTGCTGCTTCCTCAAGAATCTCCGCCTCCACATCTTCGTAATACTTCATTGCCGTCGCAAGTTTCTCGTCGGGGACTTTGTCCTCATGCATCTCGAGACCCAACAGAAATGCCATTGCTTTTATCGCGGATTTATCCGTAATTGTCATCTCGTTGTCGTGCATCCACCCTGCCACAATGACCTCAGAGACATCCTTTGGCACATCTTTGTCTTCGTCCGAATCTATTATCCTCTGGCAAGCGTCCAGTCCCTTCGGGTTCGTCGAAATGAGCGCTCGCACGCAGTCCGAGACCTCAGATGCATTTCTTCCTTCAAGCGACAGTCTTCCTGTGACATTTTGCATCAATATCTCTTCAGGCGCCTCGCGAGCTTTAGCGAGGGCCTGTAGTACCCTTATCAAATACTCGACCCAAAGTCCTTCTCCACCTTTGAGAATGCAGTGGACGGCTGGATGGTTGTCACCCAATGCTTCCTCAAGTCGGGTAATCGTGGGTATGAATTCCGAAAGCTGTTGAGCCCAAAGATGAAGACTCGATTGCAGCGCCGGCGGGGCAGGGATCTTAGAATTCGTAATCGTGTCTGCGAAAATGGTGTTCAGTTCCAGCATCCACTGTAACCATTCGTATGCTTTGAAATGATGCAATGTGTATTCTACTAGTGTTGCCGAAGTCCGCTCAATCATTTTGTACAATAGTTCGCGCCAGCATTCCACGGCTTCGATCTGCGGCGTTCTTGCTAGGAATTTGGTGAATTTAACACAACTCGGCTCTGGTCTCGTCTTCGACTCCTGGATAATAGCAAGTAGTTCCTTGATGAATTCACTAGAGAGACCGGGGATTTGGGTTATGCATCTGCAGCGGAGGACGAAATCAGTGCCGCCGATACTCTTCGCTGCAAATAATGCTAACAATCGTCGCTCGGAACACTTCGTCCCTTGCCATACTTGTAGTATAGCGTCGACTGTCTTTTGGTGGGCATAAGTAATGAAGTTCCGCTGTAGCAGACGGTCTATGCAGAACGCTTCAAGTGAATCTTTCAATACAGCACCTGGACCGACTTCGATGACTTTCTCGCCTCCGGCAACACGGTAAATGTCGATGACAGCTTCCAGTATATCCTTAGATGGGAGTATATCTAGCTGTACCCGTACGCTTGTATCTAAGAACGGGAGACAAGTGGCAGAGTCTTTGACGATGACATAGAAGGCATGGAACTCTTTTGCTAGATGTGTCCATGCGAGCCCGGTATCAATATGTGTCCGTACAGCCGCCTGACAGTCTCGTATACACTTCTCGATCCCATGGATAAGCCAAGGCTTTAGCATAACCTTGCAAAGGTCTTCTCCTCGAGGATTATCTAAAGCTGGTAGGAGATGCGAAAGTGCAGATATATGTCTACCACCAATCTTTGGTTGTGAAAGATATATCTGCAAGACCGCGTCGTTTATTGGAAAATTTGGCGTATCTGGAATCTTGGAAACTGCTTCGAGAACCTCTAAAGCCTCCTTCGTAATAGGTCGAGCGATGGTGAGTTGAACGAAGAGCCGGAATGCGCTCTCACTCCCTTTGCATGCGACTTCTAGTGCATCCGATACACGCTCTATCGTCTCCGCTAAGTCCTCCTTTTTCGACGTAGATACTTCGAGAATTAGGCTTCGAAACCGAACTATTGGTTTTATACCTCCATATCCTGCAACTAAACCTTCTCTGAGGGTTGTATGCTTGCCACCAATAAAATCTGGACCTTCCAAAGCAAGCAGATCGGGGAGTACCCCGCGCTTAGCGCCGTCCAAGCCGTCCAGGAGCTTTATTTTATTCAGATCCGGTTTCCAAGACGCCCAAATCCGCCATAGGGGAAAATTGATGTCGAGCAGGTGTTCTGGCAGGAGGTGTCCGGGCGGTGTTACTGCGGGGGACTTGTCCGAAATGAGTGGTAGCCAGACAGTTGAGTTGAATGCAGTCACCCATTGACATCTGAGCTTCAGCCCTTCTAGTTGTGAGGCGTAGTCTTTGAAAGCGCGTCTCGCGAGTAAGGCGAAGTCCGGCAGCACGGCCATATTTGGAACTTTTGTCATGCTGAGAAGTGTGCAAACGCCCTCGAGGTACTTTCCCGCAGCACCGGTCCCGTGCGTAGCGAATGGTATAAGTTGGCGAGCCCATTGTGCCTCGAGATTGGTGACAGATTTCGGGTTGCAGAAATTTGCTGCTATGAGGGACTGTAGGTACATCTCAAGCCCATAATATGTAGCTGGTGCAACACTCAGCTCGACATTTAGAAGTGCTCTGAGCGATGCTGGAGATATCGCATGAGCACATGCTGCAATCGCCACATCCCTTGCTTCATGACTTTCAATCAAGAGTGCGAGCCGGATATCCGTGTCTTGTTGATTGAATTTTCCCTTCTTCTTGAGATAGTAGTCGGTATGTTTCTTGATTAAAGAGTATGGAAATGTTTTGTCGTTTGGCCGAAGGAGGGAGGCTGTGAAGTCGATTTGATGATGCCATTCATCACTCCTTTTCTTGCCAAAGAGAACCATTTCGTCGGAAGAAGAATGAATAGACTGGCAAGGCTACCTGGGTCTAGGATAGCCGGATAGATAAGAGTCTACTAATGTCGGTAGTGACAATTCATACATGCTAGGCTGGATCCCAAGCAAGGTTAAATCTGGAACCACTATTCGATTAATGGGAGACCTCATCAATATCGATCTCAGGACATAGAAAGCAATGCGGGCAAGGGGAAACGATAGGGGGAACTTCTGAAAGGAGAGACTAACAACGTTCACCTAAAGAGGTAAGCCAATAAATCAAAATAAGACATGAAGGAGGTGTTGCAGTGAGAGGATAACACGGAAAGGAACGCATACAAAGATCAGCGATTGGAAGACTCTCGTTCGTACAACTCACCTGGCGGCAAGAGTCTCCTTTCAAACAAGTGTAACAACGGATGATATGACATGCAGGGAGAAGATCTCGCAGAGAGGTTACAAGTGAATGTTAAGGGTCTCCCAATTGCGCGACAAGGTTCAAGGCCTCTAAAAGGCTGTGCAAGGCTGAGACGGGCGAACCGTACCTAAGGGTTTGTGGGTACACTGCATGTTGGAAAAGCGAATTAAAAGGCGACAATCGCACGCTACAACACACGCTACCCCTCCATGTATAAGCGTTTGAAACGTAGCTTGATGCCATTGTCATTGTGACGTGGTTGTAACGTTCCGAATGACAAGCTGAAGACTGCCTTGTTGCCAAGGCTGTTCGTGGCTGGGTAAAGCAATTCATACGAACTCGAACTTTAAGGAGACGAAGTTGATCGTTGGGCGAATAGAACGGGCAGTTTCAAGAGCCGCAGAGGCGCCCACATGAATGTCTCTAGGCACCTACGAAAGCAGGAAAAAGAGCCGGTGTCTTGGCCCTTTCTTGCGCCCTTTTCGTTTTTCTCACCAAAAGCATTGCGAATTTGAGCTGTGCACCATGGATCCCACAGCTTATGTCTCAGGTGAACTAAGATTAGAGGCCATATGAAAAACCGTGTTCCAATCAGGATTGGGTGTCGAAGCGGAATACATGGAATCCTGCTCCTACTTGGAGCACGTGAAGTAATATGCAGTATAATGGTATCTATACGATCTTAGCGGTCTTGATTAACTGGCCGCTCTCCCTAACACCTAGTTTGACCGGATATGAATCATTACATCACTGCACACTTCTCTGGATCCGGGGGTGCGCCTCGATTCTGGCGGAGATGGCGGGCTGCTTGCTGTATGAAGTCTCCAGTCTTGTGGAAACACACTCTGTTGCCTTTGGCATCCCGCACGGCCTCTCCAATGGTGAAGTCATATGCCTGACCGGTGTGACTGTCTTTGGCGGGACATTTTAGCCCATCCATACACTTCTGTTCTGCCTCAGGTACTGTTGTGGAAATTAGCCCAAGACTTCCAACGGTGAAGGAGTTGCACTCACATGTTGCGCAATATGCCATAAACTCGTCAATCGCATGGCGACTAGGTAGTTGGTCGCTTGATTGATCCTCGAGCAGGATCTTGCCCAGTTTCTCCAAATGCTCGATCGTTGCAGGCCGTACTCCTTTTGACATCTCATGCTGCTGAACCTGCAAGGCTGCTAACTGTCTGCCTTCTGGATGGGAAACTATCCCTCGGATATCTTTCGGCGTAAACATCTGTCTGCTAAGAGGGTTACGCATCACGCCGCCGTTTGCCTTGATGGCCTGGGCAAGTTCATCCATATCCCATGCATAGCCATCTTCTGTGACCCAAAAGTTCTCCCTTGGGATGTCGATTATAGCATCACCTAGCATAGTCTCATCATTGACGTAGTTCTTCGTCTTCAAGAACTCATGTTCGATATGCATGAGTGCAATCTCTGGATGAACCTTGAGTCCTTCGGGCAGGGCTGACTCCAATGCATGTACACGCTTAGCGAGTGCATCCCGAATTGCATCATTGTCTTTGCCGGAAGCCTTGCCGTGAGGTGCTCGTATCCAGTCCATCATCCCCTCCAGATCGCTGATGGTGAGCTCGGTTGCCTTCTCCGGTTCTGCCTGGATAAGCCGCGCCACTGATCTTGCGCTACCAGGAGCATGGGCCTTAACAACAGCACTAGAGCTTCGCCCGTCGACAATGCCTTGAATCTGTCCAAAGTTTTTTGACTGGGGTAGTCCTTGCTTCTTCTGGAGTGCTTGTAGATGCAACAGATCCACTATTAGGAATTTAGCCTTGTCCCGCAATGTCTTGTAGCCTTCCTCTAGGTCTTTCTTTGCGTGTTCCAGGTTGGCGGGTAGTTGCACGGGTATAGGCTTCCTCTTGATGGGCACTGATGGCGGCGCTGGCTTCGGTGCAGATTTGGCCGGCGCGGATTCTGTTACTGTCACTGGAGGTTCCGGCTTCTTGTTGAGGATATCCATGAATCCAGTGACATCGGCATCTCTTGGAGCTAGCTTCTTCAACTCTTTTGCATTTTCCATAGCGGCGTCTAACCAACCTACGGAGATATAGTGCTCCACAAGTAGCTTCCTTGCCTGGATTGCAGGTGGATGTCGAGACATTTCTTCGAATAGCTCACCTACGAGAGCCATATCAGGCTCACCGGAACCGGACGTGCCTGCAGTTGCCGCCATGGCGATAGGTCCTTGAACGTTTGCTCGAAGTGTTGTCCGCATTAGTTGAAGAGTATAACCTTCTGTCACTAGTTGGTCAAGACACCTTGGAATGATTATTTAAAGAAAGTCGTGAAGGTCCGTTGACGAGGTGTCAAATTTGTGGTGCAGTCCTAGGCCTTCAAATGCACTCAAGGAAGGTGAGGAAAGTCGTGAAAAACAGAATACGAGCTGGAAGAGCCGTAGAGAGGGAGTCATTAGCTAGATGAGAGATGGAGGCCGCTCCGCCATTCACTAGTAGTTAGTCGGTGAGAAGGAACTGGGAGTGGGGTGCCTTCATCGCGAGTTGAGCAGGCAGTGAGCCAGCACCCCAAGGAATTGGTGACCGGCCTGGAGCGCGCTTGGGCGAGGCTGATTGCTGAGCTGCCCAAAAAGGGTTAGCGGCTCTGGCCTGTGGCACAGCTCGTTATTCAACTGCACAGCAGGCCCCAAGCTTTAATGCAAGGTCATTCTGCCTTCAGCTTTCGGATCGGGATTGTCCAGAGAGCGAGTACTAGCGATATGACAAGCCCAATGCGCAAAGGTTGCTTACATATCAAGCTTGATGTCGAAGAACAACCTCTATCAATACCCGTCAAGCAACCAAACTCAGGGTATATCTAAAACAGCAAGTCGGCATACTCTCCTAGGGCACCATTCTTTCCACCGTCAAATACCTCGTGTAAGCCGTCGAAGGCAGCAAAATGCTCTGCGAATTTGAGGCCTCTAAGTCGCTCCGCTTCGATGATGTCCCAATTCCATTTCTCTCCGACTACGCGAGGAAAGACGGAGTCCACGTCTCCATCGACAAATCCGTGTGCACTACTCTGAAATTCCCAACCCTCAGGTTTCAACGGGACCATTTCGGCATTCCGGAGTGCTTCTTCGGGAGGCACTGTAATTCTCCCCTTCTTAACCACATACTTGGCCAGGGCTGTCGCAAAAATCGCACCCTTTAGCTTTTCCCTCGTCTCTTCCGCATACTGCTTCTCCTCCCCATTAACTCTCTTCTTCTGTTTCTCGCCCTTCTTCCAGGGCTGAAGCGTCCAGCTCGGAGGTTTCGCTACTCCAGGTTTCACCAGATGCGTGACAAGATAAAACCACTTCCTATCCCACGTCAACAACCGCGTCCACATCTCGAACTTCTGGTATGGGAGAATTTCCTTCTTAAAGAGACAACTGATACCACCTAGCGCAATCATGTAATCGTGTCGCGGTTCAGCACTGTCTACACCCTTTTGCGATCTCCCCTGTCCATATCGCCTAGAATTTTTTAGTATCCCGTTGCGTACTATTGCAGTGAAGAGGTGTGTTCGTGAGACATCCATATCTGAGAAGTATGTGGAGTTGGACTTGTGGATGTTATAGTCCGTCTCCATCAGGGGTGTGCGTGTGGATGTGACGACGGGTTGAAACAAAGCATGGGGAGGTATCGGGGTAGGCTGGAGGTATAGCTGGTAAAAGAAGGCTCGGAAGAAGCGGATCTGAGAAGCATTAGTACCCTGGTGTTTGTCGGCCAGAATACAACGTACATGCCAGACGCCCGGGAGGTTCTTTAAGTTTGCTAACGCAAGAAGTACTGCTAGAATCCTCCAAACACCGCCAGGCGCTCTGATCCCGGACCATTTCGAAATGAAGGCTCGAAGGGCGGGTTGACTTGCAACCGTTGCGATTGTCGCTCCGACGACGGCTAAAATAGCGAATCGAGGCATGCTACGTGCGGTGGGCGACTACAAGGGAGTGACGAAAGCTGGAGAAAATAAAAAGAAGAGTTGTAGGCCGGTAATTATCATGTTCGGGGATGCTAAGAGGACCTAGTAAATTCAGCTGCCCATCATAGGTATCGGCTGCCGAGGCTCGGAGAAAAGCACGCCGGGCTCCGAGCACTTAATCGCTCCGTTTTCTCGTTCAAGTAATCCTTCGTCGCAAGGTCTTCTCAATTGGGGGTTTCAGCAACGTTTATGATATGCACAGTTATGGATCTTACCACTGTAGAGTCGAAATTGCATGCGCCCCTGAAAGAATGACTCCATCGCCTAGAACGCCACTTTTCTCAAGTACAGGTTGGCACATCACACGGGACATTACCAGGGAGGCGATTTGCAGATCGTTTATTAGATGTAGGGTGAGTTTCGAGAGCGTGCAGGCTCCTATCTTAGGTTAGATTCATTGTGCCTCCCGCATGCTCCGATATGTCCACGTCTGACGGAAAGGGGATTGGCTGCGAAGATTCAGGGCCCTCTGATACTATTTTGGCCTGTTCGTTTGCAAGTATTGCAGGTAACCTTCTATTTAGATTTGTGTCGCATTGCTTCACCTCTTACAACCCATATTGTGGTCTCAGTATTCGAGATAGGTCCCCGTAAGACTCCGAGGTACCTAGCTTAGTATCAGTGAATACAGAATCCCAGGAAATATAGATCGAATAATACGGTACCGCAGGACCGCGGTTTCCCGTGACAAGCTATCATATGAAACCTGACATTGCCTTGCTATATCGCGGAGTCAAGCGCGTCCTTATATAATTCTAAGTACAGCCTTGCAGCCGTGATATTTTTCAGCCCTTCTTTTTCCCTTTCGTCTTGTCGACTACTTCCACCCAGTTCCTATTCACCCCCCTCTTCTCCAATGCCTTGATCACTGCATCCTTCTGCGGACCCTGCACCATGACCTCCATGACTGGATTTTTTGGACTACTTCCGGCCAACCGATCCACACTTGTGCTTCCTGCACACATCTTCCTCAGCTCGTCGGCCAAGGGCTGTGGCGCTATGTAATATGTTTCGAGGCCGCTGATCTTCGTGACAGTTTTGTTCCCGCTTCGAGTCTCGAGGGAGATTTGGATCTTCGGTGGAGCGCCGGCTTTAGGCTTCGAGTCGGCGACATCGGCGTCGTTACGAAGTATATAATGGAAAGGAGAGCAAGCTGCGACAAGCCGCTCGGCTAGAGCATCACGCGTGATCGCACCTACTGATAGTGCTGCATTATCGGCGGCTGAGGATCCAAGCAGCGAGCTAGCGATCTGTGGGTTGATGGTAATGAGGCGCTTGTTCTTTGGGGAGACCAGGTTTTCGGCCTCGATGTAGGCTGTCAGAATCTGCTTCAGCTCTACTACCGTGTAGAGACCTCGGGGATCGGCCTTCGGAGAGTTGAATATAGGTGCTAGCTTATCTTTAGGTCGGAGAAGGGAGACAAGTTTGAGCTTTTGCCCGACAGCATGCTCTGAAGACAGTGTTGCCGCTGATTTGCCGTTCGTGCCTGACGATATTGGGGAGTCCTTCTTCGGAAGTCGATATGGAACGAAGTCGGTCACCTGGCAATCTTCGAAGTTGATGTCTAATATCACAACCTCATTTCCGTCCCTGTCCTTGGACTTCACAATCTGCTGCTTATCCAGGTACTTAAGGAATTTCTTCAGCGACTTCCAGCTTGTCTTCTTTATCTGCAACGACGCGGTCCGCGCCGGTGTATAGGTAGGAAGAAAGGGTTGGACAAGGAGAGACATGACCTTTGATTGCGACAGAGGAAGATCGAGGCCATAATTCGGCTGGTCTTTGTTATGATCAATGTGGTGGCGGACGCCGTAGAGAAAAGCATTCTTGAAAGCGTCATCAATTTCTGATCTCTTGTCAATAAATGTACAGGGGCGGTTGGAATACAATCCACACCTTTAGTAGTCAGTTCCTTGTCTTCCACTTCTTCAACGAAATCCTTATTGCTGGGCACATCTTCACCTTCAAGACCTTGTGCCTTCTCTGCCCCTGATCGCTCTGTGTAATTAGCGTCGAGTGACACTCCACCATCGTCTTGATCGCCACCTAGATTCAGTGCTTCGGTTGCAGATTCTACACTAGTGTCGGCCTCTCTTCCTTGGTCATCCCATCCACCGAGAAAATCTGGTGGGTTCGTGCCTGGCTTGCCTGTGGTGCTCCACGACCATAGCTCATCGCCTGCCCAATGAAACGTCTGGACCGCATGCCCTTTGATCCCTTGTACTTTCCCTAACGAGCTCACATCAATCTCGCATGTCCCTACTGCCATGGGTATCGTCGGTGACTCGAGACTCGCGATAGCAACGATGGCGCCCATAGTAGCTTTCTTTGGAAAGGGAGGGCCACGCTGCAGGCCTGGAGTCATGAGATCTGCTCCACCTTGTAGCTTCTCCACTACGGTGAGTGGGGTATAAAGGAGGGGAACAATTTGGGGGTTGTGCCAGAGAGTGTAGACTGCCATGCACGTTAGCGAACTGCCTCTCCCCTCTCCTCTGCACATGACTTTGGTGAACGGACCGGTGGGGTACATGTTCTCCCCCACTTTGACCCACAGTATCCTCTGCTCGCCGTGGGTTCCCTCATGACTGCCCACATACACGGTCCCTGATACTTGTTTCAAATTAGGCCCAGCCGTAGTCGTGAACCGAGCCGAAAGTGCGTTTTCGGGGAGGAGCGACTTCCTCAGAGCTGTAAGACCTGCCGTGGAAGCTGCTTTATCCTCCTGGCCTGTATTTGTATCAACCGGGACCTCGATACCGAAGTCCGCGATGATCGAATCTGACGTGCGCCGTCGGTCGGAAGACTTGAGCGGGGACAAGGGTTTGATCTGCTACGAATTAGCTGCGCACTCATTCTCTTCAGGGAAACTAGGGATGGACATTTGGTTTCTTTTTAAACATGGTCGTGAGGGCGTAGATGAGTTGCTGTCCGTACCTCGTTCGCGTTGTTGAGCTTGGGTTTTGTAGCTGCGGTGACTAGGATCTATGGCCTTCGCGGGGTCGGCTCCCAATTCACCCCACTACCTTGGCACTTATCAGAATGATTCATGTTGCCTCATTCTTACAAAATACCACGAATATGGCTGTAATTAGGGACAAATGAAGGCACCAGAGTAAGCAGCAACCTCCGTAAGCACCAATATTACTACGTGCTCTACAGCCCAATTTCTGCCGCCTCCCACCTGTCGAGTATTAGCAGCCACGTCCAGGATCGGCTTTAGTGGATTAAGCCTCGTTGCCAATGTATCGTAGACGGGTATCAACTTGCACAAGACCCGTTACTAGTCTTTCTAGCAAAGCTCAATTATTTTAAAGGGCTGCGAATATTGTTTGTCATTTGTCTGCGTGGTTTCGCTAGGAGCCCCAATTCACCCAACCTGCTTCCTCCACGAAGCGACATTGAGGCTTGGAGCTGAAGACCAGGCTGAACTTCACGTCACACTTAGGCACCGCTCTGCCCTTCTCAGCAAATAATTCAAATTTTACTCGCTCTCCGGGTGCCTGGTGCAAGGATTAATTACTCTTTAACTCCTTCCAGTATTGGATTTCAGATGCGCGACTTTTTTGAATCATTTAATTCCCCCAAAACCCAACCTTGAAGGTCTAGCCTGGACGCGAAGCTAGGGGGGAGTTCCCTCTCTCAGGACTTCATTCGGGATTATTCATGGACGAAAGAATGCCAAGTGTTATTTCGAATGAGTCGAGACTCCTCAGTCTGCCCCCGGAGATATTCGGAAAGATCTTTGAGAGGTTCATGGTGGACCATGGGTTGGATCCCGCAATGCAGTTACGTTTTGTCTGCCGTATGTCCTTCTCCCTTACTGTCTTACATGGCCATTCTCAAAATCGTCTTAGGTACATTCAGCAATGAAGTTCTCCGTACGGTTTGTAGGCTCGAATACCTAGAGGATCCGTGGCCGGCAAATTATCGCTATCAGCATCCCAATCTGGCACTCGAATATCTCTTATCGAAATTCAAGGGGGAAAGGGCTATTAAGTACCATATCACGAGGCTAATAGATGTGACTGTCAACTCGATCATCGAAGAAATGCCAGACCTTCAGCCACGTAGAGAAGAGTTTATGCGGGGATTATGCTGGTGTCTCTTCGATGCTCGGTACAAATACATGAATAAGATAGACGATGTTTTGAATGACGACGATGAGTTAACGCGGGTGAATGAATACGTTGATCGACGAAGGAACATGCTCGCAGCAGCAGCCTACCTCGGGATCACCGCCTTGGTCCAGCGGCTTGTCGATCGAGGTGTGGAAGACAAGGGCACGAGATTTGGGTACCCATTAAATTGCGCCGTTGCAGGAGGGAATTTAGATGTCATCCGCCTCCTTCGAGACCGGAAATTCGTGCTCTCCCACGCACACTATCCCAACTTCCTACCGAGCAATCATGGACTCGTTCTTCGGATACTCTGCGAGCCAGCGTGGGGCCGGTCAGGTCCTAGATCGCCGGAATCACCTGGACATATCTCGAACGTGGCATACGCTATTATGCGGGCGGTCGCCATTGGCGATTCTGAGACTGTAACTTATCTTCTTGGTCGTGCGGAAACTTATGGCAGAAAATATGAATTACTCGAATGGTTCAAAAGCGTCGGCGGCCTCTATGACTCCATGCTCTGGATAGCTGCTCATCATGGGCACATGGGCCTGGTCCAACATGCCCTCCAAAATGACGCCAGTGTTGACCGCATGCTCGGGTGGAGCATTTGGGGTATCCGGGGGGTGGTTCCAGGGAGACGGATCACGGGAAGCCCACTCGATGCTGCCGCTAAGAGCGGTCATTGGGAGATTGTGAGGCTCCTTCTCGATACAGGCGCGAAAGCAACGTCAAAAGCCTTGGCTGGTGCAGCGAAGGCCGGGTGGCTGCTCATCGCGCAGACGCTGGCGGATGAGGGAGCCAGCGTTTGGCCATGCTGGTCTGGCTCTGGCCAAATGGCCTTTGTAGAGATCGTGGAAAGAGGAAACTTGGATATGGTACGGTTGTTCTTGGAACATGGTTTTGCTAAGGAAAGGACCGAGCAGCAGCAGTATATTACAGCGTATGCATACAATTTTGCGCGGAAGAAGGGCATGCATAGCATAATGAAGCTGATCGAAGCATATGGATTTCAGCCGAAGTAGGAGAGGAAGAAGATTTGAAATTTAGACAGCATAAAGACGAGATGGAGGAGAAATGGACTTGACTGCTTGAGGCTTGTTGGTACCTGCACTACAGACTAATCTGGCTAGTTTATTAAACCTTTTAATGGATTTAGTAGCAGCTTAAGACCTGAGACTTCTTCTTTGAAACAGGCCCTATCATGTCCCGTTCTATTAGCCAATATGCAGTAGACTGAGCTGAGATGTAAGAATGACATTCACTTGACTGAGCCGTGACATGATTTTTGAATAGACGCTAAGCCCATGCTGTCAATGAGGCATCTCAGCCCTCCTGCACCCCTTCTCATCTCCATCCATCCCACCTAATTTCAGACTTGCTCGAAATCCATAGGTGAGCATCGACTGACGACTTGACAATAGAGCAATCGATCATCGACCAAATACCTGGATGCAGTTTCCCAGTCTCCACTAAATCCTGCATCTTCCAGAGCCTCGGTCTTCGCCTGCCGCGAATCTCAAGCTCCCGAATCCTGGGGCCGTCTCCAGCCCGCAGTAGTGTGCTGACATCAAACACCACGCTATCGCCATTAGCCAGTTCAAGGCAAGCGCTGCAAAATTGCTGATTCCGCCCTGAGGCACAGCATCTCGGGATTTGTGTAACGCCACCTTTCTTTGTGCATCGTTACCTCTGCTGAACCCGCGTCTAAATTGAGGATGAGGGAGAGCAAGCACAAACACGGTGTCATCTCTGTGTGATCAGTACACATGGGCTTCCTCAAATGCTGTTCGAGACAAGACGGTCAACAAACTATGGGGTTTGTTGGGAGCCGCTGGCAAAGCAAGATGCGGCGTTGGACTTCTTGGCGAAGAAGGATCCAGCCCCGTGATGCTGGGCCAACGGAGCCGGCGCACCACCAGAGCAAGGACAAGACTCGGGAAGCCCGGACCAGGAAAGGTGCGTTATCCCAGCCCGCCTGTGAGAGGTCGCCCAGCTCGCAGGCGGGAACGCTCGCCGCCTTTCTCAACGGAGTCAACGCCTCGTCATGCCAAACTGCGGAGAAGATGGCGGCGAGCCACGAGATCGCAGCCCACATCTCCCGACTTCGTATTCCTTTTCTCACTCTTAAAACCGATCTCTCTGCCACTTCCCTGTTCCTACGCTCTTTCGCTCATCAAATGCTGCTAGAGAGCGCCAACATGCGTTGCTGACATTCCTATTCTTCGACCAAGTCACGAACCGCCATGAGTCCAATCTCGCAACCGCTTAAGGCGTTTTCTACAAATGTCCTCACGAAGCGCGTGGTTGACAGGCCTACTAATCCTGATGGCCTCGTCCTCGAAGCATGGGCGCAAGGATACATGGTCGGATCTCTCATCATTATGGCTTGTATCACCCTTGCAAACATGCGACAGGGTGTGATACTCCACAAGGTGAGTTCAACAGTTTTTCAAAAAGCAACCGCCGCTGACTTTGACTCGCTAGCTCATTCTTCTTGAGGTACACCTACCTACCTAATTCAATTCCTGTACAATTCTAATTAGGCTTAGTTGATTCTCGGCATCTGGCATGGCTTCTGGATATTCTTCCACAACCCAATCTACGCTTGGTGGCTATCAGTCAGTGCCATATTTCTCAACATTTCCTGGTCACTGCACAACGTCATTGCGTGGATGAAGATCAAGCCGTTCTTATCAACGCCAGTGAGCTGGATATTTATTGGCACAGTCGTCCTGGTGCAACCATATTGGGTCCTCGAAATCTACGCGAACTTTGCCTACTTCCATAATATCAACACGATTTTCTTGAAAACACGTCCCTGGGAGGCACTCTGCAGGCAAGTTTCTTACGGCGCACGTTCCTCTAATGGCACTGACGTGAACAGGGATCCATGGTGGATTTTTACCACTGTTGCCCTTTTCTGGAACATCAAGGTCCGCTATGAGATGACCTTCAAAGAGATCATTCGAATTTCACCACGCTTTGGCATTATGCTGGGAGCTATGCTTCTCAGTATTATCTTTATAATTCTGGACATCTGCTCGGTGACGGACGCCTTCAAATCAACTCTTCCTGTCGGCATCAACCCGTTCTGGAAATTGAGCTTTGTCTTCAAATGCCTCACAGATTCGGTAGTACTGGACGATTTCAAGACTGCACTGGACAGATTGAGGGCATTCAAAATTAGTCGTCTCGGAAGTTTTTCTCAGGACACGACCGATCGGCGTGCCCGCAACGATGGAGCCCTTGTCCACACCTGGGAAGAAATGGCCACCGAGGCAAATGCACGGCCAGCAATGCCCAGTCCAGATGGCGATTACGTCCAGCACAATCACTTTCCAGGCTTCAAACTATGCCGAAAGCACAGAGAACACAGAGAACACAGAGAACACAAAGACTCCGTAGTCGTACCTGAACAACAACATCGCGATTCCTCCAGTAAGAGCTTGAGGCCTGAAGATATCGTGCCAAGCGCACTTGAAGACCTCCCAATCAGATCCGTGGAGCACGCATGCGTTGCCGAAAAGAGACCACCAGACTTCTGGGTGAGCCTGCGAGATGAAGGACACTTGGCTGAAGAAAGTGATTACGCCCAGGCGCTGAGAGAGGTCGAAGGCCAGAGCCCTCCAGCGAGCCCGTCAAGAAAGTCTTTTCCACGTCGGTCCCGATCACCTTGAAGGCATGAGAAAGACAGGAGATGTTGCACCAAGCCGAATGAAAACATATCAATATCAAAGTCGAGTATATACCGATGAACGAATGCGCGAAGGCATGTGATCATCGTTTGGCAGTGGCGGGCCGTGTTCCGGTATTTTGGGCTGGCGAGCCGGATGTCAACATCACACCACTTTTGGGCTCGAAATCAGAAATCCGATATTCGAAGCATTGGTTGCATGAATCTTTCACAGAAATAGAGGTGGATGGCATCATGGCTGAGTTCTATGTATTGCTCACGTCATCTCTCTCACCACAAACCTTAGAGGTTGGTTGGTATCGTAGGTTCCGCGGTGTTGGACACGAGATGCGCAGCCTTGTGGAACGTTGCACGGACTGCGGACAAATCCCCATACGAGCTCTTCTTCGGATACGGGTTCTCCAAAGGATTTACCGAATTGTAATGAAGTGTTGACTTCTGTATGGCATTGCTATAAAATCTTGTGGGTTACAATGATATGGCTTCCTTATGGACGCAATTTTGGCGGGAAAGGCATTTCTTGACTTTTGCATACTCTTGAGCAGCATAGCGGATACCCCTTACTTATTGCGTGCCCTCTTTTCATCAATAATGTCTTACTACGTTCTTAGATGCTTTCTCTCCACTTCACGCGCGTGAAAATCAGCCGGAGAAACTCGGCGCTACATTACCGTCTTTCTGGTCAACACTCACCTTTTGCGGTCACTCAACGTCACTCTTCCAGCGTTTACAACGCAAAGGGCATCTAGACTCAGGACCAAAAATCAGTGGGGCACGAACCTCTTTTAAAGCCCACCATCCAGTGTTGAAACATTAGTCTTTGTAGCGATCATTATGACAGACCCGCAACGCTAGCGGTTCGAAACATTTCGGAATGATTTCCTACAATCTCTGACTTGCTTTACTCCTCATCTAGTATCATCCCAGCAATTAGGGTGGCGAAGTGTGTTTCAGCCAATTGGGCTACCGGAATTCACGAGTAGGGAGTGGACCGCAGGAGCAGAAGGCTGCAGCTATATTGAAAACTGGATATTTGTAAGATATTGCTCTGATATCAAAGTGTATGTTGTTCCTTAGTTAGTGTTCGGTTTTATTCTTAAATTAAAGCTGCGTCGAGGATGGCGATGCCATCTCTTTCCACTCTTTCTCTTCGTTCCTCCGTTCCTCCTGCGGGCAGTCACCTATTAATCTCTCTTATACTCATTTCTGCGCTTTATTCTTTCTGCACATAGTGCTTTTACAAAGCCCAACTAGAAATTTATAAAGCTAAGAACAATTATAGAATTAGTTAGTAAAGACGCATATAGAGTAGACTTACCTAGCTTAATGTTACAACCCACGATTGGACCGTAAGCCGCCAACCCTCTGTGCCCCACTGTTTAAACAAACAAGGATGGAGTCTCCCTGTCTTCCCATCTAACAAGTCACGTGACCTGACGGACAAGGAATGGACAGAGCTCTTGGACCAATGCACGGCCGAATGCGTCATCTAATGAGCTGAGTGCGTTTGCATGCAATGCATGCAACCCTATGTATATATTCTAAGATTCTAACTTTACTTAAAAGCTGTAATTAGAGTTTAGTTTATTATTTTTATAAACTAAGTAGCATTACTACTTTTTAATAAAAAGTAATCTAATTATATATCTTACACTATATATACCTTCTTTTTTATTCTTATCTAGGAACTGTTTAACTTAAGCACTTTATACTACTATTAAAACGTAAACTATAGTTAGCTGCACCTTTTAGTCCTAGTAACAACGCCTTAGCAGACTATACACCTGTGTCACGATTGTGCACGAGTAAGGTTATAGAGCTTCACAGAGGTCTAGTTTAATTACTACGTGAGGTATTATAGTAGGTACAAGACGTTATATAAGAAATAAGAAAGTTTAAAAGGAAATTAGTAATTAAATACTTAGCTTAAAAGTCTAAGCACTTTAAGTATAAATTAAGCCTATTCTAAGTTTAGTTAGTGTTAAAGTAGTTTATACTTAAGTTTATGTCTATGTTATGTTATATTTATGTTAGACATGTACTAATAATACTCTAGTACATGTCTAATATAGTTATGTCTAAGATCTAGGGAGAATACTGTAACAGTACTCCCCCTCTTATTAAGAAGGGAATTTTTTACATTAGTAGTTCTAGCATTAAGTTGTCTTTATTAAGGTACAGGTTTAGTTTAGATAAGTATTAGGCATAAAATTAGGTTACTATAAAGTTCTTTTATAGAGCTTCTGCAGGTTTTTATAATAGTTTATTATATCTAGTCTATTTTATAAGGTATTTATAGATATGTTTTTTCTTATTAAACTAAATCTATTTAATGTCTTCTATAACATATTCTAGTTTATTATTTATAATAATAAGTTTAAGTAGTAAGTTTAGCTATTTAAGTAAATAGTTAAATTTAAAGGCTACTTAGCGCAGCAATAATATATAGAACACAGGGTGTATCTTTATACTGTTAAGTAGGATTAATTAGTAAGCATGTAATAAAACTATATAAGCTACTATAAAGAGGCTAAAGTTCTTTTAATTAAGTTTTTTTAATTATTAGTTTATTTAGATATTTCTAGTGTCTAGCTAGACCTTCTTACTAGCTGCATATGCAAGGGCAAGAGTTTAAAATTAGTTTATGTACTTTTATTAAAAAGCTTAAGCTTATATAAGCTTTTTATAAATATATTTAGATATATTTTAAATTTTATTAATAAGTTTATTTATATTTATTACTTATATAAATTAATAAGTTAGTTAAAAAGTATTTATAAGTAGTTTAAATTTTATTTAAAAGTAGTATTTATAGTTTACTAAAAATAAAAATACTTATGTTAATTTAAATGTTATGTTATTAGCTTTAAACTATGCTATAGCTAACTATTTTACCTAGTTATTTTACTAGTAGTTTGTGTACACT